GGAGGTCATCCAAGGATCGATGCCATGGATCTCAACTGGACCCCCTATCAATCTTCCTGCAAGATCTCATCTCTTCCCCTGCCTACCACGCAAGGCAAAGCCGACGCAGCTCAACATGCCCCCGTATTGGATCCCCATCGACGATAATGGATTCATTGGTCGCTGCCCATCATAAAATCGCAAGCAATGCCAAAAGAAGCACAGCAAAGAATGACATGTCGACAATCCGATATCTAGCTACTTTAACTGAATCGCCAAACCAGATCTTGACTCAGAAACGGGGGAGGGATATACGGTACCTGCCACACGTGCTCATCACGCAAGCAAGCAATCAATCAATCGATCAAACCAACGACAATCAACGCCAAACATGTCTTTGAATTGATGCACAGCATTACATCCCATCAAAAACAATAAACCCTATCCTTGTACTTTACATACTGACCATACAAACGAGAAGCTTGGTTGAATCGCATTCTCCCTAGTCCTTGTTAAAGCGCCTCAAAAATAGGCTTAAAAGGCCAATGACGTTGGAGAAATGTCTTCTCGTCTCTTTTCTCATCAGCCCCCTCTAATCCTGTTTAATGGAGCCCATCTCCAACTAGGGGACCGGCATGTTGACCCCTCTTCAGTACTGCCCGGTTACCCTACGCTCAATGCTGAAGTCGATCATTTATCATATTTGGATGATGGGTTTTGGCTCTCTTTGGCAGGGTGTGTCAATTCTCAAACAAAGCAGCCAGGTCAAGGCCTTGTCTTGAACTGACGCCACAGGCTGATGAAGGAAGCATCTAGGACCAGCATTTGAACATCATGAGATCGTGGCTTTTACGCCGCTTCTCTGCACATCTGGCCCTTTCTCGATCCCGGCGTTATTCCCAGCGCCTCAACATCGCTAGCACCCGAGCCAATTGTTCAGTCCACATCACAAAGTGGTCTCAAGCCTCACTTTAACATGACAAACACCATGATATTTGGCAGGGCGAACGTTCAAAAGTAAGGCAATGAGGCAAAAAGCTTAGCCTCGTGATACAGTGGCAATGTCTTTCACGACCCAGTAGCTTGAGAACATGGCTACCCGCCTTGGTAGCGAGTTTCTGGCGTTTGGATACACAGCATAACCTATGTACGACATGTACGACAGCAATGTGCAGGTTAAGTTGTCTCCAAAGATCTCGCCTTTGCATATCCGTGCGGGTAGTTCTCTCTCCGGACGAACCAGATGAATGAGCCACCGCTTGCAGGAACCCTGGATCCTTCCAGGGCCTATACAGGGCGTCGCTATATTTTTGTGATATGCGATGTGAGGAGCTCTGATAATGACAATAACACCGAGTCTCTTTGTTGGAAATCCCGAAGGGAGTGTCCGAAATCCATCGGTCTCCTCCCATGTGGCTCCGATACATAATCTGATATGTCTGAGGATTCAACCTTAATCTGCATCGATGTGATGCAAGAAGAGGCTTTTCTAACATGGGCTTTGTCGTGGCTACCACCACGCGGACGCAAGGGGTTGTTCGCTATCAGGATCGGAAATGGTCATGCGTAGAGTCCATTGCTTGCTTTACAGAGACAACAACGCGCGATAGCTTCCATGTGTAGTAACTAAACCTGTTCTCTCTTGGCGACTCGATCACACCTGCCTGATTGTCACTCGTGGTCATCATTTATGTGCCCAAATTCGTCACGAACCTGCATGGTTTTCTTTTTTTCTCATTCGGGCCCGAGGCAATGGTGGTCGAGATCCGTGGCTGAATATCAAAAGCACTGAAGCAGATAGGGATAGATGTCATATTTATCGTGCATCTTGTGGAAAATAATCTCAGCTGAGGGTAATTATACTATGCATGCAAGATTCGATCGTGGAGGCTCTAATTGGAGCTTGTGGCAGACGTCGGGTGGATCGGACCAGGGTCAGATCTGGTGCCAGGGTGACATCGCTTTCATCAAGAAGAGGGTGCTCCCCACGAAACTTGAGTCCCAGTATTCACATTTTCAGGCTACTCGTCCCCTGCCTCCTGCAACTTTGAAAGTGGATGGCCTTCGCATACTTCACCAAGTCTCGGTATGTGCATGTCTTAATCTCGATGCCCCATGTGCCCTGATCGTGATATTCCGTCTTGCTGGCTGGGATATTTTTCACCGGGCTGAATTTGACAGACTTCGACACTATCGAAACATAAGAAACTAACAAGCATCAGCTATGGGCATGGGATACGAAGCCTAAAACATGCGAGTAAACAAGGCTTTGCGTACCCTGATCTCAGGAAGGGCAGGAAATAACAGGGGACAAGAGCAAGCGTTCTGTCAACCCAAGTATTCGGGATCTGGGGGGTCAAGCGATCAACCGAGCAAGGCTTGTCTACCAGCCCTTCGGCTCGTCCCGTCAATTCGCAAGTTCTGCCGTTTACGGATCGGATTGACTTCCTTTTTGAGCCCCAGATTGCGATTACTATTGCGTTTTAAGGATTGACAGTTATTCTCAGACGTGGGGAATCGTCGGCATGCTACTATATACTCTGACCTCACGGTTCTTTAGCCATGGGGTTGATACAACGCAATGCTGAATCCTATCATAGTATTGAGTGCCTCTATGGTGGATAGCTTCTGTTCATTTTTTATACCTGTCACCATCGGCAACACCGCTTCGAGACCATTGTCCCAGTTTGAGAAACCTCTTAAGGTAATATTCGCGGATTCACCATGCGGACTTTCCTTGTCTAAACGTCTATCGACTTAGCGACGGTTACTCTCGACGTTCGCAAGACAGGACTGTCAGAGGTTAGACAAGTTGAATACGGACTGTTTTGCCTCCTTATCCAGTTTAAGCGTAACCGTCCATCATCATCGTGGCTTGGTCAGATTTCGAGTGACATCTGGTAGTATCAGATTATGCACTATTCACCGTTCGCGTGGAGGGTCGCAAGAAAGTTCTTGTTACTGGGTTCAAGCTTCAATATGCCTCATCTGCCACATCAGAACTACCTCCCTTGGACAGATAATCCCTTGGCGGTAGGAAGTTGTTGGCCGAATTTGGGTATCGCCTTGTTGTGTTTTAGAATGTGTATTGGATCGATATTGTATACGAACACAGATCTTAACCATCAAAGCCAAGTCGCAGGTTGCCAGGTTAGGAAAATGCATCGTATCACTCTACTTATGTCCCTAATGCTCATATGTGAGTGGTGATTTGTGATATTATTAGTGATAATATCGATTATGTATCTTGTTGCCAAGTTGATTCCTTACTGAATGACACCTGGGGCGAAGCACGTTCTGTTATCGGAGAGTCCAGGGTGCGAGAAGAGGATGCACTCCCTTGTAGGATAAGTTTTCCACTGGGAAAAGAAAGCTGAATGTGTGGAACTATATCCATCCTGATCTTCGACCAGTTAATGGCGGCTACGGACAAGTTCGGGTGTTCGGGCTGTTTGTGGTGTGACTTTGACTGGGCGTCGGGACTTTGAGGGATAAAACGACTCATTGAAAGGCCTTGGGATTGTAGCATGTTGAAAAAGCAGCCGTAACCGAGGCTGATGCCGGAGTACACCAAAGGATACGATGTCTCGGTGTTGGGGTTTGAGACTCGAGTCTACAAGTGGTACTGATGGAGATGCTACTCCATGTTCACGGAAGTTCTTGGTTAGTCACGGGTTTGGCGCGAGAATATAGCATTTCAAGTCACTAACGAGATCTCATTCATGTCTGTGAACTATTGTAAAGATAAAATGCCTTGATTTATCGAGATCTGAACATGGTTATTTGATATTGAAGTACCATGGCTTCCATAGATGGACCGTGATATGCTGCTCAGGTGTAGGGTAGTTAGGACTCGATCGGTGTAAGACATTGCGATGACACTCGGCCACAGTCTGTTATGCTGGTATTCTAGCTGCTATAATGATCATGATGGTATTCTTCTATAATGACGATTTCCTTTGGTGTGGTTAATGTAGTCCTACAGGCTGTAGTGAGGTATGTGTGTTATTGGGTTGTGGTTTCTAACCAATATTGAGTGGTTACAGCTCTTCCCGGCGCTTTGCGACACCTCAACTGCACATAAATCGACCCAACGGTAAGATGAATATAATTCGAAAGCATCGTAGTGGGATTTCAGTAGGCTAGTGATCACCAGCCTATAGATCTCTGGCATATTATCATCAAAATATTGTTGTCCTTGATCAATTGACACCCATCGCTTGTGTGTACAGGTTATAAGGTTCAAGCACCACACATAATCAAATATAACTCTGCAGAAGACGAAATTGCGCGGTGATACTCGAATGAAGTCTTCTCATGTTTGAATTGTATGACATAACCGAGGGTCGCCGGCGTTTCACGACGTCATGCCCAGAACTCATGAGCCAGAGGTTGAAGACGAAAGAACCACAGAAGCTGCAATGTATCAAGATAGCTGAATCACCAAGATAAATATCTATAAGAACAAAGGAAATTGGATTATTTGCAAAAAGTTTACCTTTGACAACACGTTGTACCGACAAGAAAGCTACAAAGCTGCATCTATTGCCCGAGACTCTACAAAACCAACTTTTCAACATCACCGGGAACTACTAACAAACATGTGTATCGTGGACTGCCGCAAGTATGATTGTATACAGTGCCAGCGACGTATTTACGCCACCGAGCAGCTGTGTCAATGCAGTGAGGCGATAGAGGGCAGGTCATGTGAGACGGTCCTTGAGTTCGAGACGACTTACCTCCCGGCTGATCAATGTGAGGTCTGCGAGGAGCGTAGGAAAGAGAAAGAAGCGCAGGCGGCGGCCGAGAGCAAAACAAATGGAACTAGGTAGTGAGTTGATTGGAATTGAGAGGTGAGGTCAGGAAAAGGAGTATTGTGTAGTGCAATGACGACTTATGACTTAGGCTGAATGCCTATATTGACCATGTTCTTTAACTGACTGAATCCCTTTCTATGTCTGTTATATAGCCGTTATAAAGCAAAGCACCAACGCCATGCCAAACCAGATACCTCCGAGATCTTAAACCCACTGAGGGAGATAATACTTGACATTCTCATACACCAAGAACGTCACCCACGTCGCAGGCATCACTCGCACGACACCGGGAACCAACCCACGATAAAACCCTCTCATTCCATCTTCTGTCCATATCCTCACCACAGCACCTCTGATACCCCGGCCAAACCGCTCGTCAGCCTGATAGTTCTGCAGTCTGCTTCTCAGCACCTGGTACGGATATGTGACAGCCCCAGCGACGAACTTGGCCAGACTTGACAGCCCGATTGTCGCCTCAGTCGTCATGTGATCCCTCTGAATGCCGTACTTCTCTCGCCGGCGCGTGTGGTACCACCGCTTGACAGGCTCGTAAACGGCGAACTGCACGGCGCCGTGGGATACACCGACCAGAGAAATGCCCAGGCCACGGTAGAAGCCCCGTATCCCTTCTGTCTTGAGGATGGAGCGTGCGCCAGCCAGCATAGAGGGATATGCGCCCTGCGATCCGCGATCAGAAGAGACCATGCGTACTTTGAGAACCCAGATAGGGTTTGTCAGTGTCGTGGTCGAGGCTCCCGCCAGCGCACTCGCGAGAAAGTAGTCGCCTGCTGATGGACGGCCATTAGGCCGATTCTGCCACGCGGCAAGGGCGTGCTCGAAGCGCGACTTGAAAAAGAAGAAAGAAGCCCAGCTAGAGGCGTTTCCGATGAGATTAGGCGTCAGGCCACGGTAGAGAGAGGCGACAGGGTGAGGAGTTGACGTCAAGGCGCGCAGGATAGAGACAGTTGTAGGCCGCACAGCGTCTGGGACTGTGCTGCGATAGACTATAAATGAGTGTCAGATGCTATATTTTGTGAATAAAGGACAAAAAAGCCTATGCATACTCTGCATGCGAGTCTTGACTACATCGAGAGGATGCACCGTCAAGGTAGCGACGGTACCGGCACTGAGACCAGCGATGGACTCGATGGTCGCGGGGGAGAGTCCCGCATTATTGAGGTCGGGCATATAATATAGTAGAATTGGGTATTTGTATAAGTCTACTGTCACATTTTATTAAGGACGAGAAAAAGAATAAGAGCCCCTGAAGTGAAGTTGTTGTTGAAGTAAAAGCGTCGCTTTTGTGACATAATTCTTTGATATTTGATATTTCTGCGGAGCGCAAAACTAAAAGGTACGGGAGCTCGGCCGGAGCTTCGACGTCACCAGCTCAATTCTTACATAGTAGACCTTTCTTTCTGCCGCATTAAGCCGAGTCTCCCCATCTAATTGTATATATATCATCACAAAAGACTATGAAGTGATTCAAGAGTTAATTATGAGTGGGTTCCCTTATTCTGGGGCTTCCTAGTCCTGGTGCTAGTGTTGCAAGATGATACATGGTGATTCTCTCTCTCACTCATTCGTACACGATCAATCCCTCCCTCCCAAGCATTTTTCTCGCGGTCCGTCGTTGAATTTAACACGCCCGTATCCTAACGCCCATGAATGCTGGTGGCAGTTGATCTCTTTTCCGTCCCCCATCATAAGGCATCTTCACAATATATTGTACACTGTTTTGGTTTGTTTTCGTTGTAGAATTGCTACCCGCTTAGGAGAGGGGAGAGAGAAGGCTGTTTATAGTTTGTCAGTATAATTAGACGTAGATGACATATAAAGATCGAGGCGTACCGGATGACCGAAGGTCGGGGCTCGCTGCGGGTGTAGCCTGGGTTATAGTCAGTATCGTCGTCATCGTCGCGTATCGTTATTCGAGCTTCGTACCGAGGTAGAGGATTAGAGGAAGGTAGCCACTGCAAGACATGTTAACAAATTGAGCGATACTACACAGAACCAACAACGTACTAGTGAATGGCGACACGGGAAACGTCAATGAGCTTGGCGATGCGCTCCTATGATAGACGTTAGCAAGCTTCGCTACAATATATAATGCTCCAGCGATAGCCATACCTTGGACTCCTCAGAAAGGGCAAACATCTTGAATTACGTCGATTGTAAGCGATTAAGAAAAAAGATTCGTAAGAAAAATTAAAAATCCACGACGTAGCTCGATCAGGATGTTTCGAGGCTCAAGGCTGGTGATCTATTAACCCGCAAGGCGTTGGCGTTGACGTCTGCCCAAAAATTTCGTAATGAGCTGCCGGGAGCTGGAAATTCCACCTCCGGATTACGGACAGTGGGCGGATCAACCTCGGTGTACGGATACGCCACATTTATCTGATCTGCTTAGAGGTGTCCGCAAGTGTGGCGTATGCGACAAGGCTACCTCTCTCATCCAACCACCAGCCAAAATTTCTAGAAGCTCCATGCAAAGGTGACAGCCAGTTTCACCTCTTCAACATAACTGGATAATCTCTGGCCAATTCTTTTTATCTTCTTCTGTTTGTTGAAGCAAGCGAAACAAGAGACAAAGGTCTCTACAAAAATCATCATCATGGCGCAAAATAGGCATTGGTAAAGCTCCCTATGTCCCCCGTTTGCGACGCGACAACAAAAGCTAACTCGTCTCAGGGAACAGGACAAGGAGGCGACCGTCTACATCGGAAACATCGACGAGCGCGCAACCTCGGCAATGGTATACGAGATAATGCTGCAGATGGGACCGATCCACAACATCCACATGCCTCGCGACCGCGTCACCCAGACGCACCAGGGCTTCGGCTTCGTCGAGTTCCGCACGCCCACCGACGCCGAGTACGCCGCCAACGTGATGAACGGGATCAAGCTGTACGGCAAGTCACTGCGCGTTAACAAGGCTAGCGCTGATAAACAGCGCGCTGCCGAGGTCGGCGCCGAGCTGTTCATTGGAAACCTCGATCCCATGGTCGACGAGAAGATCCTCTACGACACCTTCAGCCGCTTCGGTCCGCTGCTGAGTCTACCAAAGGTCGCTAGGGAGGAGTCTGGCGCGAGTAAGGGCTTTGGATTTGTCAGCTTTGCCGACTTTGAGAGCAGTGATGCTGCTATTGCGAATCTGCACGGGCAGTACATTCTGAGTAAGGAGGTTTCGGTGCAGTATGCCTTCAAAAAGGATGGCAAGGGAGAGAGACACGGTGACGAGGCAGAACGAGAGCTGGCTGCACAGGCCAAGAAGCGCAATATCGTTCCTGAGGCCCAACCTGTTCCCCAGGCGTTTCTTCAACAGCCACCAGCTGCAGCTGCGCCCCCAGCTGGTTTCGACCCTTCGGCAATGGGAAGGATGCCCGCTGGTGTACCTCCGCCGCAAGGCATGCCCGGTGGATTTGCACCCCCAGGTCGAGGACCTTCACCGTACAACACCGGCATTCCGCCTCCCGGAATACCGACCCGTGGACCCCCCGTGCCTCTACCGCCAGCTCCATCCGGTTTACCCGCGCGACCACCGCAATCACAGGCCAGCTACACCAACCCAGCCGACTTCCACCCTGGCAGCTTCAGACCACCGTCCGGATCTCCAGCACAGGGCTTCCCAGTTGCTCCCCCGCCTGGTTTCCCAGCTCCTCCCCAGGCCGCACCGGCTGCTCCTGGTGCTCCTCCGCCTGGGTTTATGCCTCCTCCGGGCTTTCAACCACCCCCTGGATTCCGTCGATGATTGTCGCATTCTTCATAAACATCACCGAGCAGTATTTGTACACAAGATTCCCTCAGTAAGCTCAAGACTCGATAGAGTCCAAGACTAAGATTGACGCCGCTATCACGGCCAAACGAACGACCTCTTGGTCGTATATCTAATTACCTCTTCCTCTTCCAACAGATGAGACCAAAGATATGTATGGTCAGGTATCGTACAGACCTCTATAAACCCCCTAAGTCTGGTATACAATCATGAAAATAATTCCTCTTTTCTCTTCTTAAAACAATGCGGGCAATCTCCATGCCTCAAACGCCAGATTTGCAAACTCTGCTCTCACATGCCCCCCTTTCCCCCTTCTTTAGGAATGCCCTGCAAATGCCTCTTGCGCTTCCCTCGTCGCCTTGTCCCATGCATGCGCAGCCTTGTCGTGTTGGCCCTGTACCTCATGTGATTGGGCAAGCATGCCGTCAGCGACGCTCTGCCATAGGACGTTACCGCTGCGCTGCGCTTGCTTAGCTGCGGCCATGGCGCTTTTAAGAGCTTGCTCGCCAATGACATTCTCGAATAAGCGGCTGCGCATGATGGCAAGTGTGACAGCTGCGCCTAGAACATTATTAGTGGTTCTGGATCCGGCCATGGCAGCTTGTATATGCTGCTTCTGATGGTTTAGCTGCTGAGGAGGATCTGTAACAACAGCAGCCAAAACGTTGTGCCATGCTGTTCGCAAATCGGCGTTGTGATGATTGGCGCACAGCGGGTTCAGCTGTTCGATCAGATCGAGTGTCTCCCGGTCATCCCGTTGTGTGGGATGCTGCATGATCCAAAGTCTGTTGAGACCAGCCAGCATAGCCAGCTCGCGATGTGCAGCCTTGACGCCAGTTCCGCGTTGGTTGAGATCGAATAAAGGGCTTTGGAAAATCTCCATGGCAGCTCGAAGGTCGCCTGTGCCTTGATGGAAGACACCAGATAGATAAACAGCGAGTAGCCGCAGAATACCTTGTATAGATGATGTTAATGGAGTTTGAAGCTTCTCCATGAACTGCTTGACCGAGTCCCATTGACAGTGACTGGCTGCGTATAGACCAAGCAAGATGGTTAGATACGACTGTGCTTCTAATCGCCACTCGCGTTGTGCGATGGCTTCTTGTAGCGAGATAGAAGGCCCGTATCTGATTCCAGCGGTTGTTTTGTCCCCTGTATCATGTTAGCAGCTGTATGATGAATTGCGGAACACCACTTACATGTCTCAAGAACTCTGACGCCTTCATGCAAGAATTCAGCTGTCCGACGGCCGTGTGCACTTGACTTGTGCATATTTACCAAGCCAGTGAAAGTAAAACTGGCACCAAGTTAGTTACGATGGTCGAAATGAGTCGAGAGATGTTGACTTACAGAAGTGAAGCCAGCTCCATCCGGGTCATGAACGACATAACCAAAAAGTCCACTGGCGCACCCTCTCCACTACGAATAATGCCCGCTGTATCGCTGCTAATCGTATGTCCTGTAGAAGGCTGTTTCTTGACCGGGATGAGAAAGTCTGACTTGACGCTGTGCCAATCACCACATGCATCCATGCGATCCTGCACCAGTTTAAGTTTCTGAAGCGTCAATTCCAAGCCTGCATGATTGATGCTCGAGACAAGGTCCAGAAGCAACGTGAGTATATCGAGTTGCATGATGGCAACAGAGTCATCGTGCTGGAACTTGGCGACCTGGGCAATGCAAGCTTGAACCTTTTCAAGGTTGCCATCTTTTGAGGCCTTAAGCAGGGTGAGACCTTCAAGAATGGAAGCAAACACGCTCAGGGCATTGTCGCCACGAGAATTGGCAGTGACTTGGATGGATCGAATATTCTCCAAGGCGCTGGCATCAGCTGTCTGACCAAGTTCCATGTAAAACGAAGTCTTTAACAGTCTGAAAGCATACACCCAGTGAGGATGCTTATAACTACGAAGCTGGTTAGGTTACTTGACTCTGATGCAATCTCTTTATGGCCATACTCACGTTTCACAGTCAGCGATCTGTCTGTCGGTTGCGTTCAAGGCAGCTTTGTGATTTCGCTGAAACAAGAGCTTCAATCTGATATAATGCATACAATATTTCAAATCGGCCAAACCATTCTGAGATATCCAGTCAGTTGTGTCACTTCCAAATGTTAGTCCATGCTCGCTCACCTTCTCACAGAGCGAAATGCCCTTCGTGATGGCCGTCTCGGCCTCCATAGAATTTTCTGTTTCTTCCAACAACACAGTTGCATATCTTAACCGCATCTTAGCTTCCTGGCGTGGAGAGAGCCGGTTACTTTGTAGACATGCCTCCAAGCATGCCAGGCCTGTCGATATCAACTTCTGGTACTCGTCCAGCAGTGCACCGTCTAAAGACATTGCTACGTCATGGACAGAACCACGTGCCTTATCGAAACATTCTTCGGCCACTGCCACCATAATATGCACATTGTCTACAGGCCGGGGCTTGTGGGTGCTAGCTGGTGATCTTTTCGTGATACTTGGGGAGCGAGTGCTAATCGCGGGAGAGTTGGCGACGGAAGAGAGAGGACTAGGTTTTATTCTAGGGGTCGTGTTCTGTGGTTGAATTTGGGCTGGTTGTTGGTGTGGTGGTGGTGGTGGCTGTGGTTGTGGGTGGGACTGAGACTGAGGTGGAGGGAAATGTTGAACCTGCGGACTACCCATCATGATATCTGAAGGGTTTATAGTGCCAGAATCATGTTGCGATGTCCAAGTATCGGGCTGCTCTGGCTGAGCAGCGGCAGCAGCAGAACTCGTCGCCTGGCCCATGTTGACAGGGGGAAGTGGTGGTAGTTGTTGAATATCCTGCAGATTCACAAAGTCCAGCTGCTGATGTTCCGGTTGTGGGAGTGGCTGTTGCTGTACAGGTTCTGGAGGAGGCTTGGCAGCACTTTCGGCAATAAGCTTTTTGACAGGTGTTTGCGCAATGTGTTGCACCGTCTCTTGTGGCTGCTGCTGCTGAAATTCTTGGCGTGGCTGTTGTGTTTGCGGCGCTTGTTGTTGGACCTGTGGTTGAGCCGGCGAGGATATTTGCTTCTGACGAGGTTGCGGTGATTGCTGGGAGACTTGCGCCTGGGCTTGGACCTGTTGCTGGGCGTGTGCGCGGTGCTGCTGCTGCTGCTGTTGATACTGGTGCTGTGTCGTGTGCTGTTGAGAAAATTGATAGTTCTGGGTGGGCTGCTGCGCCTGTGGAAGTCGATATCCTTGATTTTGAGGCATGGAGGGAGCTCTTTGCAGCGGAGAAGAAACTTGACTGGGCCGCCTTTGCTGGACGTGCTGTTGCGGTGACGCGACGTGCCGTTGGTACATCTGCTGCTGGTGATGCGGTTGCGCTTGCTGGAACTGCTGCTGTTGCTGTTGATACATCATATTCTGCTGCCCTGTCGGTGCTTGCTGGTGCTGCCATACATTCGCCGGCGGTGTATACTGCGCAGCAGCTGGCTGCATCTGATGACCTCCGAACGCATTTCCGCCCGTCTCATATCCCTGATAAGCCGTCTGCAAGCCCCCGTACTGCGCCATCTGCTGCTGTTGAGGATACGCCTGCTGCTGCTGCTGCTGCTGCTGCCCTTGTTGTTGTTGTTGAGGCATCGTATAGTATTGCTGCTGCTGCTGCTGTTGCGGGCTCGTGAACTGCTGATAACCGTTGGGCACATAGGACGATGGCGGATTCATGCCAGGCCCCGGCAGCGGCTGCTGGGAGCCTTGTTGGCCCTGGCCATGGCCATCGAAAGGCCTGTAGCTCATGACCCTTCTATCCCGCCACTGCGACTATTCTGTTCTTCGGGGGGTCGTTCTCAGCATTCGGGTCTTCTCTTCGTCGCGGGGCGCAGACCAACGCGATTGCGCTTCATGGTCTGCTGTACTAGGTCGATGCTTCGTTCATTCACGATCGTGTCGTATCGTATCGTGTCGTGTTGTATCGCTCGGCTCCAGGGTTACAGCGCAAGTATCGATAACCAAACTGATCTTTTTTCGTCCTAGTCCCGGACTTCCAATTGGCGACTTTGATCTTGTTGAGTTTGAATCGTGAAAGGACGAGAAACACGAGTGCGACAGGATCCTACCGTCGTGTCGCAGAGCAACGTGATTGGCTGGTTTTAGTGTGGTAAGTGCGGAACTACAAGTCAGACTACAGTTCTGTGCAAAAGTTCCGACAACGAGCCAACAAGAGATGATTAGATTAGAATAGATTATACTCAATATAGTAAATTTAGAAGACTCTATATAATCTTAGAACTGTATTATATAAAATTATATAAATTGAAAATAGCTTTTAATAATTTGTATAATCTTTATAAAATGTAGAATAGAGGAAATTGTCGGAACTTTTGCACACCCACTGTAAACCAACCAACACATCCATAGGTACTAGTATCTAGAGACTCCTGGAGACCCTTATCTTGGGAAGTTTAATTAAAGCAAATTTTTACATATACATACATAGTAAGAATCAAAGACACATATAGGCACAGATGTTTTAAAGAATCATAAAGTAAATTATTCGTCATGTGCTTTGCTTGCTACAGTCGTTGCTCGTGACATGTTATTATCTTACACCAACACAAGTGTGAAGTCTTTGAACCATGTATGTTTGTACCCTTTTCAACAAGCCCGAATGCAATAAAATAGGCAGATCAACCCAACAAAGACAAAATAAATCCAAGGCCCACGCTCAACTCTATAATGCCTGCTAAGCTCCAGGGCATGCAATATCCTTGGGTATTAGAAGAAAGCACAACTTAATATGCATCAAACTCCAGCGATGTCTGCCCGTTTCTCAATCCTCCAACACTTACTTTACTCGTTCAGCCCATACACACCCATTCAGCAAATACGCACCACCGGGCTGTGCGATCAGCAAGCACAAGGCCTCTCCATACACCTTTCTCGGAACACTTGATGATTGTCTCCCACGTTCCGCCATCGCTAGCGGTTTCGCTGCCAGAAAGACTTCTGCTACCAACATGAATGCCCTTGCGGTCCTCCTTTCTCATAAGTCGGAGGATCTTGCCTCCAGGGGTTTGGATTGCAAGCTTCGCAGGCTTCTTCCCAGCAACAGTGCCCGTAGCTGAGCTTGGAGTTGACCCACTAACACTTGACGCACCCATACTTAGTGCTGAGCCTGGACGAGCAAACGGTATAGGACTTGTGCCTCCCGGGTTCGACGATGGGGTGAGGGCTGATCCGCTTGCCAGAGAGCTCGGGTGCTGTCTGATGGCAAAGACAAATGTGTTGTTGAGCGCTAACCGTTGACACTGCGGCTGAACCACATAGATATCATGTCGCTGTGCGTGAGGAGTAGGATGTCTCATGACAAACTCGTATGGTGGGTTCTCGCCTGTGTGAACAATAGGTAGTGCAAAGGCCAGCGGATGTGGAATGTCCTTAACGCTGTGCATTAGGCCTCGCTTGCCTGCATAGACTTTCAAAGTACCCTGCCCCTCATCTCCAGGGAGCAGTGCCTTGACAGTATATCTCTTGATTCCGTTGAACCATTCTGCTTGGGCCAGTGCCCTCTTCTTGACTATATCACCGCTTTCAAAGACGTCGCCATCCGAATCCCGCGAGTAGCCGCGGACTTCGACCTCGGCGGCAATTTCCACGTCGTAAGGGACACTGAATTTGATATGAACCATCTCCAAGTCCTCGATTCTGGTTGAAGCAGTGTTATAATCCACCATCTCGAACCCGTTGCGAAAGAAGGGTGCGCAAGCGCATGGCAAATTAAGGAGTGTTTCGTGTGCCACAGGAGGAACGATATGCTGCTGGGTGTGGTGCTCAGGGATATGTGTCCAGCAAATCTCCAATGGCCGAGTCAAGAACCACCAAGGATCGGCCGTGTTGTTGGCATTGGAGTATAGACCCCGGCGAGGGTATGAAGGGCTGGCAAGACAGCAGTCGATCATGCGCCATTCGTTATCAATGACAACAGTGTTCCACCAGTGGTTTGGCCGAGGCATGATGTTGATTTCAGAAACTTCACCCGGAGTCTTAAGGTAGCCTCGCACGATCTCACAGTGAACGCCAATAGCAGAGCACATCTCCATAACCAGGACAGCATACTCCTCAGCAGAGGCCCTCTTGGCTTGGAGAACTCGCGATGTATCGATCTCGCCCTCGAAATCTTCTTCCCAGCAGACCTTCTCGGAGACCCATGTGAAGATAGCTCGCAGCCGTTGTACATCACTCCGGTACGGCCGACACACATACGTAGTGGCGAGTTGGATGGCAGTGACAGCGGGAGGAAGGCCACTAATAAATCGTGAGCTTTTGTCCACTTGAGACAAATTGATCGCCTGGTAGCTGGTGGGTTCCTGAACTGGCTCGCCATCAGCCCCTTCATCTCCTTCAACACACTCATGGAGCTCGTCCACAGGATTGAGGGCAGGGTGGTCCATCATCTGACATCGTTCCCGGCGCTCAGTCAATTCTATTGTACTGAGCGAGTTGGAACGATTCACATCTCGACGAACTTGAACCCAATCAACACCACCGCCAAGTCCCATGTCTGTCGCTGCTTCTCTGTTGGTGGGTGCGCGGCCCAGAACTGGTATAGCTGACGCACCCGCTGGCATTGAGCGAGCGAAAGGTGACCTGGGAGAGTCAATACCACCAGCGACCAGTCCGCCTCGACTGCTCGCCACGCCCGTTTTGGCAGTATCGAATATCTTGCGGAAGATGTTTCGCTTTGGTGGTTTCGGTTGAACCAAACCGCCTAGTTCCAGGGAAGGCTCTTCGTGGAAGCCGACTTGAGTTTGGGGGCGCTGTTGAGCTGGGGAGTCACTGGCATGACTGCTGTGGTATGTTACTCCTGTGAAAGGGGAGTCTGGTCTGTCGATTTCCAGCTCACGAGCTCCTATAGCGCTCTGAGCTCGTTCGCGCATTCCAATGCGAGCCAGGCTTCCCGCACTCGTAGTGCTGATGGCGCCAGCCGATGTTCCGCTCCACAAAGTTCTTGAAGTACTTTGAGTTGACGAACTGGTGTTACTCTGGTTACCCGACGAGGAACTGGTCGCGTTAGTTTTGGTTGTCAACGTGCGAGCAACCCCTCTTCCGATCTCGTAGGCGGACTTGCGAGCTCTCAGCTTTCTTTCAGGCTCAGCAGCACGTCCCATGGATGACTTAGGCCGCTCGTATGGCGCATTCTTAGGTGGCGGAGGAGGCGGTTGATCATCATCTTGATCACTTGCTTTTGAGTTCTGACGATGCATTTGCTGAATGCGCTTTTCCATGCGATCAACATAACTGCTCAGCTTGTCTTCTCGACCACCATTCTGGTATGACACTTCTTGGGAAGATTCGCCGCTCCATGTTTCATAGCCCTCGTCTTGTGGCGTGATTCCCATTGAGGTTTTGGGTCGGCTTCGGTCTTGAGGCTTCCTGTTCGAGTGATGAGACAGCATGTCAAAGGATTCTGGTGACCAAGGATCGGCAGGAGTTTCTGGTGAGGGAGGTTGCCCTGCCCTGCCTAGGACGTCAAGTTGCTCCATGACACCGTCCATAGCTTCTCTCAATGGAGAGGGTGTCATGCCTCCTGCAGGAGATAGCGGGATAGGTGAGGCCCTGCCGGGGGTATATGGCATATAACACCTATCATCGAAAGAGTTTCTAGACCCATGTCTGATGGTTGGCTGTGGTGGCTGTGGTGGTTGTGGGGTACGGTATGAATTACTAGAATTTTGTCTTGAAGGCGGCAAGCGATTAAATGAGGAATTAGATCCATGTCGTGAAATATCAACAGACTTCCTATGTAGATCACTTGATCCACCTCGTGTCATATGCCTATGAGGAGGCGGCGGTGGGGGAGGCGGGGAGTTTCCTCTCTCTTGTCCTCCTCGATAAGGGACCAGTTGGCGATGGAACGATGGAGCGGGCGATGGACCTCTCCCAGAGTAGTCATAGTTCTGGTGCATCGGCGGGGCAGGAGAAGGTCCTCTTGCACCATAGCTGTGCGGAGGTGCGGGTGATGCACCTCTTGGGTGGTAGCTTTGAATGGGAGCTGGTGAGGGAGCTCTTGAGTGGTAGTTGTGCATTGGTGATGGTGACGGAGCCCTTGAATGGTAGTTGTGCATAGGAGGAGCTGGAGATGGAGCTCGTGAGCCATAGTTATGAGAAGGAGCCGGGGATGGAGCTCGATGATCATATGGACGAGGTGGCGCAGGTGAAGGAGCTCGACGGTCGTATGAGCGAGGTGGTGCAGGCGAGGGCGCACGGTGATCATATTGCCTTGGAGGAGCAGGTGAAGGTGCACGGTAATCATATGCGCGAGGAGGCGCTGGCGAAGGCGCTCGATGGTCGTGAGTCTGCGGAGGTGCAGGTGATGGGCCTCGTTCAGCTTCATGGGTGCTGGGTGTGAATGAAGCACTGGAGTTTTGTCGGTCCTTAGGCTTCGGGGTTTCCTTGAAGGTCTCCGGCTGCTTCGCGCTGGTATAATGAGGAGCCTTGGAGTATGCCTCAAATGGCTTTCGGAATGTTTTCGATTTTGATGGTGCAGTAGGCGGGGGCGCGTTTGGTGTAGGAGCAGGAACAGATTTGGTCGTCGGGCGAAATTGAGAAGGGAGAAGCTCAACAAAGTTGGAAGGGAACGATCCGACGGTTCTTCGGTCTCGATATAACCTGCCCACCCACCAAGAACCATCACCGGCATTTAGACATTCTATTAGATCTCCCTCGATAAATCCAAGATCTCGCTTTGACTGTTACGCTCAGTTAGCCTCCCTTGCGATATTTCATATGACCTTGCAACAAACCTCTCCTCCCCATGAATACACGGCTCTACACCAACATGGGAACCGTGTTGGCAACGGCGGTGCTGGAGGCGGCATATTGTGGAATGGTAATTCAAGCAAAGACTAAACACGGCCCAAAGTAGGTATGTTTGGACTCGAACAATTCGCGAAGAAGCGAGGTGAGGGTTTATCGAACTGTAGATACACGCATATCAAGCACGGTCGTGTTGTGATATGTCTGCTGAAACCCCAAAAACAAGAGTCGGAAGATGGTCCAAAACGATATCCCACGATGATAGATGTGGTGTTGAAGAGGTAATGAGTGAGAAAAATAAAATAATCACCACAGATTGTGGAATATACAATAACACAAGACTAGACAAGCAGCCTTGAGATGGCGACTCCGATATAATGAAAAGCGCAAGAAGCGTGTTGAAAAGAAACGATGGTTCGAAGCTACGCCTGTCAAAAAAGCGGTAGGACATCCGCGGTGCTCGAGCGTCTACCGTCACAAAGGCCGGGAGAGGTCGAGGTTACCACAGCAACCCGAGATCGGCGGGGCATTGGACGGTTGACTGCTCGGCTGCCCCATAGAGCTATGACCACCGCAAACAGCCCGTAACTTACATGCAAGGGGAGCTGGAGAGCCCCCCAGGCCCTGGACTTAACTGAGACAGCGGTAAAAAGAATATTGGACTGAGAGCGTTAGTTGCTGTTGAAACGGTACCTGCATTTGGGCTTGACAATGTTATCGTGGCTTGATGTTTCTGAGAGTAACTGTAAGTGGTTGTTTTCTTATGGATCAAACATTAGGCATTGCGCATGCGTTGTGTCGCCACGCTATGTTGTTGATAGTTAGTAATAATGCATGAGACAGCTTTATAGCAAAGTGTTGATAAAGCATAGTTACTACCCTATGGCCTTGATTGCAATCAACGTTGCTATGGATGTGAGAAGTGCATTGGCCATGCTCTAACACTTATTTCCATGGAGTTAATAAAGCTGGAGCTGGAGCTGGGCTGGAGGTGAGGCTGCTAGGCTGCTAGGCTTGTAGTTGGGTTAGAATGATATCCGCACACTTCCAGATGATATCATATACCAAGCTTCAGAGAATTTATCACATTGTTGACATAATGCTAGATTCTCTAGAGTATTCTGATTTATCGAACCTTCCTTGAATAGTATACCAATTTATTACCTGTACCTAGGTAGTATCTCCTTGTTCTACTGACATGTACTGAAGTACGCGGATTTACTTTTACCTGCCTAGTACCTAGCTTGCACTTCTCCATACCGCTTTAACAGGGGGCCCTGCTGAAGCTGCATGATCACGAAGATCCTTGGAGCTTATAACAGCCAAGGCTATGATGAGAGACGGGGATATTACAACATGAGGATCCATCCAACCGTAGAGAAGACGGACTTTGCGCATTTGCGATGGGTAATTTTGCAATTGTCTTTTCCACCCTCGTTTTTCAGTCAATGCTCTCTTTTGCTCCGAATATCCACAACATTAAGCATCAATAAATCATGACGTGTATATTGCTTTTGCCTTCGATTTGCAATATTCAATCGTGTGACCATGTCCTTCTACCCCACACGTTTTCTGATTTTCTGAGACGCAGCTTTTCCTCGAAGAGATATAATGACATGAAAAGTCTCAGAACTCGAGTCGCAGCAACTCACGGAAAACCTCTACGCTGCCTAGACTATGCATACTCTCGTCCATTGTTCCAGAACCTCTTGTGCCTGGAGACCGTCGTCGCCTCCACACAATCCGTACCTTACCTTAGTGCACCCGAAGTGTGCATGAAAATACCGGACATGAGGGGGTTGGACATAAACAAACGCTCAGTAATCAACGTTATAGTGGTTATAGGCCGTTGCAATCATTTCAGTCAAGTAGTGGTTTTCTGTCTTCACATCAAGACTGGCATAATCAAGCAATCTTGCGCACTAGCCATTCCTTGGGGGGCACATAAACCATGGACAGTGACAGTCCATGCCATGTTAGCTTTGATCAACTGCAATAAGGCTAACATCATACCAGTTCCTTGAAGACAAGTAGTAGAGAAAACAATGAGAGTTAAATTGGGATTTGCTCAAGTCTATAACGACGTTTTGACAAAAACGCTGCAGATACGAATACTCTATCACAGAACAATATAACTTCGAGCTGATCTCCCACATCCGTCGTATTCTGACCACCATACGCCAGGGGTTGTTGGCAGAGAGGGCATGATGAGCTAAAAAAGTGACCGGGGTAATGGGTAGCTCCCCACTGAGTGTGGCACGGGCAACCTTTAAGGTCTGGGCATGAGATACCCAGAGAGGGAAAGCAGTTGGTATGCGCAACCTTGGGAGAGACTCCACGAAGCTGTCATTCTCTCTACAAGCGCCGGAGCACTATAAGCTAGAGCCTCACCTCACGATTCCGGACCGTTTTAAACACTCCAATTGAGAAACTTTTTAGTATCATTTTATTCCAGTCTAGTCTCCGTGCCAGTACTGGACCGTCCGCCCGGAGCTGGCCTGAGCAGCTTGGAGCTCCCCCTACCAAAAAAAAAATCAGGCTCACCTAAAGTAAACAAAAGTGCCAGGGGCTGGTTACAGCTTTGACAGGGTCCGCTTCCCAGACAACCGCCAGACTGCCTTGACATTCGCCCGCATGACTTTTAATAGACGATTACTGCAACTCCCAAACTCGTTACGACCGCCTTTACATCTTAAAAAACAAATATCAGTTCTATCAGCAGACAATCCTCAATCTTTGCGCGCATTGCATCACTTGTCGCATTAGCCAGCAATAGCATCATCTTCATCTTCATCCCCAAGCATATTCTGTTCCGTTGTCCCTCTGCCCGAGCAGCGTGAATCTGAATATCCTCACAACATTGCATGACGTCAATCCACAATGGCTGACGAAGGCGTTGCTGAACATTACCAGGTTCTCGAGGAGCTTGGCCGTGAGTCTTCCTATCCGTACTATTTTGCCGCATTAACTAATTGTTTGCTCCAGGGGGGAGTTTTGGTATCGTCTACAAAGGTATTGAGAAATCAACCGGTGAGACCGTCGCTATCAAACATGTAAGTACATAGTATCTTCGTTGCCGGGTCCACCACTCACAAACATCAACAGATCGACCTCGAATCCAACGACGATGATATCCAAGATATTCAAGCCGAAATTGCTGTGCTAAGCACATGCGCCAGTTCCTACGTTACTCAATACAAAGGTTCTTTTCTGCGAGGTACCAAGCTATGGATTGTCATGGAGTACCTCGGCGGCGGATCTTGCTTGGATCTGGTATGTCTCTTCTTGAAACCTATCTGGACAGGACCTCGATCGCTAACCAGAAATAGCTAAAACCAGCCAACTTCAGCGAAACACACATCGCCATCGTCTGCCGTGAATTACTGCTGGGCATTCAATACCTGCACACCGAGGGCAAGATTCACAGAGATATCAAGGCAGCCAACGTCCTCCTCTCCGAGACCGGCAAAGTCAAGCTTGCTGATTTCGGAGTTGCTGCCCAATTAACAAACATCAAGTCGCAGCGAAACACCTTCGTTGGAACGCCGTTCTGGATGGCCCCGGAGGTCATCCAACAAGATGGCTACAGCTTCAAGGCCGATATCTGGTCACTAGGTATCACTGCTATGGAAATGGCCAATGGCGAACCTCCACTGTGCCACATCCATCCTATGAAGGTTCTCTTCCACATTCCGAAGAATTCGGCTCCTCGCCTAGAGGGTAATTTCAGCAAGGACTTCAAGGACTTCATCGCTCAATGTCTCACCAAAGATTACGACCGTCGACCCACCGCAAAGGACCTCCTACGCCACCGCTTCATCCGCAACGCTGGCAAGGTTGAGGCACTGCAGGAGCTCATCGCACGTCGACAGATGTGGGATGCCAACCAAAACAGACAGAAGCACCCTATCTACTACCAAGAGACCCTTCAGACCATGACTCCTAAGGACGAGCAGCAGGAATGGGTCTTCGATACAGTTAAATCGGTTGCGCCACCTAAGAGACCAACGATCAAGCAGCACCGAAAGGCCTCATCGATCTTCTGCGCCGAAGAGGCGATGAAGAAGATGGACCTCAATGACGGGCCTCTTGGTGGAACCTCTCCCGCGCCTGGTACTGTCCGAAAGTCAACAGTCCGTCGAACACCACCTGTTGCTCAAAACTCATCAACGCAGTCTGGCGGTTCCCCTAGAGGCTCTATTGCTCCCAAGCGACCTCTCCAACCAGACATGTCATTCGGCAACTCGGGATCGACTATGCGTCTTTTCCGAAGAGTGCCTTCTGACAGTTCAAGCCAGGGTCAAGGCGCTCGACCGGTTTCTCCTGATGATGTCTTTTGCGATGAGAATCGCCCCCAACAAATTGCGACTCCCGTTGAGCCGTATGGCAAAGAGGCCGTTCTGGGACGTCGGTTGTATAATAAGGCTGTAGAGCCTTCCCTAGCTGAGCTGCACGCTCAAACCTCTGCGATGCAGAAGCGGGAGGCCCTGGCGAAGTTGTCGGATGCTTTTGCGGCTTTGGATGCGGTCGATCCTGAAGGAGCCTACCACCTCATGAACAGCATGGTATCAGCCATCTCTCAAGACAACAAGCTCAGCGCATCAATCCTACGACAGCCCGCTCAAAAGACTCCTGCCTATGGCACTCCTCAGGGTACTGTGATTGTCAAGAACTCCACCCCTGCAGCCAGCCCAGCGAAACTCACAATGTCCTCCAACCCCCATCTCCGTAGCCAACGACGTCGTCATGCTGATACACCAACCATGTATGAGAAGAACTTTGACCGCGAGAAGATGGCCGTTGACGGTAGATATCCTGGCCAGGAGGCCAGGGCCGGCATGGAGCACTGTAAGCAGCTGTCTGATGTCCTCTACTCGCGCTGGGTAGACGGCCTGCGCATCCGATGGCCCGCCGTCTGATCTACACACATACTCATGAATGATGGATGAATTAATATCATGGCACGACCTCAAGCGGCGTTGTGTCCTTGCATCGGTTTGGTACGATCCATGCACCAAGTTTTTTGTACTACTCATTTTGCATTTGGTTCTGCTCTTTCCAATTTTTCAGCACGGAACAGAAGCAGACATCAAGGACGGTTCCGTTGAAGGTTGCATTTTCATCAGCATTTGGCGACCCTGGGCTAGCATGATCACGATGTAATGAATATCTCGAGGATGATCTTATCGGCCCGGGCTATTGTTTTTTTCTTTCTTCTTATTTATCTTTTGGGTTTCATTGTTTCATTGCGAATCGCGCCAGGCGTTGCAAGGCATTGTATTTAAGAACATGGATGGTACGGAGGCAACTCTTGTTTTGATTGTCAATTGCATTATTGTTGGTTTGGGGCAGGCAAGTAAATAACTAGAAGCAGGCACAGCCTAGACTTGTAAACCCAACAGCTTGAGGACATAAAGTGATTATTGTACAACTTTTGTTCAATGTTATTTTGGTAACGGCAATAAGTCTTGCCAACTTCGGCCGTGATGCCAGAGGAGTTTCTGGACGTTATGAAGTTTCATCGCTGGGTCCAAGAGCTAACTTGATCCTCCAGTTCTTGAACTCATCCGATAGAATGTCACCGTGACCTGTCTCCTCTACCTTGAAAAGCTCGATGGTTGGTGACTGTGGCTCACGCTTTATCCTCCAGACGCCCTCATCCTTGATGTTGTCCGTGAGCCCTGTCGAAACCATACATTAGCGGTCTGGTCATTTTTCAAGAAGAGTGTCATATACTTACAGTCTAAGAAAACAGCTGCAAAGTTGACGCACATGTCAGCGTTCCACTTGGGATTCGGATAAGCGTTGACCATCTCGGGAATGCGACGAGTCTCGATATCCTTTGCTTCAACCAGAATCCCATCACGTGTGCGGAAACCAACAACAATACGTGGTACGCCAAGAAGAAACGATTGGATCCAGTACTTCATCAGCTTACGATTGAAATTCTCCATGTCACCCGCATTGCGAATCTCGGCTGACGTCTTAAGCTCTACCCAGTTGATGGGGCTGCCTTTTTCTTGAGGCTTTGAGTCCCAGACTGCGAAGGTGTTGGTTAACAGGCGAAAGAGGGGTGGAAATGTATCTTACTAGCATCGACCTCACCGCCGAGGCAGAGGACAGATTTGCCTATACCTGTTCGGACGACGGAGCAGTATTGAGCTTTGTTGTTGACGACTTCGTTCTCACGGTTTTCGATGAACTCCCGTGACGTTTCTGCCCATGGTGCGGGCAAGGTTGACAGCGTCTCGAACTTGTAACCTAGATTGCATTGTGAGTACAAATCAAGGTCGTATGAATCAAGAGAGCATACCCCAAAACTGCATTACCTCGAGTGGGGGCCCTCTCCTGCGTTTGTTGTTGCCCTCGTTAGATCTAGATGCCACCTTGTAGGCGTTATTCTCCTCAATGAAGCTGCAGAATTAGCCGGTATAAGTATCATCATAGGCAGAGTTCTTACACGCAGTCCTTGTTAAAGGGAGCGTTGTTAGTGATTATGTTCGCCAATTCAGGGGAAGGTTTTCATCATGAGCGTACTTGATAGAGGGTGGCATTCATCTCAAAGCTGTCGGCCAATAAGTTAAAACATCGTAAAATTGAGAGCACTGGTATTGCACCTACCCGTCCATATTGTCAAAAGGCGTTGCCATAATCTGTAATGGAGTTTAGCTCTTGGTCTAGAGGCTCAAGGGAAAGGACATCAAACCTTTGTCATCATTCCTCTCCATGTGACAACGTTGGCATCTATCTTTTTGCCGGTTTCCTGCTCATGAGCAACGATGGTCTTGAGAAGACTGTCAAGGTGGTCATCCCCGGTATCATCCAGCTTCTGAAAGGTATCAAATCCTTTGGAGAGGTCTGCTCCTAGTTGTGGTGTGTAGTAATATTTGATAGAAGAGTCGTCTAGGTGAAACTTATGATTGTCGTCGTATGAGAAGCAGGCGAACTCCTGTAAATATTGTGAGCATTTAAAGATGTAGTTACAGGACGAGCATTGATGAGACTGTTCAATATTATCATATAACCAATGTACTCAACTCACCTTGGGTCTTTTAACAGCCTCGCTTGTACCTGCAAAGCGGCCTATAGGCTGAAGTGAGAAGCGCGCCGACATGATCTGCAATGATCGAGACAGCTGTTTCGTGTAAGAGTGATGATTTGGTGATGTTCAAGAATCAATCGAGTCGTGTGCTGGCCAATGCGCTTATTGATGATGGAGGTGTTACCAGTTATTGTGAAACGGCAGGAAGTAACCAAACTGTAGGGTCACTCCCGTAAAGATCAAGCACACCCGGGTTTTAGTGGAGGTTGACAGCCCAGCCACTGTGCTTTGATGCTTACCTAGCGTTAAGGTCGCAGGGGTCTATCGTTTAGAGATGGGGAGGTACAGTACGCGAAGAGACCAGATATCAATCAATATGCATTGTATCCGTACCTACTTAGGTAGTTTTACACATCATTCTCGCAATAGAAAAGTACCTATCGATGGATAACTGCCAATGGAGCCACACTGTAACCATCGTAAGTTGAGAAAACCTTAGGTCCGTAGTCCAGACGCTGAGACCAGACCAAACAAACGGCATCACACATTTCAGCTGCGTTGGTTGACGGGCAGCAGCAGATCTAAGTGCAAAAACAGGAAACAGTCGAGCGCTTCATATACTTGTAACTAATGTAGCATCTCGAGTATCTTGGAAAAATAAGAGAGTAATCTGTATATATATATAGGCTTAATGCTTCGAGATCGTCTTCAAATAAAATATCATTGTAATGAAGGTGTTCAAAAGGGCGAGTTGAGACGAAAGTGGGGACCTCTGGCAGTGCAAACGAAGGCACTGAGCAAAGGTGCACCTGCCTGTACCCCCTCCTACCTATTGTAGAGGGCAATCAACAATAGAAAACGTGAAAGGCAGTTAGTTCCACCTTCTCTTATTCCAAAATCGCCTGCACATAAACTCCCGTCTTTCGCTTCTTCTACTTCTTCCTTCTAATCATTTCAACTCTCCATCAAAGACTTACTTTTTACTTTTCGTTTTTGTGTCGAACTCAACATTTCGATCAAACTTGAAAGGTCGCACGTTCATCACCTTATCCTAGCTACACTTGCTTTGAGTGTATCACCCTACAGTCGCTACAACCCCAGCGCATCTGGCAGTTACTGAATCGGACTCCCCCACACTCACACCAAACCCCTGATCTCATCAACGACCGCAGCACTAGCAGCGTGCTCTCCAGCGATAATCACGTGCGCTGTAGTGGGACTTGATCGACGACATCCCCCAAAAGCATCAGCCGAACTCCTGTTTGGTAGCCTTGCTCTCATCTGGCGCGCGTGCATAGTCTCGACTTACACCAAGCGTTGACCGTTGTAGTCGGTCCTCGCAGGTCTTTGTCGCCGGCTGAATACTGTCGCAATATAATCTCTGACTTGCGCCCTTTTCCTCCAGTAGCGACCTCCACCCCTGTCGCCCTCGGGTCGCCTGCGTGGTTACCATTATCCCGTCCCAGTCGTACCATCGTACTCATGGTCGGAACGCGCAAAAGCACACCAACTTCTCGAGCATCTACCCCGCGAACATCCGCAACACCACTCAATCGGAAATCAAGAAGAAAAAGAGAATACGAGGATAGTGAAGAAGAGTACACTGAGCAGCCGTCTTCCCGCAAGCGCAGGAAATCAGGCACTCCTAAGTCTGGACAACAGCGTCGAGGTAGCCTCCAAGACAAACGAGGCAAAAACAAAGGTGAACCTGGCCAAGAAGACACAAATAGAGAAACCGCAGCTCAACTCAGCTCAGACGACGGAGAGCAGGACGGCTGGTGGCAAGTCAAGAGAGTTGTCGACGAACGCCCCACAGTAGCGGACAACGGCGAAATCGTAAACAAGTGCCTCGTAGAGTGGGAGCCTAGCCCCAAGGGCCGAACATACGAACCAGAGTGGATTCCTGTATGTTGCGCTGTAGTGTTGTAAAGCAACTAGGATATCATGCTGACATATTTCAGATCGCTTATCTTAACGCTGAAGCAAGAAAAGACTGGGAAGAGGAAAAGAAGAAGAAGGATCGCGAAGCTGAGGCCAAGAGTCGTGAAACAAGAACTCAGCGAGGACTTCGGAATCTCACGCCTCGTGCCAATCAAGCTGAACAAGCTAGAATCTATGACGGGCCGCAACAGCCGACTTTAAATGTGTTAACTCCAACCAGATCTCGACCCAGTTCTTTCAGAAAACACGTGCGATCAGGAAACAAACCCAAGGTCCAGCGAAGCAGCGGGTTGTCCGAAGAGCCTGTACCATCCATAGTCTCCGCCTCGTCGTCGGAGATCGTTGAGAGCCCCAGCGAACCTCCCTTATTATCAGACGGAAAATTCGCTGTTGTTTTGAGTAAGCCCGACAACTTTGACCCCTCCGAATACCAGAGCGTCAGCACACAGAGTAGTTCCCAGAAGGTTTCCGATCTTGAGGAGGGTGACCAGCGGATTGCGTTCGCATCAAAACTGAGCCAAGACACAATCCCTGATTCTCAAGATCTCTCGGGTCATTGGGATCACCGAGAGTTGGAAAGTCAATCTGCTGTTAGGCCTGACTACGAGCCAGGCAGTCCTCAAGTTCCCGACGATCAACAACTAGTAGCCACAGATCATCCTGCATCTGTTGATAGAGTAGGAGGAGCTGTAACTCAGCAACAATCACAGAGCCCTGTACAAGTTTCACGTCATCTAGACGTTGAGGAACATCCATCTGTCGACGCTTTTTCCGAGTTTGACCCGCCATTTCCAGACTCGGATAACGAGGACGCTCCTCTTGAAGACGACACCCCTAATCCTGATACAGGAGGGTACACTGACACTGTCAATCATTCTGACGAAGAGGGATCAGAAGTCCATAGTATCCGAGACGACCAAGATTCTGGATTGAACGACATTGAGGTCGGGAGTCCTGCACACAACACAAGACTTGAGCAAGATAACCTTGGTTCCCAAGAGCACAATCACCGGGACACTGGGAGTACTCCAGAGAGCCAGCACTCCCTTGACAACCAGAGCTTTGAGACGGCTAATTCGCAAAACAGCCGGACTCGTCTGGATAGCGCAGACTGTGACATCCAAGGTAGCCAGACCCAAGAAAGTATCTCAGCAGACCAACATTCTGAGGACGAGCAGCAGGCCGCAGAAAATCACATCTCTGAAGCTGTTAACAACGCTCGATCCCAGCGAGAAGATCATTGTGGTCAGGAAATTGAAGTTGAGCGAAACGTCGTGAAACAACACCACCCACATAGTGAAGAGAGCATTGGAGCTGATCGATCATTGACGTTCGCGGAGAGTAACACAGACTTCCAGAATTACCGCAGTCAAAGGCATGCCCATGCGCTTGATACAGCTACTCGTCTAAAATCAACCTTGTCTCCAAAAGTAGTCGCACAGCCACAGGATCAGATCTCTTCAAGCGAAGAGATTGGTTGCGTTATCCCAGATTCACAGGATCATTCGAACACATCTGCACACACTAGCGCATCCAAGGCTTTAGCTGTGTTGTCCCAGGATCAGGTCACTCCCTACGTTTCTCAAACCGAGATTGTCCCGGACTCAGCAGCAACAACTACTTCGGACATACCATCCCATCAACCAGATCAGCCACGTCCAGTCTCACTGGAAAAAGAAGATAGGTTTAGTAGTTCTATCTCAAGCGACCTCGGTTCCCACCGCTTGGATCGGGCAACAGTTGCATCTACTCGAGAATCCTTGATTTCAAACAATACACCGAATCCACCTGTTTATTATACACAGCCTCAATTCTCAAATAACTTGCCTGATATTTCGAGCTCGTTCTCTTCCAGGACTGGAGTTCTTAACGAGGCTGCACATACCGCACCCGATCAAATTCCTCAGTCGCAATCTGCCAACAAATCTGCCGTGAGGCTCGAAGACTCGCAAGCAATCCGGGTGGTGAGTTCTCAACTTGCCAGATCCCAATCCCGAGGAATCATTCTTGATCAAGAAATTGAGTCCGCCGCTGAATCACAGCCCACAGCAGTTGAAGTGGACACGGTCCAGGGCTCAAAGCGACAACTTAAAAGCCACTCCCAAAACGGCAGTGCATCTGAACCACCTTCAGAACTACTTAGGTCGATATCAGGACTTCAGGAAATGGAGCGCTCAGTCTCCCAACCACGAAGTTCAGCAGTCGATGAACTGAAAAGTTTCATCGACTTCGGCAAGGACTCATTATTGACTCAAGTTGGGGAATCACTTGACGACGGTCTGGATGAGACGTCTTATGACGTGCCAAGTGAAGTCGAACCGATGGCCAATACCAGCACAGCTGACCTTGATGTTGTGGTGAGCTCTCCCGAGGTTGTCATCCAATCTCTACCAGTGTACTCGGTGGATCCTTGGAAGCCGGAAGTTCTTGGAAACACACCAGAGGCACCACCCCCTTCCATCTCTCCAGCTTCCATCATGCCTGTACCTAACACACATATCTCGGCGGTCGACAGTATGAGACAGGCAATCAACTTGGCCTTTAACGACTCGAATGACTCTCTTACCCATACCCTCCTAGGCCAAGATACCGATGATGGGATGCCACCTGGAACTATTTCCCCAGCAGCTATCAGCCGCTCGGCTGAACCAATGGCTTCGTCGCATGTTCTAAATTTCCCGGGTCAAGACGCGATAACCCCTGAGATTGAAAGTTCGGGGTTGTCGATCACCATGGGTCAAGTTCCTGTTGATCAAGACTCCGATGTCTCATCAGAATCTTCGCAACGAGATGACGATTTGTTGCAATACCCAATCACTCTCCCTATGCAAGCAAGTCGACGACCTTACTACGGAGAAGTAATAAAAGACCATAAAGCTGAAATTCAGGCCTTCAGCCGTTTCTTTACTGGCGAGACACGTGGGAAGCCTGATGACAGTCTTGTGGAAAAGATTGACGATCTTTTCGATAGGCTTTTTGGCATTTGCGACTATCCGCAAGATGTCATTGGGAGCAGTCTCGAAAGCCAGCCTAGCTCGGGTATTGCCAAATACTCATGTGACGCTAACTCCAAATTCTGTTTTCTGTTTGAGCTGATGTCTGCCCTGGACGGGAAGGAGCAGGGAATTCTTGTTGTGGTTCGCAGTCAGGAGCTCATGCGCTTGATCTTTGCTGTCACAGAGGTCGCAAGAATTGAATGTTCGGCAGAGAGTATCAGCAAGCGTACCGACTATCCGTCTGTCACGAGAATCACCCTTGCTTTATCAACTGAAGAATTTGACCCATTCAACTTTGACGTTGTTATCGGGTACGATTTCCATTTTTCTCGTTCATCTATTGCTAGGCAACTGTACACGAAATCTACTCGCAAGTCACCCCTTGTTCTACTGCTTGTTACAACACATTCTATCGAGCATGTCAACCTTCATCATTGGGATAAGGTTTCGGATCTGGAGGCAAAGAACGCAATCCTTGCATGCACTGTCAGTGCAGGGCGCTATCTCGAAGATCCAGAAAGGGGTTACGGTGAGCCTCACAAAGTCGCAGAGGTGTTTGCAGCTTACTTGAATGGCAATACCGACACGTTGAATTGGGAACCTCAAACTATACCGGATGACGTTCTCGATATCTTTGAGAACCCTATGTCCCAGATTCGGACATTATTCTCGATTGACTCGTTACATGGAAACGGTCTCAAGCGGAAATATGTAAGTGCCGGCTCGTGCTTTTCTGTTCCCAATTCGTACTGATCACTCTGCAGGCTACTGATGATGGTGACGAGGCTGACTCCAAGCGAATTTGTCTTCCTCTCCGAGATCTACCGGTTGACTCTAATAACCCTCCTATGCCGCTCGCCATGAGGCAGTTACTCGACAGTGTGACGCCCCGAGGATTGGCCATTAAGAGGGAAACCATGATCACTATACCACTAGAAAGTCTTGAGTCGATCAGAGAGAAGGTAAGATTAAAGATGATAAACGTCTGCAAACCGTCTAATAGTCATCTTAGATTGACGAGTACAAACGACTTAACATGCTGGCTGGCGAAGTCGAAGTAGAACTCAAGACCCATATCAATCGGCTTGACAGCGAACTTAAGGAGTTCAAAAAGACGTCGAATAAGATCGAAATGTCCAACCGCACCGCGCTCCAAGAGCGAACCATGTTCGAGAAGGAGAAGAAGAAAGCAGAAGCTGCCGCGCGAGCTGCCGCAGAGATCGCACAGAGGGAGAGTGCGCAACAACATAAGAGAATAGAGGAGCTCGAAACCACGATCGCGCGCCTAAAAGATGATCCAGAGTCCGTCCATACCGAGCAAGCGCTGAGTGAATCTCAGCAACAGCTGAAGACCTCTGAAGACAAACTGAAGCGCGCACTCAGCGATGTGGAGTTTATGAGAGGCCGGTACCAGGATGCTAGCGCTCAGGTGTCGAAATTAACAAACAACAACAAAGAGTTAACTGGTCAAAATGAGGATTTAGGCCAGAAAGCATCTGCGAATCTGCTGGCTATACATACACAGAACTTCTCTAGTGAGCGGCAAGAACTACTACAACAGATTGCAAGCCTCCAAGCGCAAGTTCAGCAGAAGGACGCAGATCTTTCTGTAGCGCACCAAAAGCTCACCAGTCTTGCAAACGGGAGGAATACGCGTGGAGGAAGCATGCCGCGTAGCCCTCGCGTGCCTAGTGGAATGAGCCCACGGCCCAGCCGGTCTGCCTTTGCTGGTTCTGCTAGCAGAGGAACAAGTCCTAGCGGGCCAGGTGCGCAGTTTATGAGCCAGCAAGCTCGTTCAGAGCGCTGGAATCAACTTCAGTGAGGGCGAGTAAAATTATGAGAAGATGAACAAGTATTGTGCCAGGTGCACAGATTTATTCGGGGAAATTAGCATGATATCCTTATGTATTACAGTGTCGACAGGGCACGCATATTTGTATTTAGAACATTTATATCAATCATGAATGAGCACTCGCTATAGTTGATGACGTTATTCAGACTTGATGTTTTGAACATGTCAACCCAGGCGACAGTTGAGACCGGAGGATTCGTATTTAGAAAGCTCAAAATTTTGTAGATGGAAGGCTAAAGTTTCGTGTACTAAACAAATCACTCAGGTGGACGAGCAGAGAGGCATAGGACATATGCAAGATACTTTCCACATTGAAGGGGATTAGCAAGGATCGGGAGTCGTCAAGTCGCACTTGTGGCTATAACACAATCGATTTGAAGCTGCCGCAACCAAACTCCCCTGTCTACCTCTTCGTCTGAAATTCCCTTCCGTCTCGGCTAACATCCAGTTTACACGGGGCTCAAAACACGGAGACTACAACACCATTTACTTCTCCTCGGGGTACAGCTCCTCCTTGAGCGGCACACCAAGCTCTTCTCGGAGGGGCTTGAGCTCCTCGAGGTACTGCTCGTACTGACCCTTGTTCTCGACCTTGGACTTGATGCCTGCAAGTTTACAAGTTAGCAATTGCATCCAGATTGTCTGTATATGGTTGCGAGCGACAAATGGTGTCTGTCGGAGCGACGTCGATGTCGAGGTGTATTGATGACATGAACCAAGGGAGTGTGTCTAGGCAAGGCCAGACCGTCGGTCGAGTGGACGGCAATGCGATGTTAAATTGATGAAATCGTACCTTCGAAGATGCGGACGGCAGTGCCAAAGTCGTTAACCCTACGAGCGGCCTTAAGAGCGGCAGCGATAACCGAGGGAGAAGGGACGAGATCGTAAGCGAAAGCGTTGTTAAGGTTGCGCTGTGGTTTGGTGATAAGCCAAAAAGTCATACGACATTTTGGGGAGCCAGCCGGAAAGCAGCTCTACCCCGTGGGGCAGACATACCTGAAGCTCGAAAACGTCCTGAACACCATCAAACTCCTTCTCGAACCTGTAGAAATTCGACATTTAGCAATTGAGCGCTGCAAAAGGCCTGCGCGACTGCATTGGAAGATATTCGGAGGAAACCGCGTGTGGAGAGAGCAGAGCTCTGGGCGGCTTTTGCGGCATCTTTTTTCCCACAGCCGGAACGCAACCACGCCAAGATTCGAACTCGTCCAAATCAATTATCGAAGCAACTCTGGTACCCTCCAAAAATCGATATTCCATAGCAGTCGGCAGGCGATTGAAGTTCGGGGTATGGTCCTACCTGGCGGAGAACTCCTCAAAGGTCTCTTCAGCGTGCTCGCTTCGTCGGGGCATCGAAGTGGTGAAGTAGGCAACGGCCGAGCGGGCCACCAGGGGCTGGACGGCAGGTCGGATAGGAGCAGCGCGGACGCTGCGAGCGACACGGATGAAGGCGGACATATTGGGTGGGAGGAGGTTGTCTAGACGAGTGGTGATATTGTCGGGAGACGAGGTCGTGTATTTGGTTTACAGGTAGGTAGTGGGCTGGCTTTTTCCGGGCTCGGGTGATGACTGCAGAGTTGGTTGGGCGAGAGAGGATGGGCTGAGAATTGATGACTAACTCGAGGCTATACCTGATCGCGTAATGGTGGGACTGAGTGCGAATTGTGCAAGCAGGCTTGAGAAATGGGGATTTCTGTATGGGGAAGACAGTGTTGACACTGTGCTCTGACAAGCTTACTTCCACATCGCTTCCATTCGTCATTTCTAGCAGGGCAATCATCCAATTGAGTATTACAGATGTGACGGATGAAGATGAAGATGGGAACCTTAATAAAAGCGGTATATTTCAAAACCTGGACATCATATACGAATGAACTTCTTATATCGAAACTTGGCGTTAACTCAGTTGATCAATTGGTACATCAAACACTCTGATTTACCATTGAGGCTACCTTTGGAAGCATCAAACTACAAACCACCAATCATTGGCCTGGTATTGAAATTATTACGCATCCACTCACTCACTTTGACATCTGCAGGACAGCCACACAATGACACAACGCACAACCACACAGCCACATCTACTTCATGACTTTGGATGCTGGTCCTAGTATCCGTAGAGATTGAAGTAGTAATTTAGCGAAAGCTTGATTAACGAGTGTTAGCTTCTTTATAAGGACCCGTGCTGAGATTGGAGGTTGCTTCAAAAGTTACTAATCGGTTTTAATATGGGGTAATTACCGATGTGTTCAAATGGAACCTTGGCTTGGAATTGAAATGATGGAGGATCTTCGGGATGTAACGACTGTCCGGCCAAAGATTTTCTTCAGTTGCTGTCGTGGTATTTCCACTGGTATATCCGTAAACTGCTTTCAAATGAGGTCGTAATAAGGGACATTAGAGTTTGAGCCTGTAGTTCATACTACGTAGTAACTTCATGAACTCCAATGAGATTGGTATAGGGAATAATTCTATAAACTTTTAGAATCCGACAAGCTATGTATATGATGAGAAGTTGCTATCTTCCAACTACTTCATGTATGGATTGGCTGTGAGAATGAATACCGTTTGAGGTTCTGACATCCTTTAGTGGTAATACGAAGTACGGATATTAAATGACGATGGTCCAACGGGTTTTTGTCTTGGAGTATGGAGAGCCAATGGGTAGCAAGTGGGAGCCACCTCCCGGTCATGACCGCGGTCTTGGCATCTAGTAAGCCTCGGGACACAGGCACAAGACAGGCACAGCAGAGTCAGACAAGACGGATGAAGGTGTGCATAAGCAACGGTCAGGTACGAGCCTAGGAGCCTCATTGGGACCTACAAATCCAAGTCTAGCGGCGTTGTACCTTGGAGAATGAAGGCATTTTGCTACTCAAGTTATATTGTTTGAGTTGTTAATATGGGCATTTCTGTATCATCACGTGTCTCCTTTAAATCAGCACCGTTTCATTGGTGCATCCGACAACCCGAGCATATCACATGTAATCGGAAAGCATGCAGTGAAGCCTCATCTCGGACATGCATGCGCGTGTGGCCCTTCCTCCTGCCTGCGAGAGCGTGTCATGGTTTCCCAAAAGAAAACAGTCCAGTACCGCATGAGCCGGGCCAGTTCTTGGGCATCTGGGTGGGCGGGCCTGTCTAGCTGGCTCTTGAAAGCAATATCCATACCTAACTATCCATACCCATTACAGCGCATGGAGATTGGCAGATTAGGCCAAGTCCCCCTAATTGCCTACCTTACAAAGATGTGCTAGTGGCACGGTGCAACTCAATGGATGGGAAAGCGCGGTGCAAGTGCCACTTTCCCAACTCCCAGCTCCATCTTGCTACAGCCTGCACCCGCCTCGGGCACCGGAGATCCAGTGGGAGTGCGCCAAAGGAAGGTAGCGGTGCGGATGGAAATTTCCCCTTTTTGATGCGCCGCGTCCGCGTCCGCTGTCCTCTCCGGCTCTCCCTCACCTCAATTAAAACTCTACTCTCGTGCTCCCCTTTTAACTCCTTTTTAATTCTACGCATTCCCCACGACCGCCTTTTTCTCTGGCTTCTTCTTTAAACCTTTTCATCTCTCCGGAGAACTCTTCTTCTTCTTGTCATTCCTTGTCAGTCCTTACTTGAGTTCATTCTTCAACTGTCCTCCCGCCGCCGCCGGCTCTGTCGCGTCTTAGAGAAAACAGCCACGTCGAATACGTAGCTCGACTACTTTTTCCGACAAATCCTACCTAATAAAGGGCTTTCGTGGTTTCCAATTGTCTTGCTTTCAGCCAACAATTCGCCCATCATGTCTGCGTCTCCCGCTACCTTCTACGAGCAGCTGCCGCTGCCTACCATCGACCGCCCCTTTGGTATTCATCTGTGGCCCATCTTTGACAAGGCTTTCACCGCTGTCGTCGGCTACTCCGCCAATGACTTCAAGTTTGTGCCTTTCGAGACTCCCATGTCTACCATGAAGTCGACCGCCATCTTCATCGTCATCTACTACTGCATCATTTTCGGTGGTCGCGAGTGGATGCGCAACCGCGAGCCTTTCAAGCTCAAGGGTCTCTTCCTTGTCCACAACCTCTACCTGACTCTGATCAGTGGTTCTCTTTTGGCTCTCTTCATTGAGCAGCTTCTTCCCACCGTCGTTCGCGGCGGTATCTTCCATGCCATCTGTGACTCTGAGGGTGGCTGGACTCAGCCCCTTGTCGTTCTGTACTACGTGAGTAACCACCAAGATTTCACATGCGTCCCAAGCTAACAATCGCAATAGCTTAACTACCTCACCAAGTACCTCGAGCTTCTTGACACCGTCTTCCTGTTCCTCAAGAAGAAGCCTTTGACCTTCCTCCACTGCTACCACCATGGTGCCACCGCCTTCCTCTGCTACACTCAGCTCATCGGCTCCACCTCGGTCTCTTGGGTCCCTATTGTCCTGAACCTCCTCGTTCACGTTGTTATGTACTGGTACTACTTCCAGAGCGCCCGTGGTGTCCGTGTTTGGTGGAAGGAGTGGGTCACCCGCCTCCAGATCATCCAGTTCGTCATTGATCTCGGATTCATCTACTTCGCCTCATACACCTACTTCACCTCGACCTACTTCCCCTGGATGCCCAATGCCGGCAAGTGCTCCGGCGAGGAATTCGCTGCTTTCTCCGGTATCATCACCATCAGCTCCTACCTCGTCCTCTTCATCTCCTTCTACTTTGCCACCTACAAGAAACAAGGCAAGGCCCCTACCAGCCGACAGAGCCTCCGACGCATGTCCCAGGCTCCTCTTCCCGACCCTCATCTGGTCCAGACCACCCCCGTCAAGAAGTCCAACAGCGCCACCGCTACTGGCTCCAAGACCAACGGTGCTACTGCCCGATCTCGCAGGGCTTAAATGGCTGGTTACGACTGTGTTGAAATAGGATGAGAGTACTCGGATGGGTAGCTTGACCTGTTTCGACAAGCTAGCCTTGCAACGACTGCATAATGATACGCGAGCATTTTAAGCCATTGTCGCGTTGGAGTTGGATCCGGATCGATCTCGGCGGCTTGAATCGTATATAAAAGCAGTTTGGAGATTTCGAATTTTCCCAAAAGGGTTTCGGCTTGGTTGGTTTCAAAGTCGAGATCTGCTATGAATAATAGTCTTAATGTGGGCAGCGATAATGACGGAGGGTGTTGACGATGCTTCTCACGGGTTTGTGTTTACTAGGCGAACATGGGCATGGTTATTGGGACACAAGTCTCGGCCGACTAGGCGCGGCCCCGGGCTATGATGATCTATCTAGAACCCTTGTAATCAATCTTCGCAGCTATGTATGATAGAATTATTGATTCCCTCCAGATTTATTAAATCTAGGAGATGAATGAACCAATTAATGTACCATCTACTTGATGTCTTCCATTAACATTGGATAAATATACCTTGTATTTGGTAATAAATGACTATACTCTAAGCATATAATTATATCTTGATGTTTTCTAACTCATCAGTACAGAGTACTCACTACTCAATTCACAACGTATCACTTGTTCAAGGTCCAGTCTATCTACCTATAAATAATTCCTAGTAGTCCCACGGGCTCTACAGTAACCCAAACTATTGTGCCCGAGACTGCTGGTTGTGAAGAAAGTCGTCGATACCTAACTAAACCTAGCATGAATGCCAGTCCTACAGATGTGAAGCATCCTTTCAACGTTGGTCTCAAAATCACTGCTCCTTGGTAAGCCTCTGCGTCTCTTTATACCCCAGGAGCGAAGTTCCGAAAGGACATCTGGTTCAATATCGCATCCTAACCGGTAGCTGGAAAGACCATCTCGAGAATGTTCCTACTCTGATGATCATCCCATGTTTTATGGACTTGTTGAGATTCAGTTATGTTATTTATAATAAGCGATTAGCATGGCAAGATTTTTTGGTACTGCCGACCAAAATGTGTGAAACAACCTAGGATGAATCGTTAGCCAACAACTCGACAATGCAACCATGAAAGCTTCCCCAGGAGAGTGGCTCACTGAGGATGTTCTGTACTGTTCTAGAGAGCGAATCCGGCCTGCTTTCGCTTCCAAATCTCTGGCAAAGGAGCCAATACTTTAAGGAATATTGCGAGGTATATACCAAGACAGCTTCGTTTCTCCTGGGCTGATGAAACGAGTTCATTTGTGAGAATGACTTCTTCAAAGATTCATGCCCGTTATTAATACTGATGTTGTAGAAGATCGGTCACCGTAGACCAAGGGTCGTTTAGGTGATTGTTAGGTAGATCGGATCCTCTATCAATACAAAGTTCAGAGTAATGTGGTAGCCATACTATGTCCAAATTTGCCTGGAGTAGAGTGCTTACATCTCGCGTGTGTTTTTATTTATCATTCGCCAATATCTCGATGATGTTGAGGCAAGCAAGTAATCCTTGGGACTAATCCAAGCAAACCTACCATGCGCCAGTTAAAAAGCACAATACATAAGCTAGACTTACTATGATCTTTATTAGAGGTCACTCCGATGGAAATCGCTTCAGCTTGAAGATATTAAACATGTGACTGTGTCTGAAAAGCCCTATCGCTTAAAACGCAGAGAAAAGCCGAAGCGAGATTATCCAGAACCTTAACAGCAGTGCCGTTGATGGTGAGACCGCGCCGTGGTTTTTGAGACTGCCCCAGCGATAGGCTCAATGCTGCATATTTGGGTATTCTCATGTAGAATTGTCGTTCGTTAGATGCACACTTCGAAGTTGGAGTTGGCTGTAGTTGAACAGAATGCCCACTTGAACAAGACACCTCGAGATATGCCTCGGCATGATACTGACAGTAGGATTGTATCTTTATTTCATTAGTCGAACATTGATATATCAAACGAGCAAAAGTCCCAACAATTTCCTCTTCTTCACATTTCATCTAGTTTTCAATAAATTATAATAGACTCTATACGATTTGCATAATCTTAATTCAGTCTCATCCTGAAAAATAAAATAATCCTTCTAATTACCATATATTTATAACCTTCTTATCATTTTCATTAGAGAACCTGGTATTCCCCAGTTGGCTCATTATACGGAACTCTCTCAATGCTTCTGTCAGATGGAATACAGTCAATTGACGTCACATGCAAGGCCCAATCTGACCAGACTCTATTCTAAGCAAAGGAAAACAAGTAAAACAATGGTTCGAGTTGGATTTGTTAATGATAGCCTAAGTTGGTTGCCAAGTACAAGACATGGATGTGTGTTTGTAAACCCCATTTTTGCTATAGAGGGGGATCATTGGCTGCACATGCGAGGAATTCTATGGACTATCATAGGAAGAGACACGCTCAGGTATTTGATTTGAAGTGAAGGATCTTGTCCTCATTTGGTTTCTCACCTAAAAGAAAGAGGCGCTTACACCTGTGACACGTAGGTATACCACCTCATACTACTTTTATTAGTAGGATATTAGATCCAACCCCTTTTTCTGCTGCAGGCCAAAGGGGCCATAAGCATCCAATGTGTTCATGTTTGCTGGTCTGTGATACGCAGGACAAGTTTGACGTAGAGGATTGTGGTCTTTATTTCATTCCTCATAGCCAAGACTTTTTGTTCTGTTTCTGTTTCTTTCTTGAACCCCCCTGCTTGATCTGCATAACTCCGTAACACGTTAACAAGGAGGTTTTTTTAGTACTGAATCAAAGCGCAAAGGCCGCGCGCTTGGGGGAGCACAAAGCTAGGTAGGTGAGGAGGTAAACGCCACTTCAAACCTCCACCTGTCAGCCTCTGGAAGGACAAGAGGAATGCGGGCTGCGGGCTGGTGGGGTAGGGCTGCATGTCGTTTGGATATAGCGTTTATCCCCTGAAACATTAGAGGCTCGACAGCCATTGAAATGGATGTGTTGTAAGCAGCAGGTGCAGAAGAAGAAATATTCCATTCTTGCCTGTTTGACTTCCATGATCTATCTGTTTGTTGCCTGTGCTTGGTCTTTGTTCCTTCCTTAACCTGGGTCGGATATAGACACCAATGGCACGTGCTTTCCCGGCTACAGAAAGCGAAAAGGCAGGTACGGATACCCTGGTGAATAATGATAGCCCAACCTACCACAACCTTTAGTCACCTACCACCTACCACCTACCCCTGCAATTACTCAGTTCCCCAGAATTGAATTGGTCTGAATTGAGTTGGGGGAAAGATCCTAATAAGGTCCCCTCATTTACCTTCTTCTCTCCCTCTCGCCTCTCATCGACCTCTCTTCAGCTTCACAGAGAGCAGGAGACTGACTGATTCTGTGTCCGGTTGTCTTGTTTTCGCCTCCTCCTCCTCCTCCTCCTCCTCCTCCTCCTCCTCCTCCTCCTCCTCCTCCTCCTCCTCCTCCTCCTCCTTCTTCTTCTCTTTTCCTTCTTTCCATATATCAGCACTAAGATATTCCTCTCTTTTTGAACCTCTCTTTAAATCTTCAGCTTCCCTGTCACTATCCACTCTGTCCCTTCGACCACAACCCAACCGTCACGACTACCGATACATAACGCCAAGATGCGAAACCCCTTCCGACGTCGGAACAAGAAGGATAAGGCCGGTAGCGGCGGCCAGAGCTCAGACTTCGTCGTTCCTATAGAGTTTCGCCCTGCCGGTGCTGGAACTCTGCCGTTATACCCTCCTACTCGCGACTCAGCATATCTGCTTGCCCACCTACCACCAAAGGTCCTCGAGCGCATCTTTTGTTTCGTTTGCCCACACGCCCTTGACGAGAGTTATGAAACTTGCGAGAGTAGTGCGAGCTCAAGCGATAGTGTTTGCATGTTATGCGACTTGCGCGATCTAGGTCATTGTGTTCAAGTTTGTCGCGCATGGCGACCCAGTGCTGTCAAGGTCTTGTAAGTCGTGTCATAGTGGTCCAATGCCATGTAGTAGCTAACCCCTCCCCTCTCCTCTAGGTATCACAGCGTTCGTATCGATCCAGTCCACTACTGCCGTCTTGAAGAATGGCTCGCCGACAAACGCAAAAAGACTTCCCGCTTCGACCGAAATGGTATCCCCGAAGATCCCGCCCAGGCCCGTCTACGTCTCCTCCGACGCACCGTTCGCGACGACCCGACACGCATTGGAAAGTCGGTCCAGTATCTAAAGCTTCCCTACATGTTGCGCGAGTCTTCCCAGGTCGAGCTTGCCCAGACCATCGCTGTTCTTCCGAACCTACGCTATGTCGACTTGCCGGAGGGTATGTTCTGCGATGACCCTCACTACGCGACTCTCCGCCTCGAAGTCCAAGCTCGATGCCCAAACCTTCGAAAGATGACTTATATCGGTGGTGCTGAGCGCAGTTTGGCCATGTTAGCTACAGGACAAGTGTGGCCGAACCTTGAAGTGTTGGAATTGAATGACCTTAATATCGACCCCATGACACTTCGAGCTGTTCTCGGTTGTCTCAACAATCTACAAGCGCTCAAGGTGTCGAACACACCAGGCCTCTCAGATGAGGTTCTATCCTCGTCAGATGGTTTACCTACCCTGCCGCCTATGAAAGAACTTGTGCTGAAGGATACACCCGGTGTGACGTTGAAAGGTCTTATTGAGTATCTGGCATGGCAGGAGACACAGCAAGCTCTGACGGTCCTAACACTTAAGGACACCGGTGTTCACCCAGCAAGCTTACAAGAGATCTTTACCATGGCTTCGTCTCTCAAGACGTTTGCCATTCAGTCCAATGTCTCTGAGCAGTTCCCCAGCTCGGTCAATTCCCGCCCATTGGCATCTCGGTCACTTGAAACATTAAGATTCGAGGTTTCCCCATCTTCAACTGGTGCATTCTCGAGTGTGACCATGGGCTATTATTCTTATCTTGCATCGTCCATCCTCGGCGGTGGTTTCCCAAAATTAAGACAGCTTTATGTTCATGATGAGAGCTTCCCAGATCAACTCCAGGGACTTCCACCACCCAACGCGGCCTTTGCCGGAGGGCACACACGTTCTGGCTCCAACACGTCCACCAGATCATCCCCTGGATTTGCTTTCCCGGCTGCGTCAGGCCTCTCGCCACCATCGGCAAACTCTCCTCCTTTTGCGCAAAGACGACCAATATCAAATATTCAGCCAGCCAGCAAACGTTTCAGCTCCAATAACCCGTTCGCTCCTCGCAATGCATCCGTAGCAGCCCCTACACATACTCTCGAAGTTTTTACCAAGAGTGACGAGTTCGGCAAGTGGAACTTTGTATCTGTTGACCCATTGATCAAATCCGCTACGGCAACGTCTCGACGGCCGATGAGCAGCTACGGGCTGGCAGCCGATGTTACGGGGTCTGGGTGGGATCGAGGGGATGCACGACGCAGTGTCATGGTCGGCAACGGTACTGGTGTGTTCTTGGCTGTGCCTGGCCAAGGGGGTGACGATGGTGCATTTAACGGCAGCTCTGATCCATGGCGACCTCAAAGTAGTGGGGGGTCACCGCGCCGCAGTCGAGAACTATGGTAATGATGGATACCTTATAACATTCAGGCAGGTTTATGATGAGCTCTGATGGACCCCTAAGAAGTTTATTTGATAAGCTTCTTGCTCATAATATTTCCTTTGCTTTGGAGCTTTTGACAGGATCAATAAGACAATGATGGATGAATGGAGGTCTATGAGTGGTAGGGCAGTTACGAATGGTTTATTCGTGGAATTGGTTGTTATGCAAAATACCCTAGCAGTTGTACAGAGAAGAAGTTGCTCGCATCGCTGGCAGATTGAGGCAACCCTAGGTTGACTGAAAGATCTATGTTTCTCTACATGTAGAATAATAGACTCTTTCAAAGAGCATTTGATATATTCTAGTGATATCCGACACACTTGATACACCTTTGGTGATTGTCTCGTAGGGGCCTGACTATCGATAACAATTCATTCGTTTGTAGCAAAGCTTAATGTCTTGAACATCACATCCGTCTATCTTTCAACTGTTTTCAGAAGCATTTCCATTGCCACGTCCCTGCTTGGAGGGGTTCTTTACATCATCCCATCCTATGTACACAAATCCTATCTCTGAAGTTAGGAAATACTGTGCAAAGTCACCCACCCTTCTCTCTCCTCCCTTGTCAAAAACACAATTGCATCACTGACACGTTTATAGCGGGATTCAGGATTCTAATTTCTGTGACGTTTTTTCTGGTGGTGGTCAGGTAAACCTTGTTAAGCTGGATGCGTCGATCGCTGGTCAATTCTCAGGTTTCATAAACTGCGTGCAGGACTTATGACGTTATTATGCATGGTGAGGTGTTGTGTATGGAGTACCCTTGTTCGCTTTGGCGGATGGGGTCTTACCCTAGATTAATGAGACGAATCTGGGATCTCATATTGTAATTGAGAATGAAAATAAGAATGAGGTGGATGATATTTGGGGTTTTGTTTAGGAATTACTTCTTGAGAAAGGAAAGAGTTATATAATGTAGTTTTTTAATGAGCTGGGAGAGGTCGGCGCGGTTGAGACACAAATGTGCGGTAGTACTATGACTCCATGAGCCAAGGAAATCCTGCGAGTCGTTTGTCCTGCCTGATCAGCGTTGGCAACCTAGCTTTGAGGGCACAGGAAGATTATCCCAGCACTCAAATGTGGAAGGATTGGCCAGTTTTGACACTGCCTCAACTAACATCAATTTGGTTCCTCAATCTTGTAATGTTGTTTGCTTGAATAGGATCCTCCACGAAGATCTATTGAGCGGTAGTTAACTTCCAAAATAGAAGCTACCTGAGATGCTACCTGACCTTCTGTTCGGGCTTAATGATATGCACAGGAAGGAGGAGCGAAATACAACGTAGTGATATAGCTTCTGTATATAGAGTCAGCAACTTATATGGCTGAACAGTTTGGGCGAGCATTTTGGGACGAGTATACTCAATACCGGAGGACAACTATCAATAATGCTTAATACGGATATGTATGAATAAATTCTTCATCGAACTGTTTGCTATGAGTGGCTTGGAAAAGCAATACCTTCGTGGTTTTTGGTTGTGTATATGCTAAGGAGTTCCACTTGCAACAGGAGGATAGAGGAAGTTGCTTGCGGTTCTTGAATCCTCTCTAGGGAACAGACCAAGTGAACCTGGGCCTGGGTTTGACTACCTCTTTAGTTATGCCAGACTCGATGCTACAGTGATTGGATATATAACAGCGTGTAGTATACCACTGAAGCTTACAGTAGCCTATCGTTGGTTGGACAGCTTGACCAGTTCTACCAGGCTTCCAGAAGTATGCCAACTTAGGGCTATGCCAACTCTCATGGCTAGGTGCAGACTGCCACGATATAGTTGAACTAGAAACGCAGTTGTACTTCTGTGAATGAATATGTTGTTAGTTATAAGAATAATATTACAATCTCTTGTCCAATGATTTCCCTTTACCTATTCTGACCATGGCTGTCTAAAAGGGTCAACCCGGTTTGACATGCGGCTCAAGATGGCAAGTGGAGTTCTCTCGGTGCTAATGCCCGCCTTTTCGTATTCAACCCAGCTGGACCCTCTGACAGCGCACGCACATACAAGAATAGAAACATACCAAGAAAAACCATCAATCGCATGATGATGAGGTTTTTGCAAGTCACTTGCATTTTTCACAAGTTTATTTTTCTCAGTCGTGGATTCGGGCACTATCAGCTCTATTATTGGGCTGTTGCCAAGTTCTGCTCGGTGATGTGTACCATGTCACCACAACTCAGCCTCAGCTGAGCAAATCAGAAGGATGGTTGTATCTCAGCATAGTCTAGTCACAACCTGTCGTCAGACACAAAAATGCATTTGATGGCATCGGGCTTTGACAGCTCCGCGTCTCGGCGGTCCCCAGGCCGGGCCTCCGTTCCTCCACGGGGCGCAGTGCCCGGAAACGCCAACACCCTTCAAATCCTCTACCGGATGCGTGTCAGCCATTGCCTCATCCTTCTGTACCTGCACAGTAAGGTTGTTTCTTTGACAAAGTACTGATTTTGGTTCGGAACCCTGGGGTAGTAGAGAAAACAATAACCCTGGGGCTTGTCTTGATTATTCTTATGTGAGGGATGCTATCGACGTGGGGCCTGCGCGCCTATGAAACAAACTCCAAGAATGCACAAGGAAAGGGTGAAACTGCACAAGAAACGGATTTGCGGGTAGACTTGAGACAAGTATTACCAGTAGAATGCAATAGTTGGGGTAGCGACAAGGGCGCAGGCAACAGTGTGGGACGCTTGGTATGTCATTAGTGTTGTGGAGGGAGGAATATCAATATCGAAATGTTGAGTGTGTGGTGTGGTAGTATTGTGCCTTCGGCCCGGAGAAGCCAAACATCGGATGGAATACTAAGTAGTTTCGACTATTGGGTTTATGAAGATCAGGGATACTGTTTGACGCAACACTACCGAGTACCGAGTACCGAGTACCAAGCACTCTTCTTGGAGTGAGCGAAAGAGGAGGCTGATGGACAATAGAGTCTCGGCTTCTTGTCAGCTCCTCCCTCGAGGGAACAGGTGCCAATGTCACCGGATCCAGTTGCATCCTGAACGCGGCTGTGTTTTCAGACTTGTACTCACAGTATTCCTCGACACTTTACAAAGTCCACATGCAAAAGTCTAGATAGACACATTTAAGTTCACTCACTAACTACGGTTCTAAAAAAGGATGGCTGGCTGCTTAGAGCAGGACCCAAATTTAGAGTCTGGACGAGTAAGCGCAGATGCGACTAGGCTCGGTATAGTTAGTGAGATCTACATGTTGCAGAAGTGGCTGGTGACACCCACTGTGACGTTGTAGCCGTTGCAGATGATAGATTTGTGAATGTGGCGGGTGTGCAGTAGCTCATGTGGCGTCCGCTAACATGGGGAGGGAGTGGGAGTGGGACCTGGGGAAAGCTCTCCTTTTCCTTTTCGCTTCTGCAGGATCGAAATCACCCATGTCGTCATCTTTAATCTCAGCCAATCCGCGCCAGATACGAAAATCTTGAACTAAAAACTAAGGGTTCACATATCTCGGGCAGATCGTGTTAGTCGATAGTTGACATTGCTATCGACATGCTCCATATTATGGTTATTGATGTTGATGAGGATGAACATGACAACTCTTGATTGGTCTGGCCTACACTTTTTCGATTAAGACATTCCATTGAGGACGCCTCGTCCAGGAATGGACGCATTCAGTGCTCAATCATCAGTCATCACCACAGCTTGAGCGTCTAAACTGATGAGATAGGCTTTGAAAAGCCGACGTCTTGGCCAGCTCAAAGCCGCGCTCATACGTGATGGTCAGATAGTATGACATGAGATATGAGGCTGTAGAGCGGAGCACATCAACGATCCCCATCGCATCTCGGACGGAAATGTCATTGTTGGACATAATCGCATCCGGCCGAACCAGTACGATTCCGTCCATGTAACTCACAGAATGTCACTCACTGTGTTCGTGTTCACAGCCCACAATCTAGACAGTTGCCCCAGTTCACATCATCACGGCTCAAGGGCCCTTATCGCAGAAACGACATGGTCGAATGCAGAAAAGCCGCTGTCAGGTGCAGAATTTGATACTGGAACAAGATTCTCCGTGTCCATCATCATCTACAGGCATCAGCAGCAGACCAACCTGCGACACCAGATCCAGCCTATCAGCGTCGAGATCTTGGACCCTGGGACCTGACCCTGGCGTGCTTGGCGCTTTTGCCGAGTAACCTGAGACTCAGAGGGCAAGGGGTTTCGAAATCGAGGGGTTCGAGACCTGAGGGTTAAAGACTGCAGAGGCTACAAAGGGTGAGGCGCAAAAGGATAGAAGAGGACGGACTGCGTCTTGTAGATTCCCATGTCAAAAAATAAGAGTAGCCAGGGGAAAGAGAGAGATAGTTCGGAGGTTTTTTTTAATGGTTGAGGATTTTAGCCTCTATCGACAAATCAGCAGAAGGAAGAGGCGCACACCGTTGGAGGAGTCTTCCTGAGAACTCAGCCGACAAGGATAAGGAGGTGGGTTAGAAGGGAACATGTCCGAACAGGAGGGAAATCGTTTTCCATTCTCAGGAACACGATTCATACAGTAGCTAGCATACCGTAGAGTCAGAGAAGGCAAGAGAGAAAAAAACGGTAGTGGTTCATTACCAACGAACCCGAGGGCCAAAAAAAGGCAAATGTCGGTCTGGCGATACAGAACCCACGGATGGAAAGTGGGTGTCTGGAAGTATTCGGGACCTGAGAGACTGTGTGAAGTGATTGGTCAGAACACGTCCGACTGGTACGATAGCGTGCCCAGCCCAAGGCGGATCAGCCATGCCATGTTAGCGGGGGCCATTTAGAGGATGAGGACTCGCTATGAGTCGAAGATGGGCGCTTCATGAGGGGAGCAAGGTTGCCCAATCTTGATCGTGTGTTGTCAAGTACAGTTCCTGCGTCGCGACTGAGAATGCAACAGTGTGTCACTGTCACTATCACTCGAGGGGGTTATGATATACCTCAATACCTAGTAGTCAAGATAGTTAGTCCGTGTGTGTGTGTGCATGTGCGTGCCTGAGTAAAAACCACACTGCAGTGTTGCAATGCATGGCCACAGTCTGCACTCTGCACTCTGTAGTCTACATTCGGCACTACGAGATCCGCTTGCTGAGTTGGCCAAGTTGGTGCAGGACGCTCATCGTCTTTGTCGTGGTATGCAGTCTAACGGGGACAATCAGGCTAGGCTGATGCCATCAACAGGTTTGGCGTTTGGCGCGCTGCACTTGAGGGTAGAGGAACAAGCAAGATCCAGTAACGAGTGGTTATTCGAGATCGACCAGATCAAAAGAACCCGCTCTTATTGTACTCTTTTTGTGTCAACACACTGTCTCAACTGTCTCGTCTTGGTTTTGTGTGTGAATGAGCTGTAAGTGAGTTGTTCTTGTCTATGGGTGTGGAGCCCTCAGTTGTGGTTTGACGCTGGGTGATTGAATGGCGAGATGTGATACGTGAGAGCGAGGTCGCAGCTGAACAACACCACACCAAGGCACGGGTCAGTTATCATCACCTTAAACACAACCTCCACCGAAGAGGGCGACCCAAAAATGCAGCCTTTATTTTTCAATAGACGATAAACGGGCGGCAAGTCACCAAAGTGCAAAAATACATCTGACACAAAAATAAGTCAGGGACTGTCGTCTTCTCACCCTGTACTCTGTAGTGTCTTGATGTCATGTTTGATGTGCATCTCGCTTCGGGAACAGGGGAGAAGCACAAACTTTTAATTCTTTTTCTCTAGGTTACCCGTGCAGATCACCAAAAGAAAGCGGTGTCGAGGAAATTTTCGGAATATTTTTTTCACTATTATCAATCATTCTGTGCTTCGCCTACAGTAGTCATCTGCATCTTGGCTGCCGACGACCTAAAGATGCCCAATCAATGCAGGTGGCTATTGCAGATGGAAATGCAGGTCTGCCAGTCCGTCCCTAACTAGACTGCAAGCCTCCTCGCCTTGAAAGCCAGCGAGGCAGGGGAATGATGTCAAGAAGTCCATGGCTCATTGTAGAATGTAGAAGCGTGATTTGGACTAAGTTAAGGGCAGGTAGGTATGTAGTATAGCACACTTGACTTTGATCTGATGCTATAATTTTTATTGAGAGGTTGAGTTTCGGTGGGGAGATCAGCTGAAAGTGACGAACTCCAAGAGGTTGGTCATTCATGTCCACGTTGTCTGGTGACGAACGCGGGTATCGATAAACCAGTCAGAGGTTAAATGCCACGAGGAAACGGACGAGGTTGGTGATGATCGTATGCCAACTTGGAGTCATAATATCTACCTACACAGTGAGCCTCAACTGCTGGAACATGAACTGTTTGTGACTTTGGTTCAGCTCGTTTGCAGTTGATTTGGCATTCGTCATATCGTAGATCATCTTCATCATCCTTATTGTTTGCAAACACGAGGTGCAAGAGATTGCCGGCAATCGGGATCTGAAGCAACCGATGTCTCGGCCTCTGATCTCTCGGTAGTCACTGCGCTTAAAGTCTCGAGCTTAAACGACAATCACTATGAAGAGTACACATATGGATACAGAAAATATGAATAATCACGAATGTGTGGTTGTTTTGGAAGTAGCGTGGATTTTGAAACGGTTCGGGGTTGGCCACAAGACGAGACAAGACGAGACAAGACACGATAAGGCCAAGGCCAGACAAAGACAGAGACAGAGACAGAGACACCTGGTCAATGCCAAGGTTCAGGTGGCTCACTCTCGCACATATCGTGCCGTGCGTGGTGATTGATGTCTGTGAGTCTCGAGCCTCGAGTCTCGTGGGCGTTTATTATCCATCATTCATTCAGGCACAGGCACAGGAACAGGCCGCTCACCTGAAAGCATCTTAACGCCATCACCTGGAGTTATAGTGCAAACTATCGATGAGTCTTGAACAACTCTATAGCCAGGCTCAGGTTCCAGAATCTCCAGCCTCGAAATTCTACCGCCTCTTTTGCAACGACTTTTTGGGAGTGGGAACAGGTAAAAAAAAAAGCATAGACCTCATAGAGTCCAAGAGTCCACCTTCAGAGGATGGATACCCTGCCGCAATGCCCTGCGCTATTCTCAACGACCCCTGCCCAGCATAAGCGCCCCTGCCTCGCTAAGTATACAGTGTGACTCTTCAACCCACTTCACACGGTCATTCTCGTACCAGAATGTGGCTCAAGTGGATCACTCGACTACAAGGTGGGAAGGGACCTTCCTTGGGTGCCCATCGTCTCAGGGACTCGAGTGCCTTCATATTAATGCTTCTCCCCCAGCCTCAGTCTTTTTGTTCTCCCTCTGTAAAACATACCCAAAGACCAAAAGACAAACTAAACTATCGATCCTCTCACCCTTCTCATACCGATACCCTTGCCCTTCACGTCAACAATAGATCATTCCTTCCGCTTTCGTCTCTTTTGTCTGTCTTGGTTCCATTGTCTCACTTACTACTGCCGGCCACTCCCAAGACCGCCAATAACATCCGCCTGACCCAAGCTTCGGAAAAAAAGAACAAGACCTGACGACATTGTTCACGACTTCGGATCTTGCTCCCTTTATTCTACACCCCCGCCCTATTGTTAAAGGGCCTATTAAAGGGGAAATCAATAATACATCACTATCGACCATGTCTTTAGCAGTGACGCAGACTCAACAGCAGCACAGGGAGCTTGATGCACCCAAGCTTGATACTTCTCTCGCCCAAAGACACTCTCGATCTCAAATACAATCTTTATCCGTCGAGCCTCCCATTTATTCTCCCACAGCAGACGCCGACGATTCTTCTCGCGAAAACACACCTACCACAACCATGATTCCCACACAGAGACAGCTCGCAGAAGCTCCTGCACTCCCAGCCAAGAGCGCACTCCGAGCTTCCAGATGCCTCGATGGCCTCCTAACTCATAAGCTGGCCGAGGATCAAGCACCCTTCTCTACTCACCACGATGTCTACCTTTCCTCCGAGGAAGATGCTTCCTCTTCCGCCGATGACTTTTCCGATTTCGAATCCGACTCTGGTAGCGATGGATCGCGGGCTTTGGACCGAAGAGGTAGCCGTGAGGATACCGCAAAGATGGTTTCAGTGGTCTACGCTGGAAAGCCTTCAGTGATTGATCTGCCTCGTCGATCAGCTTCTCCTAGCCTCATCAGCGAAGCTTCTTCTCGACCTTCGTCTAGAATGTCTACTTCATCCCGACCTCCTAGCTGCCTCCGCAGAACCTCTACTCTCCCCGTCACACTTCCTGTTCTCGACCGACGAATGTCATTCTACACCACATCTTCCGGCTCTGTCCTACACCCTCCACGAACGAGCAGCATGGGCACCGGCCGTCTTGAGAAGCAACGACCCGATTTCCTCAGCATTGACCCATTTGCAGCCAAGGCTAGGCCTGAAACCAGGGACGAGCCCACCGAGAGACCAAAGACACCAAAGACACCTACTGGTGTGTTCAAGCGCACACTAAGCTTAGTCAAGAAGCGAAGCCGACCTTCGCTCAACACATCCTTTGCCAGCCAATCCAGGGACAACCTTTCTCTCTTTACACCTACCCTACCTATGGAGCAGGTTCGAGAGGAGTCAAGTAACGACTTCGGGGACAGGGCCCCCAAGCCTATCCTGCAAAAGGCTCCTACCTACCACGAGTTCGCCCAAAGGAGGATGTCTTCAGCTCCCATGTCGCCCATGTCACCTATGTCGGAACCCGCATCGCCAATGACACCCAACAGCACCCGCAGCCGTTTAAGGCAGGGATTGGCGGCGGCGGCGCGACGACGAAGCGTCAAGGTTTAAGAATACACCTGACGTTTTGAGCTTTTTTACGAATTATGACTGGGCAACTAAACGGTTTCCGGGTGCTAGACGCCTCTAATAACTATTCTCCTTTGTCTTACTATCTTCTGTACTTGACCGAAAATGGTCTTAGGGCAAAGGCATCAGGTATCAGGCGCTCTCAGGAACATATTCTGCTGGACAAGAAAAACCGGCGTTGTACTGTATTGACTTTTTAACTCACCACTCGAACTGAGAAGCGGCGTTTTTTGGATTGCATATTTGGACACATATACATACATGCTTTGGAAGCATCGACGACCTTGGACAGGTCTTTTTTGGATGGATATTTGTAGGATAAATTGATAATGAAGACAGGCTGCACAAGGACAGTCAACACCAGCTCATGCCATGTCATGGGGTTGGGAGTTTATAGCTTTGTTGTCAAAAATAACATAACAATGGCTACGATTTACTGGTACTTTTTTGTGTCTTGACTGTGATAGTGATTGTGTTTGTGATAGTGAATGCAATGTAATGGATCTGCATGTTTGTATATTGAGGCTGGCCGCTATTGGGATGCGGTGAAGTGGTTGCGTTAGTTCGACGCCGCCACGACAAGTACCTGAGTCTGGGGTTGAACTCTTCAGCCACTGATAGATTTGGTAGCATGGAGGTGCCGATAGACCGGTAAAGGCTGCGCGCAGCTGGTAGGGCTACTATTATCAGTATTAATTAGTAACTAGTTGAATCAATTGGCGCTTGTCTTTTGGCATTGAAGTTCCGGATATGGAGTTGCTGTGTTCTATTCAACATTGTAAGGACTATTAGATGCTGTCTACATCTCGTCATAATTGTTCTCGACCCCCGTTCCTGCAGCTGTTCGCTACGTTCCCCCTGTAAACTCTTCTTTCTTCTTTGCTTCTGTTGTTGCGGTGATGGGAAAGGAACATCAGATCACAGAGCCAGGGTGTAAGTGAGAAAGATACTTGGAGATACTTGAGTTTGTGGCGTTAGTTGCGGCTAATTTGGAGTAGATTTGTGTACTTTCCTAATTGGGCATGTGGGAAATGAACCGGCTGCATGTCCCCACGGGTCGGGCAAATTTGATGTGGCCATATACGGAGCATACGGAGTAGTAGTACCTATACCGCCCACGTTATGATTTGCCCTGAACGGGATCTAATCTCGGGATGTCACCAAGTAGACGAGATGTAATATTCTAGAAGACGATGATGATGTCGTTGAATATTTTAAAAATAGTGAATAATTAATCGATGTATTTTGCGCAATCAGTAAAGTACTACGTAGTATTCGTAGGTATCAGTGTCTTACTGTATCCCCTGAGAGCGGGATCGTCTCCCCCCTGTTAGCTTCAAAATGGGCAAATCATCTTTGATTGAGATCCCCCTTGAGTGCAACTGCAAAGGATGAGAGAGTACTGTAGTGAGAAGACGGCACAGGATTGACTGTCATTGGTGTTAGTATTGCATTGATGCTGCAATGCACTGCTGCTGCAATACTGTACTGTGCTGTATGTACCTACGGATACTCCCACCGGTGATATCTGATATCTACAAGCAATCTCTAGTCAGGGGAGAGGAAGCTCTTGAATTGCGGTGGAGCTGTCAAAACTTGGACTGAGTTAATTACTTGTGGAACCTTGAAAATGCGATATGTCTTTATCTGTGCTCGATATGGAGTCAATTACACGAGATAACTGTTATTATCTATCCGTACTCCGTACTGCTATTGTAGTATTCATTTATGTAACTTTTCTTTTTCCGCAGAGCCGTTGCCCCAAGTGAGAAAAGTAATGCGATGTGCGTCGTGCGTTGTGCATGATTCATGATAGGCTATTTGATACTATCCTCTGCAAAGTAACTGTAGATACATGTGTAACCGTTGCAACTAACTACAAGTAAATTGATTGACCGTATTTTCAAATCAACTGCACTTGATGAGCTTCCAGTTCTAGCTCATCTCTAGCTCTAGCTCTAGCCTTGTCCACTCTCTGTCTCTTGGCTCCGATACTAGCCTCCCCTTTTTACTTTACTCCCTTGAGCTCTGTAACAAGACAAATGTTTGTGTCAGACAGCGTCAGTTGTCTCAGTGTTCTTTCCAAGACCGAGGCGCGAAGGTGTCCAGAATTAAAAATGGATTTGATAAAGGATTTGATAACCAGAGACTTAAATCCTCCTGTAGAGTACAAATACAGCACCAATTAACTTCTGCTACGCACCAACAGATGATCGTAGCGGTAGGAAACTCGCGTGATGTGATCCTGCAGGGGCCTTCGCCGCTAAAAAACAACGGACGCTCGTTCAATTTCCTTTTCGCTTGGACCGCTCCTTGGATGCTGCGTTTCTTTGTGTCTTGCATGAGACGCGGTACTGTGAATGAGTACAGAGCACTGAGTGCTGAGAAAACTGTGGCTGGGGCAGTTCAAGAAAATAATCAGGGTTCGTCTCAGGGGAGACGAGAGGAACACGTTAGGTTGGTCCATGGCGCGTTCAATGGTGCTTCTAGTCAACGTTAGTTGTTGTTGTTCCCGCTTCTAGAAGGGCGTCAAATAACGCCTTCAAGAAGCGGTCAGAACCGTGACGTTACCGTCTTTTACTCAGTTAGACCATGGGAGTACACTGTAGACTGTGTAGAGAGACGGAGTACGGATAGAGACCGTTGCATTGTGGGAATAGAGATGGGCAGAGCGTAATCAACTGTCGCTGATCCAAACCCGCATTTTTTTCGCAAGGCAGATTGACGTTGGCGTTGGAAATGGAGGTTCATGGACCCTGAAACATAATCTTGACGATCAGCATCACGCAAGGTCTGCACTGTAGAGATACTCGATACTCGATGCTCTACGCGACTGGGGGGCTTGGAGATGCTCGTCTGGGGGAGATTAAACAAACAGTCTTACTACTGGTGATCGGCGATATCAATTGCTGTGTTTGATGTTCTAGCTCTGTGCGTACTCATACTAAAAACAACATGGACCGATCTTTGAGTCTGTCATGGCGTAAGTCGCTTATTGCACCGCGTGGTTTGCCTGTACTCATGTATATGAAGATGAAGACCGGCGAGATCGACTCGCCAATGTGAGTGATGAGCACCAGGATCTAGGGACTTTGTTAGATTTTGTTGCTCAGAGTCAAAGAGAGAGAGCTTCTGAGCTATTAGTCCCGCAACTCCACAAGACCTGACTCAGTAGTGAAGCTATTCTGGATAAATCCCCAAGCTTGAAGCACCACTCCCATCGTGGTACGTGCCCCCAGGTGAGGTAGAGCACTAAAACAAACTTCTCTATCGAAGCACCGACCCCCAAGACTTGGCACACACACACACACACACACAGTACAGGTGCAGGATGAGTGACAAGTCCCGACGTCGCTGCGATATCCCGACCAGAAGGAGTTTCATCCCTCGGCTCCGGGCAAGGCCTGGTCCGGGTGGGCTCTGCTGTGAAACCGACGCTCGGGTTAGATCTCACCGGATCGGGTTTGGGACAACACAAGTCGATTTCATGTAAGTTAGATGGGGGAAATACGAGAATAGCATTGAGCATGTGGATTTCCATGCCCCCCATCGCGTCAGCTGAGAATCGGAGTTTCAGGTTCGGCTGTAGCAAAGAGAAGAATATGGTTTGTTGAAGGAAAAACAAGCAGGGAAGATAAGGTTGAGGAAGATTAAAAGTTACTCTTGTTACCTATATTGGAAACAATGCTTTGTGTTTCTTGTTACGAGCTACTGGAGATGCCGAGGGAGTGAAGGAATGAAGCTGGGATGAGATGACCTTGCGATGAAGAGCTGCCGAGTCCCATTGAAGTCAGTGCGGAGGCTTAGTATAGGATGAAGCCTTTGTGTTACTGCTGGGTGATGATTGGTGGCCTTTTCCGGAATACCTGAGATGGGAAGAGGCAGTGGATAAGAGACCTATTTGATGTTGTAGATAGTAGCATGGTCAGTTCATATGTCGGACAGTGTCTTGGGTCTTGCACTTCACACCACATCTATATGTGTCTAAGCATATGCTATTTGCTAACCTGGTAATGTTGCGTAAGAGTATATAACCCTAGTACAAGAGGTACCAATGCAAGAGTGAAGTTCAAGGGGTCATGAACATATGAAATGTTCTTATGGAAGTGAAGTGTTGTTGATGGAATATATGTGTTTGTATGTTAGAGATTGTGTCACAAAAAGGAAGGGGATATGTGAAAGAAGGCCTTCGAATAATATGAGCATCTTGCATATATACCACGATATCACAGACTCATTTGTTTTTGACCAGGTGAATAACTAGAGTATGAGGAGATGGAAACAGAACATATATATATGTGATTAATATGCAACTTATAGAGAGCCCATATGGTCAAGATACCATGTTTATGTGGTAATAAGGTACAGACATGAGACTTGTGTAGTTAAAGAAGGTGAGAAACTTATGGCCATATACATTGAATAAGATGTGCAGTGTCTAATGCAAAGGGTCCAATAAGCCACATCAGAGTATTTAAACCACTTCTACTTACACAACATAAAGTGTTTGCTGATGCAAGTACTGCGTCTAGTAATGATACTGTAGTTACACATGCGCTACCTCTACTTGCCTTTCACCTCTAGCTATGTCAAAAGCTCTACATCAACACGCATAACTCGCCTCTTGTATATTACAGTACCTCCGATACGCAGCACACTTTCCGACTTTAGTGGAAGACCAGGTTGGCATGAAGTAGTGTACCTTTCACTAGTTGCACAATCAGTGCTATCGTTCCCCGATTGCTTTCTTCCAACATCTCATGAACTAAGCCCGCCCCCTCCAAGCCAAGATGGGACTTCAACCGCTCATACGTCCAGCCACTTGATAAGTGAAATATAATTGACTCGATAATCATTAGCCAAGGAGATTCGCGGATGGGCTTATTCGCGTCCATAGGTCTTACATGTTGACTCGTTTTCTTCTCTGAAGGCTTTGCCATATGTTCTCCCCTACCAGCTTGCCACGCTTACCTACCACAGTCTGGTCTCTTCCTGTCCAAACCAGCACAACAACGATCGGCGCACCCATTACAAAAAGGAGAATGAAGTTATCACGGTAAAGCCTCTCAAGAGGTCAAAAAGGAATTGTAGATGCGTAATCTGGGAATCGAACCCAGGGCTCCCCGATGGCAACGGAGAATTTTACCACTAAACCAATTACGCTTCGATGTGCAGATGGCAGCATATTGACCCTCAAGCTGAGAAGGATGGCTCCGCGATGGAAAAGATGATGACGGCAAAAAGAACAATTAATGTACTGCAGAGCTCATTGCGTAATCTGGGAATCGAACCCAGGGCTCCCCGAAATCACCTTGATGGCAACGGAGAATTTTACCACTAAACCAATTACGCTTGTGGTGGAAGCCAAACTTGATAATGGTTGTCATGTTCATGCGAGGAAGACATCTTGGGGACGGTACTGTAGCTGATGCTCGATTGAACGATGTCTAACCATGTTGATTCGGGTCAAACGGTCGACGGTTAAAGTATAACTGGCAACGGACGAAACATCCATTACCCAGGTGATGTTGGGTGGAAAATCCTTCCCGTTGAACGTTGTCTGTTGATGCCGATAGCTTGAGTGAGCCAGTCATAACTGCATCTCGGTTATGAGGCTGAACCTAAACAGCCACATGGTTGACCACGTTCCGCACTTAGTTCCCGGACACGTGACCTTTGACACAACCACCAAAAAGAACAACAGCCTCAACTCAACATCAACACCAATGAACAAAAGATACACAACGCTTGACAGCGCTTGATCATGCGTAATCAGGGAATCGAACCCTGGGCTCCCCGACGCTGCTCGAATGGCAACGGAGAATTTTACCACTAAACCAATTACGCTTTGATATGGTAGAAAGCTCAGTATCCGCGGCCAAGTCGACCGATCACGGTAGGTTCGTGAAAGAGAAAAAGATAATGCAACCAGGTTGGATTACAAAAGAGATGGGACGCTCTAGGCATCTTATACTGCGTAATCTGGGAATCGAACCCAGGGCTCCCCGATATCATATGAATGGCAACGGAGAATTTTACCACTAAACCAATTGCGCTGTTGTTCTTGTGTGATTGGTCAGTCACCGCGAAGATACATATCGTGGGTTTGACAGACAGACGAGCTCTGTTATTTCTGAAAATGGAGTTAGGCGCATGCTGCTCTGACTCAAATGGGCTCTCGGTCTTTGGTGCTGTGTTGTAAAGCAGCAGGTTTAGCAACCGACATTACTCGTACAGTAGAGTCCTGTATTGGAACAGTATGGTTGACAATGTATCGCCATAGTGCCTCGGTTGTTGTCGTACAAACTATTGTTAGAATAAAAGAGCTCTCTTGTTTATGGTTGTTAAGCCACTGATAAGACCAGCCGAGTCGACAAAGCCTTAAGCACCTAGGTTCCTAATCTGAGACTGCGTCAACCTCACCTCCTTAATACCTATAGTCTAAGAACATATGTAAGAAAACAGCCTTTACTAACACTCAACCATGACATTTAAAAAGACTTTAAATATCTATCTATTATTGCATAGTCCTGTCACTGCCGACCGTCAAGAGTTCTATGTATTAGATGCGTGTAGCACTGAAACTTCTAGTTCTATTCTCTCCTATACGTTTTAGAGAGAATCCCGATATTTCACTACCTATTCTGAACTTAGCGAGTTCGCTAGGCTCTTTATCGCAGAGAGTATAGACTAACTTAGACCGTTATTATTTTTACCTAAATGCAGTAATTGAAAAGATACTGAAAAGATTTCTCAGTCTAAAAGACAACTCGTTACATCCCAGGTATAGGTTAACCCCAGCATCTCAAGCACACTAAATAAAGCTAGCAGGCATCACCTCACAAACACACTAACAAATGAACTGCAAGTAAAAAAGAGTCGTAACAAATGGCAGAAAACCTCAAAAAAAGATTGTAACGTAGCAGCTACTGGTTTCGATCCAGTGACCTCCGGGTTATGAGCCCGGCTAAGGCAAGTTAGTACATTTGTACTGTAACACAGAATGTGTGATTGAACTTACCGCGCTTCCACTGCGCCAAGCTGCTTTCTTGGTTGAGATTAGGGTTCGGTATTTCACTCTATATAGGCTACAGCAATGTCAGAAGCATGGCTCCACCATAGAATCCCACAGCATCTGACCCTCTACCTTCTATACGAGATATCAAGCACATGATTTACTGAGTGGGCGATGCATCAGCAGTATGACTGACTACAGTGTTGCTATTTAGTGTTTTAAAGTGTTAATTTTGGTATTAAATTTAACGTGAAAGAGTTCGCTTTCACGTCTCCTTTGACAACAAATGCAGCGGTTTGTGAGCACCAAGACACGACTTAGTCATGTGTTTAACGAGCAATATATTATTTGATCATAAATGAAATGACTATAGCAACCAGATGCGAGACTATTCGCATCCTGCCGTCAAGGATGCTTCCTTTGACGTAAACCCTTTCGCATCAATACCTCCAACTCCCAAAGTAGACCCCTCGATGTCGCAAGCAGCTTGTTGGTGCCCCCAATATGGGCATGTTCATTCATCATCCTCATCGCTGTCGCAGTCCATTCCTTCTGTACTGTCTGAGTCATCACTACTCTCATCTCCGTTGTCGTCCACACCAGTCACATACTCATCGTCGCTGTCGACAATACTTGGAGGTGCTTCGCTTTTTGTATCCAGTTCATATGGTGAATCTTTCATGGCAGTGTCTGCCTTGGCATTCAACTTGCCTCTCTTCTCCTTCGGCTGGATGGTGGAGTCGAACATTACACTCTCAGATGCGAGAGTTTGATCCCCGTAGCAAATCTTGAATTCAAGAGATGACCCATCACTTAGCATGCGCAGATCGTACTCGATATGCCGGAAAGCGTGACCGTCTTCGCTGGTATGTATCGGTAGGTCGGTCCAGCTGGGAAGCTGTGACGCTTTGATCGTACACAGCTTTTCGACACAATCATCGTAACGAGTAGGAGCCACAGAAGAATCAGAAGTTACGATGTCGACCTGAATGGCCTGCTCTCGGCTGGTAAGGTCTTGGTGGCATTTGTAGACAGCTGGCTTGTAAGCCGATACCGAATCATCCTGAATAAGAAGTAAGTGTCTTGACTTGGGCAAAAGAGGGTGAGCGGGCAAATGCACGTACAATTTGGACAAACCATTCAGTCTGATCAGCGGCGATGAAAGCTCTATCGTACGTGCTGTATTCTCGATCCCTTGGATCGTCTTCCACAGGGTTGAAAGGCACCTTGTTGACAAGCGTGCCGTAATGAAATCTCGAAATGCGAGAGTCAACAACGATAGTGTCTGACACGCCACTGCGTGACAAGCCATGAAGAACGGCACCACGCAAGACGGCGGCCCACCTGAATAGTCAGTTAGTAGGGGCAACGTTTCAGCGCAAGGGTCAACGTACGGATCGCCTCCTCTTTTCTGGAGAACACTTATTTTGTTCGGGATGGCCTTTTGAAGACATTCTCTCAGATACTGAGACCTACCGAAACCGCCTACTAACAAGACAAACTACTTAGAATTAGTATGTAGTGAGATTACAAACGGAGCAACTTACCTTGGGTGTCGTGTTGTGTTCCTTCATTACCTGCTTAATCTGCCCCCTAACAAGCTGCAAAATTTCATCTACCACAGGCTTGTAAACCTCTGCACGAATATGCTGTCTAGACAAAAAGTTAGTTATGACACGAATGGACCTCGAGATGAGCCCTGTTGGCAAGAACGTACGCTTGGAGAGTGAATTTTGAGGGATAGAAATCTTTATCAACATGTTCGCTGTAGGACAAGGGAATCTCCTATTTCTTGCTTGCCTTACAAAGCGAAGTCTTGATCCCTGACTCCCATTCGTCTCTCATGATTTTCTGAATCCCCTGGCGTTTGAGCTTCGTTCGAGTCTCAATAGGAATCTTTCGGTCAAGCATCCTGAGGAAGTTCTCATCAAGGAACATGGCACCGCAGAGACCCCCTTGAAGCATTAGGAAGGACAGACGAGAGTAGATGGATAACTTACCATCTCCCCTGACGCTTTCAACGACCTTGAAAGGCTCAAGACTTTCGATTTTATACGTAATGATATCCTAGACCCTGTAAGAAACTGTATAGCAAAATGGAAGAAAGGAGAGGAATTGTGTAAACTCACAACAGTACCACCACCTGCATCACCGACAACGAAGTGGTTTCCGACCTAGGAAAGATTAGGAGTGCCAAAGTGAGAACTGTGTGTAATCTCACCTCGTTCTGGTACCGACCTGCGTTCTCGTTGAGCGAGGTCAAGGCAGCGGCCTCAGGTTCAGAGATGAAACTGATCTTGGTGCTCCCTACCGCAGAAAATTCCAAGAGCCCGGCAAGCTGCATAGCCTCGGCCATCCTCTTTCGCACATAGTGAGGCCAAATTGCAGGCAGGGTAATCACAAAGTGAAGCGGGTAGATCTTGACAAAATGATCTCCCTCTGCCGCTGCAATCTGGGGATAGCTGTGGGCCCAAACATTGGCCAAATAGTCTGCAAACACCTGAACAGGTGTTTTGTTGTAATTGTGAAGAAGAGCTCGCGCAGCCTTAACCTGCGAGGATTGTCGGACCTTCTCAGGAAGGTCCTTCTCGTCGATGAGTAGTAGCTTGAACCAGCGCAGAACACTATCGTCTTGAGGGGTAGAAAACCCCCATGAAGGATTCTTGTCATCGAGATGCCGATAGAAGATTGTGGATGGCGCCTTCGGTCTGTCTGTCTGATAGTTATTGACCATAGGCCAATCTGTCACAACCTGTATCGCCTCCTGTTTGCCAGACAGCAACCAGGCGACACCGGAGTAGCTTGATGAGGAAAATGTTAGCAAATGAAGGGGAAATAGAGCAAGGGGTGCTTGAGGGTGTGCCTACGTTGTGCCAAAGTCGATGCCGATGACCAAGGTAGGGGGGTTTCCTTTTGATGAAGTCATCTCTGAATCTTTGTTTCGAGTCTGCTTAGCTCGGACGTTGCGGCCGCGACATGCCCTCATCGCCTGATAGTACTTGGAGAGGTACAACGAGAAAGGAGATGAGCGGAGTGGAGGAGAAGAGGTAGGTATCTTGGTTGGTTGTGGGGGGCCACCGGCAGAAGTGTTGCGCTCTTTGAGGGGTGGATGAGGAGAAGGCTCAAGCGATTTCGGCCCAGGCAACAGGAGAACAAAGGAGGAGGTTAATTTCAGGGCTCCATAATCTGGTTATCTCCTATTGTTGTGATAAAAGCAGCTTTCACAAACTCATCCGCTATTCACTCCCCTCCACCACGATGCGAATTGTTGAACTGTAATAAACCCACCACCCAGCACAATAGGAGAGTTTGAGCGCAACATGTCGATTTTGATAGAAGAGCCTAGCAGAGCCCAGTCATGGCCTGTTAATGAAGAGATGCAACTCTCCCTATTCATCTTTTATTGAAGCGTGTGGGCTATTTTGGTGGAGGATAATGTAAGTATCACAAGTTGGACATTGTTTTTACAATAGAGCACAAGCGCATGCACTTAAGCGCATTGCAAGTAAAGAGAAGTTAAATCGGCTCATTAAGTCGCCATAAGGCCCTGGATGTTCTTGCCGAAAATATTAGGGAGTTGAACGTTGAAGGAAGGAAGGACCGGTGCGGGGCCGTCCGCGACTGCCATGCCGGTTCATGTGGAGCCAAGCCGGACATCCGCTCATGGCCGATGTCGGCCGTATCCGATCCGAAACACATACACTGATGATATTATCACCCTTCCGCTAGCGAGTCAAACACTTTTATTTTACGGTTACATGATTGATATTTTCAAGGTCGCATGGAAAGGTCATTGATGTACCATAGCACAAGTGATTCCACGGACTGATAAAGCAGAGCATCATGTCGACACCGACGTCACTCAACCAACGGTCTCCATTCATGTGTCCAGACGCCTTCAAAACAGAATTCTCCGATGTGCACTCTACATGAAGCTCCAGGGCACACTTTCTCCTCAACCTGGTTGCGTTTGCAATGAACAATGGCACAAGAATCCTCGCTGTAACTGATGTATATATAACAGTCGCCCGATGGTCTCATACATGCATGTGCTAGCTGTAGAAAAGAAAAGCTCCGGATGTTCGAGCAGTATATCTACGCCCTTCCTGAGTCTGTTATGGAGCTCTGTAAAGTGTTGACCCAATGGTATTCAATTGCGGTGATACGACGCAACTTGTCATTGCTTGGTAAGTTGCAAAAAACATGAGGATCATGTTCTTTTACCTGTCGCCAGCAGTTTTCACTTGTTGTCAAGAAACAAAACACACAGATGTGGTTCCTTCTCAAGTTTGCAGCATATACATGTGTGTTTTCTCCCCAAAATGGCACCATGTAGACCTGCAGCAGTCTAATTCTATTGTGGTGCTCTGGTATGAGACGCTTAGGGGTAATGTGGGATGAATCATGAGCCCAAGGATGAGATTGGGACAGGCCTTTCAGATCTCATTGTAGGATCATAGGACATCCTCTCAGTGGTAGTTAAGTATCTGTAGAAACGGAGGTCAATCAGCTGTTAGTTTAAAGAAGATGTAATTGCGTAGATTTGTAGTTCACCCTCGGTACGTGCAAGCAACCCTTCACACTGAACACAAACCCCTATTCAACATCCTCCTTTCGCCCGCAAAGCAGAAGTATTGGACAGTTAGAAATCACAAGGTAAGTATTAGGCGCCAAAACCCGTCCCAAGCCCCCTCGCCAACACTTCTTGAAGCCAGCATAGCATATATAACCGAAAAAGCCCACCCTCTCGCTTGTGGGTATCATCCACCAAACACTCCCAGGATACGATTTAAACGTGGCACTAAACAGCTGAACGGGTATTTATAGAACGGAGATATCTCAGGCAACGATATAAACTCTGGCGGTGTAAGGTTGAATGAAGCTTTCAGCACTGGGGCTCCCCTCCCTCTCCTTTTTTGTCTTGTTGCTCCTCTTAACGTGGGACATAGCGGGACGGGACGGGACGGGACGAAAAAGCCAGTCTTATTTGAACTCAGCCCTACAAGCTTCGTTTCAAGAAAGATATTTAGTGTTGAAATACAAAACATGATTCCTTTTGTGTGAGTCAGTTATCTTGAAAACTCTGCCGACAGCGAATACATATGGTTGAGTTGGCGGGTTGAGTCATGGAAATATCCATCTTCTCCCATCCATGTAAGTCGGGCCGTGACTACGATTGGGCCGTTAGTATCAGGGTTGGGTATTGTTGTTACTTGCAAAATGCGCTGGATTCACCGTCTGCTGATTTTTCTTTTACAAAAAGTGGTTCTTGATGGGCTGCTATATAGCTTAAACGAGAGCCTGATGTTGAAGTTGTAGCTTGTCCTGCATGCGTGGTTGTTACCTGACCAGGATATTTTTCTCAGCCAAAACCAAAACCTCAAAGTGGATAACACAAGGGTTTTGACAGGTTTCATTTCTTTTTAATATAAATAAGCTCTTCGAAAGTGCGAAAGCAGGTCAACTCTACTGAACCGTGCTGTCCCAAGCGATTCGCAAATCTGATATTAAATTCCCAGTGCCGAGTGTGGAGGATCACCAGCATCGACGACAAGGGCGAGCCATATCACGACAACCCCTGCCCTGTCCTCTCTCTCCCTTTTTCGTTCGGACCCTCCTAGTTCGTACTTGTTGAGCCGCCAGATGCGCATGCACGATTCAAAAAGCAGAAACAAATCCTCAAGCCAAGCCAAAGAGAGAAAGAAACTTCAGGGGCAAGAACCACAGTTTTCTTCCCTTTTTTTTTACCCCTGCCTGCAGCCTGCAGACTGCATTAGAGGGTAAATCTTTCCAATCTCTCAAGACATAACTGGAACAAGACCTTCAAAAAGACAAGGGTATTACCCCCGCGCGCGTTAGGTTGGGTTAGCTAGGTTAGTGGAGTAGACCCGCGAATCGTATATCCAGCCACTCGAATTTACGGTGAGGAAGAAGGCAACGAGTTCCGTCTTCCCCTCCTGTCCCTGTCCTGCTCGTCAGCTTTCGAAGCTACTGTAAGTGAGAGAGTGGTCCTGACTCCTCTCAATCCTTTAGTCTCGACCTTACAGTGCAGCTCTGACTTGCATCTGCAGCAGACCACGGACCCAACACGCAAACGCAAACGCAGGCTTTGGTTCGCATATCACCCGATACTCGTTTTAGTTTTCTTTCCAGCCTGCCACCTCAATTCTCCATTAACATCAACTCATCCTCACCCACGACTCTATTTTGTTCCTCCCTCAATTCATTCTAAGCGACCTTTGGCTCGCGAATGCCCACAAATTGAGGTTTATATTCAATCTCACCACCACCTAACAAGAAAAACCCACCCAACTCAAAATGGGCTTCCTTGACTGGAACGACGGCGCCTCAGTCCTCTCAGGACGAACCTCATCTCGTCGCCACAAATCTTCCCGCTCCCACAAGAAGCAGCGCTCAAGATCCCGCTCTAGCTCCCGCGACCGCGGCGGCCGTGGCTTTGCAGAGTCCATCTTTGGAGGCGACCGCTATGGCAAGAACAATTCCTCTCGCGCTTCATTCTTTGGCCTAGGCGGCGGCAACAACAGCCGCTCCAGCTTCTTTGGAAACAGTAAGCCCCCCCCTCCCCCCTTCCTCTCTGCATACCTCGAAACGAAATAGACATACTAACCAATCCAACCAGGTCGATCCTCTTACTACAAACGCTCCCCTCGCCAGGGCTTCGTCCAAAAGACATACAAACAGCTCAAGCGCCTCCTCCGCGACCTCGTCCATTGGGCTAAGCGCCACCCCTGGAAGGTCTTCTTCGTCGTCATCATGCCCCTCATCACCGGCGGCGCCCTGACGGCTCTCCTCGCCCGCTTCGGCCTGCGCATCCCGCCTACCATTGAGCGCATGCTCGGCGTCGCCTCAAAGGCTGCCACCGGCAATACCTCCGGCCTCGTTGGCGAAGCTGTCCGCATGGCCGGCGGCTTCGGCGGCAACACCTCTGTTCGCATGGAGCGCGACACCCATACCTTCAGCGGCGGGGGTGGCGGCGGCGATACCTGGGGTGGTCTCGCTAGCATGGCCAAGAAGTGGATGTGATATTAGGGAGACGACGGCATTCTTTGCTTTGCTTTGCTTTGGATACGGCTATTGATATAATTTGACGAGACGCAATTGGGTTTGCTCGAGGCGTTTCAGGAACGGATTTTCCGCAATACGGCACGGTACCTTGGGAGGACTATTTTGCTCCAATTGCCATTTTATTGGTGATTTCGGATAGACTACTACATGACAGCATTCTTGAATAAAACTCACGACTTAATGACCCCTGGATTTTGGCCCTGGTGCCTGTCTCAAGAATGTGATCGACTATCTCCAAACTTTACCCTAACAGTGACTTCTCCCATATTAGTCTTACCAGGCATCCCTCAATTCTTAAGCTCACGTGCAGACTTAAAACTTGCAAGGTCTGAGACTTCATCATCGTGAAATGTTTTCAGCACTATGTTCATTACTAGTTCTGTGCATCTACCAGTAGCCTCCGCAAAATACCTAGCTAGATCTCATTCGTGTCCTACTACGTCCTCCTGTTGACTGTGGCATCGAGATTGCCGCCCCAAATCATATCCTCCCAACTCCCGTCGGGAGTCGAAGCTGCAGTTGACCTGACTCGGCCAGAAATCTGCTGATCTGGGAGCCAGAGAGGCGTAAGCCAGTGCCGGATACCAATGCTATTCATGCAATCATTAACCTCTGCGCCCAATCCTTTCCCTAAACTAAAATTCCAGTGGTTCCATCGATCCAAGGTCCTCGCGTAGGTCTGTTGATACCTTGCTTGTTGACCATTGGTGTTGTTGTTAAGCTTGCCATTACTTGGTCCAACCATCCCAAATAGTGTCAAATTGGCTGCTGCCGAGATAAATGTTTCTCGATCGCAAAATGCCAAAAATAAAATAGTGTACACATGCCAGCTTGCAAATGCAGCGACAGTCATAGAACGCCAACGCTTGTCAAGTTTCTTCGAGTCGGATCTCTCAATCATTACTTCGCCTCGCCTTCTTTCTCCTTGATAGTGTCCTTCTCTTTTGTGGGCTTCCAGAACTGCATGATACGGCCCAGCTTCTTTGTTCGGCTGCTCTTGGCCTTCTTGTTGCTGTCGTCGTCTAGCGTAACTTCCATAGAAAGCTTGCTTCGCTCGCCGTGAGAGCTGCTGATGAGACGACTCAAGCTGGCGAGGCTGGATCTTCGGCGTCCGAAGGCAGCAGATGAGACTGATACAGGCCGAGAGACTGACACGGGGCGAGGTTCCCTGAGCATGGGCTGCGATTGACGCTGGCTAGGTAGAAACATGCTCTCTCGCGTCATTGTAGAGTTGCTGGATGTCAGTGAGGGGATGTCGTAATCCATAGAAACTCGGACCTCCGGGCCAGGCTCGCCCATCAACAACAGGGATCGGAAGTTGTTTTCGTCTGCGACCGATGATGGAGCTGTCGAGATTCGTTGAACATCAACAGACATGGGCGACCTGGGAGATGGGAAAGAAGAGGAGTAGCTCATAGCGCAAGGGCTGGTTGGTGCGTTCGCTGGCGTGGGAAGCTGGAGGGGACTGAGGTCTACAGGCGATAGATCATTGTGGGCTGAAAACCTCTTGAGCGAGGAATTGGCTGGATCAGTGGAATCGCTCTGCTCAGCAGGCATGAATGGTGATCGGAAGATGACGCTTGGCATCTCCTCAGCGATGACACTTTCATGGAGAGATGACCTCGAACGTTCGGCTCGAATTGCGGCAAGAGGAGCTTGATCCTTCTCACTCAGATTTGAAGTGGTTCGTCTCATGCTCTGAGACGAGCTATGGATTGACAGTCTATCTTGAGAATCCCGAAGAGGGTCGCGAGCATTACCAGCCGGAGGCGTAGCGTCACTGTCAGAATCAGTCTCTTCGTCAGAAGATGAGTCTGTTGTGCCAGATCTAGCATTGTCGTCATCGTCCTCTTCGTCTTCTTCAAACACATCAGCCATAGTGGAGCTGCTGTTGTAACGATGCATAGCAGCACGGCCAGCATCGAATGGAGGCAGATCAGGAGCAGATTCCGCACGTCGATGATAATGCATACCCGGGCCACTAAAGCCTTTCATGCCTTGGGCACTGTGAAGTCGACGTTTGCCTACACCACCAGCAGCTCGCTGTGCCGCTTCCCACTCAGGATTGAGAGGTAGTGGAGTATTGAAGGGGCCTAGAGCTGCATCCAAATCGATCATAGGGTACGATTCATCCATGGATCGTTTTGGCTTCTCGCCCTCCTGAGGGACATCGGGAGATTCGGTAACGGTAAGAGTTGGTGTCGAAACGTCAAGCAACTCGGGTTCTCCATACATCTGATCTTCGCCCTCGTATCGAGAGACGCTCAAGGTTGGTGGAGTAGGAGGACAGCTCCCCTCTGATTTCGATCGCTTGCTGTGAGATTTGGGTTTTCGTGGTAAAATAGCCCCAGCCCAACCCTTGACCTTCTTCTTCTTTTTCTTACTCTTCTTGCTCTTGCTCTTGACTGGTGCCTTATCAGTACCCTCACCAGTCGTATCAGGTCCATGGCCAGATATGGCCGTGACCTTGGCAAGCAAGTCAATTGAGCCAGAACTTTGAGGTCTTGCCTTGGTAGGTGATCCGTTGCCAGTTGACGGCTCGCGGCCGAAGAATGACCAACGCTTCCTTGTCGGGCTCGGTTCAGCCTCTTCTACTTTAGGAGGGTCGGCAAAATTGAGCAGTGTCGGGATCGAGTTCCGGCGCCTTGGGGAGGATGGTGTGTTGGCCAGGTCATGCGTACGCTCAAGAATAGCACCTGCAGTACTCGGTCTCGAGTCCGAAATTTCGAAGGTGGGTGTTTGAGATAGAGGCGACGGGCTGTCGCGGCCACTGTGTGATGTTGCTGACACAATTGATGAGATGCTGCCAGATAAAGAGTGGCCTGGTCGTGCTGTTACAGTGCTAGACGTCTCATTAGATACCAGAGACAGAGGCCTGGGAATAAACTCGAGGGTGTCGGAAAATCCAACACGAGCCTTTGATTGCTTGAGGCTACCGCTGGGTGAGGAATTCGATACTGCGGTCTCTTCTGACTCTTTTGCCGCCTCAGATTTGGCCACAGTTTCAGGCACAGGCGCGATCTTTTCGTCAAGCTGTAGAGCCTGGTTGTTAGGCTGTCCAAAGTTGGTGGGGCTGGTTGGCGCGCTGTTTCCTCGATCAAAGGCATCGAAAACTGGTGGTTGGAGGATAGGCAGGTCATTAGTCGAGATGGCGCCTGAAATTCCTCTTCGGTGACCTCGTCTCGGTGGCTGAAACGTTGGCGTCACAAGCCCACTTTCAGATTTTGTTGGACTTGTGCTCATAATGGCGATCGAGTTGCCCTCACGAAGACGGCCTCCAACAAATTCACTTCCACCTCTCCGATGCCCGTGGCCGCCTGGTCGCTGTGCAGATGCAACATTCCTGGGTGAGTGAGGGGAAATGGGAGGAGTTAGAAGAAAGTTGTTCTCACGGTCGGGAGACAGCAAAGCACCCGGATTGAAACTGAAGTCGGGTAATGCCGACCGAGACTGTCCATCCGCGTTTTCAGCAGGAAAGCCAAAGCTAAAGTTGGGAGTCTCAATGGCCGACATTGGACGCCGGCCTGTGGCTCGTGAGAAAGAGGAGGGCGCGGAGGCTGATCCTGGCGCTTGAGCTGGAAAGACGAATGGTGGGTTTGGCGGTGGTTCATCAACCTGATCATTGGAACCAAGCGATTGAGGTCCATTGAAGGAGTTCATCGAAACAGCGAATCGGTTGGCAGGGCTGTCGAAGGCAGGACCGGGAGTTGGGCGGGATAGCCGCTCAGGGCCAAGTGCGGTTGCCATCGTCTCCTCAGCCGCGCAGCGGCAATCGAAGTGATGGACAACGATGGGTGAATTAAAGGTTCATAGGACAAGCGAAGCAACTGTTCCGACACCGTAAAGCGCAGTTAAATATTCGATTCGAGCAGGTGGATAGCAATAATCGACTGGTGGTTTCGGAGAAATGGCCGGCTCTGAAGGGTCACAAGCAACCATCAGTATGCAGATCTTGAACTGGGATTGAACAGGCGAAAGCAAAGTGTCGGCTTCGAGAAAAGATTTGCTAAAAGAACTGAAGAAGAATGATTCGTACTGGGGTAACGGACCAGATGGAAACGGTTGCAACAGGCGTAAAAGTCGTCGAGATCAATCGCGGGAAATTGGCAGGACGAAATACTCGAATGGCGGCTGTAGAACTAAGATAGATATGTAATGTTATGAAAATGAGTGGACGGACAAGACCAGCGCAACTCTACAAAGACAAGAGAGCAACTGGAATCGAACCAAGAGAGAGGAGGTCGGAAGGAGGAAGAAAGTGAATCTTCGCTCGCAAAGACGGCGTTGTCGATGAAGTGCGGCTGGAGAGTTGAAGAAGAGAAGACGGGACGGGACGGGGGAGGGGGGGAGAAACGCGATTTCGTGATGGACCGAAGGCAGGGCCAGCCAGAGGGAAAGGTAAAGCCCAAATGGGCCATGGACCTTGTGTTCAGCCACGGCCAGCAAGTGCAGGTGCAAGGGGTCCACCGTGATTAGAGTAGAGGTCAGGTACGTTAGAGCAAGTACCGCTGCAACCATCGTAAGGGCGGATGAAGGGCCGGAAATGGCCAAGGAGGACCTGCATCTCCTGTACCTCGACTGCTTCCTGCCCACTTTGGCCAGGCCCCCAGATCCTAGGCACCCCCTAGTCGTTAGCCGCTCGCTAGCCTCTAGCCTGTGCCTCTCTAGTGTCTAAGTATAATCCCTAATCCCTCCATAGACATTACCTAGAGACTTAGGCTTAGCCCAGGTACCTGGCCTGGACAAATCTGCCCTGAAGCGCCTGAATGACTGCCCTGCTTGGACGCAGAGACAGTGGGAGACACACACTCACACACACACGACATAACCAAGGGGCGCCACCTCGGAGACTCCAGCAAGGCCCCCGCCGCGTTGAACTGTTGGCTGCTGGCTCTGCCAAGATTGGAGTGAGTGGATGCCAGTAAAAGGCGGTTCATGAATCGAGGAATTAGGGCGACCCGATCAAGAAGCCGGGAAACCCAAAGAGGATTGTGCGAGATGAACCAGGTTGCTTTTCGGGTGGTAGTCAATGGAAGATACGGAGTATACGGTGTAGAAACAAAAACAGAGCAGAATAACACACAAATGGCCAACATATCCCAATTGCATTGCAACTTGTCTCATCCAAGGCCAACGAGATCCCTTCCATCCCTACCCTTCCATGGATTCATCCTCTCCAGGGGCGGCCGGGCCTCCTCCACTCCGCGTCGGTGGTGGGCCGTGGAGCATTTTTCGTCCACCCCAAGACCAAGACCCGCACTGTGTTGGCTGTTCGTTTTTTGTCTTGGTGAGGCAAATTGCACCAAAGCAGTGAATCATGTTGTTGTTGTCTTTACTGGGCGGTAATAATAAAATCGAAATATCATCTTATGCTGCCAGATATCAATTAATTTACTGCTGTTAAGCATGCCAATCTGGCAGAACCAAGTTCTGTGCCAAGTCAGCACCAGGGACAAACCAAGCGTTTCCAACTTGTCGCCCAATCTTACTGAAACAGGACAGCATTACCATCGTGGATATTGATCTTCATTACAAGCAGTTGCACACGCAGTTTGTTCATGGCGGTCACCATTTCATGACTGGTACTGCCAATATCGGCACATGATACGGATTGCTCCTCCACATCTGCACTGTGACCTCCCCCCAGCCTGGCGCATCCCTACACCCCGGTTCTTTGTTCACTGCCTCTGCGAACGCTCTTTCGAGGTGCTGCTCTGTTAGGCACCTCGAGTCTCTGCTACTCGTCTGCTGTTTCTGTCCAGGGGGCCACTTGACGATATCCCGGCCCATGTCACATTCGGTGCGTCCAGGGCGTCGTGTACCTGCACCTAAGGGAACACTTGTGCATGCATACAGAAGCGCAGCAAGTCCACGACAGATGAGGGAACAAACAGACAAGCATAGAGAAGCAAATTGCATCAAGCACAAACCTTAAATGATGCTGGAGCGACGAATCTGCCACGCCAGAAAACAAACCTCCCGTCTTGAAGCGCTTATCAAATTCCATCGATATCAATGATCTTGAATTCCCCCGGAGCCACACTCGTTGGCCGTCTTTTACCAGGATGATGTCCTCCAGGTTAGTGAGCGGGGGAGGCGAACAACAAGTGGAGGTCTAGGGAGTAACGGTTACAGCGGGCGGCACGATGTCTTGCTTGATGTTGCGACAATCTAATGGCTTGGCGGTTCCGTATCTTGAAAATCAAGTACTGATAGTCATGACCGGGCATCATACTTGGACGTTTTCCCATCTAGCGAGGAATTGCTCGACGTACATAGAATAACTTCAAGGTCATGCAGGTTCGAGATTTGCTCACACCACAATGCACTGGGCCTGGTCGATGTGACCGGTCGAGTTACAATAAACATTGCTACCATAGGGTGGTCAGCGGCAGGTGAGGGTTCGTCGGCATCGGGTGAGACCAAAACGCCGGAGGTGAACTCCACAGCCTAGATATTGGACTTTTTATACCAGAATATTTACCACAATGGCATAATAATGATACAAAGATGATGGGCTTTTAGGAAAGACTTCAGCGATACTTACCATATAATTTGATCAGGTAGAATAATTTATCTAATATTATTGTACTCCGTTGAATTTATATTCATGGTGAACTCACGGCTGGGGTTTTACTTCCCCCTATGTCGGATGACAACGGGCTGACCATTTTGAGCATACAATTAATTCTTGGGGTAGTCAACTTCATTCAGAACTATACCCGAGTATCTCTTATCAGGCAGGTTGGCGGCATGAAACACGTTCGCGATGCGGCGATGGTAACCAAGGAAGCCTCTCACACCAATGGTGACTTTGTGAGTTGTCTTGAACAAAGGTCCAGCGCAGTCTGGACCTGAACATTCTCGTAAGATGCATGAATTAGTTCTGTCACTGCATTACTACTTTCAAAGCCTTGTGACTTGTGTATTCTTTTTGCAACTCGTTAATTAACTCAGTACTGTTCCTTGATCTGGTGTTAGTCAAGAGGCCAATCACATCAACAGAGAAACCAGTGGGCTGCTGCAGTACTCCGTACCTACCTAGGCAGCCACCAACGGACGGATCGATCTTCAGAAGGGGGGCGGGACCTAGATATGGAGATCAACGGTGCGGTGAAGTAACCATCCAATTCATTGAAACACCGCCATCTCGGGAGTTTAAAAAATACACGATAGTTTCCGTATGTAATCATAGACTAGTTATTATCACTCATTTGCTTGTGATATTGCCGAGTCAGCCGTAAGAAACAAAGCAGGTTTGTCTTTCAGCATGCATTTCTCTCTCCACTCAATTGCCTCACTAACTGCCACTGGTCGCCCAAACCATTGTACAGGCGAGACATGGCTTGCATGATGAATCGAGGCTAGAACCAGTCGTATACTGCTATGCGCCACCAGAGTCCAAAAGATACGATGCGTTACGATACGATGCTGTCTGTATACAGTATGGTACAGGATATTTTTGTCGTATGTTTTTGCTTTTGCAGTTCACAATGGGGTTTAGTCTGCTCTGTACTCCGTAGATTCTCCCCATCACTTCATTCTCCCTCCCTCCCCCAGTTAAGTTCACCTGAGATCTGTCCAGAGTGAAGTGACTGGCCCTGTCTGGTAGGCACCTAGGCAGGCCACTCAGCACTCCACTATCAACCCGGGCCTGGCCAGGCCTAGAGATTACGAGGCCGAGGATACGATCATAACAAAGTAGTCGTGACAGTTCGTCAAAAACAACAACCCCAACAGTCATCGGGGGTTAGGCTATGATCTATCGGCAAGGAGGCCCCTGAAGATTACGTACCGCCCTTGTCACAACGCTTTGTTGCACTGCTAGAGGAGCTCCGATTTTAGATCTTGACAGATCGATATCTTAACCCAGTTGCACTGTGGCCTCCACGAGAGAATTGTTGTTAACCAGACGGTATCACCAAGCACTTGGTCATTTTGCTGTTTGCGGCTTCATCACTGCGACTATACTTTATATCCCTCAGCAAAATCTTTGTCCTCGTAGTCGCGGCTTGACGCCTCGTTCGCTACGCATGGGGCCAGGAACAGCCTTAATTCCCCTGTCTGCCCATGGCTATGCCTATGCCCACCCTGGCACCCGTAGTCCCGTACCTGAAAGTCATTCCTTGATTGAGTGAGTTCCCGGGAGCGATGTGGCAGCTGATGACGGATGTTATTGAGGCTGGGGCCTTCTTCCAATCTGGGCGTTCAGGACACTTGGGACAACATTTTGCCTTGTCCGTCAATGATAAGAGATTCGTCCAGGCAACGACATCAGCTTGTGTGATGTGATTGGCCTTGGCATTGATGTCTTGGGTTGTCATTGCTTTTTTAATGGACAAGACGTTAGATATCTTGATGGGCTAGTTAGATCGTGGATTCATCTTCATCACGGCTTGTTTCAACAGATCAAACTCGAATATTGATAGCAGTCAACTTACTCCGTACAGTGACGAGTAATATCGCCCTTCCATGTCTATAACAGTCGCAATACTCTAATCTTATTTGATTGCATTGATACATTTGAGCTTAAGCGCCTATCCGGTACTTCCAACCTGGAGGCTATCCCAGTTTATCTGATAATTGCAATCCGCGCGGCAGACGAATAGATCTATCACAATATCCGACGACACCCGCAACAGTAACATGATGCACAGACCGAATTGATCGCAAGACACTTGGCGCATCGGAAGTTTAACCGCACTCGGTATAAACAGAACGGCTGTCAGGATTTATCGACACCTAAATTAAGTAGGCTGCAGACCGCCGTATGGTGATAACGACACACAAGCTGCTGTATCTGTATCTGGTGATCGACGGTTGTCATGACAATTGCGTGTTGGCAAACAAACTACAGTGCCAATTGCATGATATCCAAAGTCTACCAACATGCGCGCATACAATGCCTGCATCACTAGAAGCAACTCGTGGTACCTTGTAATGTCTATTGCGCATATTTTATTATTCTTCCATCCCTCGTGTCTCACCAAGACCCGGGGCTTCTCTTTCATGGAGACCCTCTCCACTGCTAAGCCACTCCACCACATACAAGGATTCTCCTTCATTCAAGACTTTGACCTCCCCTGTCCATTATCATGCTCCACCGTGCACTCTCCGAACGGCCAATCTCACGGTCAAGCATGAAAAAAGGGCTTACGGAATCCCATCCCAAGCCAGCCTGCCACAGTTCAGCTTGTCCGCGAATAACCTCGCGCGTGCACTAGGTGTTGCTGTCTTGATGAAATGAACAATTCCTTTCCGTGCATGAGCAATTTCGCCAGCTTTCTCGAGGCGGAAGCCATGCAATGCCATTCGACACGGTGGCATTCCTATTATTATCAACAGTGGTAATAAGCCAATTTGCCTAGCTAATTGCGATTTCCTCTCCATTCCGTCATGCTCCATCTCCCTGCGTTGCGGTGAAGGAGGCCTCGCTGTGTTGAGGGATTCCCAAAAATAATATCGTGCCGAACTTGATGGGGTTTGACAGCCCAGTATCCGTATTTAGCACACGCTGGCTCATCGTCATTTCGTGGCCTGGGCTTAGCCTAGGCTCTGGGGCCGTGATGGATATCATGTCAAGGTAGGATCCGGCCACGATACCGAAGGAACAAGGTCTAATCGTTTCTGAACAAACTCGTTCCACTATGACATGACCATGTTAATCACGATGTGCGCAATTGCTGTATTCGTGTTGATGTTCATGATGTCTTGTAGGTAATGAGTTGAAGTCTTATTAACAGACGCGTTCGCCAGAGTCTTGACTCTCCACATAGTAATGTCTCTCCATTTATGCAATGTTTCTACACTTAGATGCATGGTAAATTACATGATGACATTTGCAAACGATGCTAATTAACCCAAACAGCATAAACATTGGGGATAGAGCGTTAACTTGTAGCTTCTGGCACAGGATAGGCTCACGAGGCTCCTGGTTCAGCCGAGGCTATTTCCCTTCATGCATACTCATGGGCCCCTTTACACAAATGCGTGTTAAACAAAATAAATGAACATGCAGTTTTGGGAATACGAAGAGCAATACCCCTGCTCCAATCACATCACTCGATCAGTATCTCAACCGCTAGCTTCCATGCATCATTCGAAGCCACCTGTGAGAAGCTGTAGGCTGTACGGAGTAAACCCTTGCAAATTTCTGCAGATAATGGATCTGAGGCTTAGAAGTTCGCAGCTGAAGCCACAGCCAATAGCGTGAACTCTCCCTTCGACTGACAGCTAACAAGGGGCGGGATGGCGTATTATTGGAAGAGTTCTTGACTTTAATGAATAACACAAACTATCGAATGGGTCAGATACAGAGTAGTAGTAACTGGTGAATTCTGCCCTTAGCATTGATTATTATTTCGTCCGAAGGGCCTTCCCATCGTGAAACACAAAAACGAAGCGACGTAACAAGATCGCCCCTTACCTATCTGCCCCTTACTTAGAGTGTGGAGAGCCTAGGTACCTAGCATTGGACCCTGGATTTGAGCCACAATGAAAGTCAAGACTGTGGAGGAGCACAGCCACAGAGTTTTTATCAATTCACCGCCTCTAAGATAATGCCCCGCTGCAACTTTTTTTGACCGGCAGAAAATTTGGTGAAGGCGCGCGAAGATTACTGGAACGACACGCTTCAGTATCAAAGACATACACAACATCAGCAACATGTCTGATACAGAGAACACAAACCTGACTCCCGCTTCGGCGGCTGAGAAGCCCTATGGCATGCGCAAGAATGGTAAAGCTTGGTCCTATGGCATTGCGCACACCCGAATTTTCCAGAGCTAACCATCCCGTAGGCAAGCAATGGCACGCTCCCAAGAAGGCTTTCCGACCTACCGCCGGCCTCAAGTCTTATGAGAAGCGAACGCAAGAGCGCGCCATCATGATTCAAGTCAAGGCCAAGGAGAAGGAGATGAAGGAAGAGAAGGAAGATGAGCGCAAGGTAAGCCCAAGAAGATTTTGTTGGTGTCGACTGGAATCAAAGATCTAACCATGGAAAACAGCGCAAGGTCCAGGCCATCAAGGAGAAGCGCGCCAAGAAGGAGGAGGCCGAGCGATACGAGAAGATGGCTGAGAAGATGCACAAGAAGCGAGTCGAGCGACTAAAGCGCAAGGAGAAGCGAAACAAGCTGATCAACTCTTGATCGGGGCGCAGAAGTATTTCTTGAACGGTGGTTGGAACTTGAAGGAGCAGACATATATCGACAACATTATGATTTACGATGCGGCAATACCTCACACTACAACTTGCAACGGAGAGAATAGGGTAGACAAACATGGGAGCGGCATAATATACCTTGGCGTTTGAACACGATATCGAGACTCAGCAGAACGCAACGTCAGACCGTCACTCATGGATAAGTTCGTTTTCGTATGCGATCTAGGATTGCTACTCGTAAGGCACTCTGGACAGATGGTTTGCGCATCTCGACTGGTTCATGTACAAGTTCGAAAGATCGAATTGGTATTACCAAAAGCTAGGTCTAGTCTGGCCTGGAAGCATGGAACATGCGATCTGTAAATCCATGAACTTAGATCTATGAAACAATCGTCCATCAAGCTGACAACGGAGCTTTCTATCGGTCCTTCAACGTCGCTAATCCATACTTGACAGCTATCATTGTGGGTATGATGATGTTGATGAGTCCATCCTCAGCTCGAAAACTAGCAGCACATGCCACAATGGTCGAGTAGTGGCAATAAGTAATAGAAACAAAAACATCAGCCTACTCTTCTCTACCAAACGTATTCGTATATGCTATCTCAAGCTCATGTGGAGATGTCTCGATCTTGTGCGCCTACATCTCTGATAGTGACATGTGAAAACTACCGGCTTACAGGGATCCACTAATCCGTCCCCGAGATTGACCATTCGACGATCGCCTGATGCAACCATGCTATCAGCTCTTCTGGGTAACCCACCCCATGCGTCACAGGGTCCAGGCATTAAGTTCTCACAAAACTTGCTCCATATAGATACAGTGACAGTAATAGCTACAGCAGCTGCAGCTGCGGGGAACGAATCGGGAACAGCCACACAACCACCCAATCCAACTAAGTCAGCATCTTGATAACACCGCTCACGCTATGGCTTCCGCAGGCCTTACGAGTCCCCGAGACTCTGTCAACTCGGTCTCGAGCGTCCGCTCCGGCAGTCGACACCAGGTCAAGCGATCCATCACCGAACTCGCGTCGCCCGTCAAGCTCAACCGCCGAAAGGAGAAAGAACGCGACCGATACAACGAAGAGCGCGCTTCTCATGCGCATCACATTTCCGTCTCACACCCCCTCTCCCCGAACCCTCTGTATCAGGGCCGAGCTTCGGTAGACATCATGACACGGTCGGAAGGCGTGACGCCCTATATGAGCCCCGACCAGAGTCGTCGGCCAAGCTTGATGTTGTCAAGGGAGGAGGAAGCGAAGGTTGTCAACACGACTGCTCCTACAGAACCCAAGACAAACGAGAAGGTTCAAGAAGACCAGGCCAAAACATCCTCGCAGGTCGAGTAAGACATCACCTATCCTCTGTCTGCAGACCACATCACTAATACATTCACAGGGGCCTGAAGCAGTCATTAGTCGAACTAGGCACTTTCTCTACATCCACAGCACGACGACTGGACGAGACATACTACGCCGTTCTTCAGAAGATGAGCACACTCCAGTCGACTGTTTCCGCACTTAAGGAATTGGCGGAGGAGTCTCAGAGCATACATCGTAATTTCGAAAAGGATGCTTGCGAGATCGAGAACGATATCACGTCCCAGATTGCAGCTATGGGGCAGTTCAAAGAGCACCAGGACAACATCGAGTCTCTCCAGACTCGCGTTCAGGATGGTCGCGCAAGGATCCGAGCTCTGAGTGACAGAGTCGACATTGTCCGAGAGCAAGTTGAGCATTGGGAACGTCTCGACAAGAAGTCTCAGGAAAAGACGCGACTGAGGCTGAGGGCCATTATGGTCTGTATTACAGTCGTGTTCCTGGCGGTGCTCGTACTTTTCTTTGGCGCGCAGTATGTATCACGGCACGGTGGGTTTTTGGGCAGCGATGGCTCAAGTACGCCTCGTGTTGCAGAGTCCATCATTGAGTCGCATAAGGGAGCAGGGCACACAGCACTGCCTCTTCGGAGGTATGAGAAGGGCGATTCGCCGTATCTGAAGAGGAAGCAGGCTCATGCTCATACTCATAGAGGAGAAGAGCTACGTGCTTTTGACGAGCTGTGATTTTGTTTGCTCGCGGCATTGTTTGCTTTTACTTCGATACCCCCATGATTCATGACATGCATTAGCGCGTATATAAGTTTTATAACAAGAGATTGGTAGATACACTGTTCAGATAACGATTGCATATCCCGTGTGTCTTTCATCCATTTTCAACAACTTAGGTATTAAGAGATCTGGCCGACCGTTGCTCACTGTCTTACCCTACAGCCATCATCACTTGTTAAATTAGTATAGATTGACGAGTGGCAACGAAACCTACGATTTATGAGGATCAAACCACACGTGATTCTATACCTAATTGTAATTTTATTCCATTGGACAAATAATACGACGGTAGGCAATACGTAAAAAGCCTGACAAGAAACTATCCATGCGCCGAGCCGCTGCCGGCGTCAGGCTTCGGAGCCTCCGTGTTGCACTTCCCCACTGCCGAGCGGTGTCCGGAGAACGTCTTCCAATTGTAAAGAACACTTCTGCTTTGACCCAGACTGCCAAGGCCCAGAAGCTCAATCTGGTCAGGCTGGTGCATTTGTGTTGCACAACCAAGGCCGAAAGATCTCCGTCCATAGCGACTCGCAATAGCTCGGACGTGGTATACTTACTGACTTCATGAACGCTGTTATCACCCTACGAGTCCTCAAAATTGCCAAAAGATAAAAGAATTGGGTAGTTTCCGCATGGTAAATATGGATGTCGGCACGTCCATATTTCGCAAGCCTCAGTTAAAGGCCAATGAAGCACAGACTCGGCATTGCGTAACAGAATGTGGCTGGGCAGAAGACGGGACTCTCCCAACTTCCCCAGTTGATATACCTGGATGATTGGCTCATGCGTAGATTCGTAATTTTCGCACAGCCTGGAGAGAAGCCAATCTCTTTGACTTTATACTGCGCCGTAATGTAAACGTGCAAGGAGTGGATACTATCGTGACTTGTTCAGGCCTCAACATAAGTCTGATATTGATATCAAGATCAACAGATATCAACGGCTGCTTCTTTCGGATAACAACCGACGTAAACGAGATGAGATGTTATTTCAACAAAACAGAAATACTTGAGTCACGCTTGCTACATTCTGATACTTGATACTTGATTGTGAGTAGTCAACAACCAAGTATGCGATTGCTTGGCATATGCGTATTGATATCAAGGAAGCCACTTCGTATTGATACCTGATTTTGCGGTCGCATCCGCGCAGCCTTATTAGGTTTGCAATGCTTTTCCCAAAATTAAATGCTAGTCATTGTCTTAGTAAACTATCAAAATATTTTTTACCGTCATGCTGTGCACATGCTACATGCTACGGCACCAAGGACCCGAGTAGCAGGGTTGTGTGAGCCTGGGCGAGTGGCTTGGTACTTGGCGACACACGTCATGCCCCTCGCATTTTGGCGCTTACTGCCCGCAAGTGTTCAGCGGGATGAGTGCTTTAAAAAGGATGAGGACGTTTTTAAAACAGGAGAAGCGTCGTCATTTGAGGCTTCCATCACTGAAGAGATTTCTCCGTTTGTACGTGATAATTTGAGGAAGACGAAGACGACAACGACAACGGACGCTGCATCTCTTATTACGTAGCTGCGCTCCATAAGGCACTTTTTAGTCTCGAAGCCGGAGCTGACTGCAGCTTTGCCCCGCCAAACCAAACCGGAACCAACCAGACCAGCAATCTTCCGAGCGTCTTTCTGACGAGTATCTCCCCGAGATCGACGACATTTTTTACATATCAACAGACTTATCCTAGACATTCATTGATAGCGACGACCTTTCCAAACCGTGAAATATCTCTCATCCCTACGAAAAACCATTTAATAAGCCACCCGAATCTTGACTGTCGCGCGAGCCATGGCTGCCGAAGCCGGAGATACGCCCGCCGTTGTTGAGGGCGCTGCTGTAGCCGCTCCATCTGCCGTTGACCTTCCAGTGCGTTCAAAACAAGATGTTGCGGTGCCTCAAGGTCAGGCGCTGTCTGGAAAGCAAGAGCATTGTGAGTCAAAATGCGCCCAACTCTACAAGTATACGCAGTGTAATAGATGCTGATACGTGACTCTTCGTCTAAGACCTCAAGAGAGAACTTATCTCTGAGCAGGTAAAGTGGGAAATCAGCGAACTCAATTCCACAACCGCTTTGCAGCGCTTCGGCGCACCTTTTCGATCCGAACATGGCGAGGTCCCCCCCGAGGAGTCTGAACTACCTATTCTGCGATACATCTTCGTCCATCATATTCGCGACTTTCCTTTCCTAGATAAGGCGCGCGAGAAGGAGTTCTGGCAGGACAAACTACAAGTGGTGAGTAACGACTACATTGTAGGCCAAGGCCAGCAGAGTACTCGAAGCTGATAATTTATAGTTCCTTGAATCCTTTGCAGGAAAGCAAATATCGTCTTCTGAGGATCGCTTGGAGGAGACGAAGCGACGAAAGTTAGCCATCAAGGCAAGGAAGCTTGTTGAGTTGATGATGGTCTCTGGAATCGGAACATCATCAGGGTTCGAAGAGCGTATCCGCTTTTCAGAAATCGAAATCGTCGACAGCAACGCTATCGATACAGGCGTAATGCATACATTGCCCGAGGGCAACTACATCAACGGCTGGGATGTCAACGTCGCCGGCGTGCGAGTCACCCAGGTGAAGCATACGATCCGAAAGCACAAACACGCCGAGTTTATCTTGCGTATCAAGAAGAAGGGAGAGCTGGAGCATTTTGTCGGACGAAGATATAGCGACTTTGCGAAACTCCACAGCCGGTTACGTGCCGAGCTTCCTGGTCGAGTGGTACCGGAGATGCCCAAGAAGAACAAGTCCGATACAACAACGACGATCACTTTCCCTTCCATGTTCAGCAATGGAAACGACTCGGACGCTTCCTCGATTTCCTCGGTTTCGACAAGACCCAACGGTTATTCATCCATGTTGACACCTGGTAAGACCCAGTCCCTTTTTGCCGTTTTCTCATACTAACATATACAAGGCCACCAAAGAGCTGACTCTGCTGCCTCATTCCGTTCAACTCGATCAAAGGGACTCAACTCCCCCAGGATTCCGTCTCCTCGAGTCTCCACCGAGGGAGGAAGACTCAGCCCAGCCATCCGCCAAGACTCAGACAAGTCAGAGGTAAGTGCGGTCAGCTTGATAGTCCTTTACTGTAAACTAACTTGACATACAGTCTGTCGTTCTTTGGCGCGAGAGCCAAAGAATCTCACTCAGGGCATTTTTGCGATCTCTCCTGCACAACCCCCAGTTTGCCAACACTAATGCTATGCAAGAGTTCCTAGGTGGCGAGCCTATCACACCAACAGACGATGATGTGGAAGATATTCTCCGGAGGAAGCAAGTGGACGCTAAACGCATGGAAGAACAAAAGCAATTTTATGAGATTGCTAGAAAACGTGCTGCTGAGCTTGATGAGTACATGGAACAGTGAGTATTGTGTTGTACAAGAGCCGAACTTGAGCTAACATCCCCCAGGTTCCGTCGCGACATAGTGGAGCGCAATGGACTTACTATGCTGTTCCAAGAGATCAAGGAAAAGGAGACGATCCCGGATCTTAGCATTCAGTATCGAAAGTTTGCTGAGTGGCTTCGTATCGAGATCGCCGCCGTCATCTATCATCTGTTCCTGGCGGAGGATAACTCACCTGAGCTCTTTGCCCAGGCTAAACGCATCCACTCTCTTATCCCATACTCGGTCATCAAGAACGTCATCCGAATCGCGAACCCTGCGGCTGTCATGTCGGGCGTTCTCGACATTTTCCTGGCTCAGCCATTTGGTACACGGTCATTGATGCAGAGAATTTTCTCTCTAACACTGACCGACGGAATCAAGAGCTTCCAGAAATCGATCGACATTCTCGCCGGCAAGATTGACGATCCCGTCTTTTCAAGCAAGCTTTACACATATACACATGCAGAGGAGCATATTAAGGTTGCCATCCGTGAGGAGGCTGAGGCTGACGATGTGGATTTGATCGTGGCAGTCTTGAGGTCCGACCTGATCGAGCCAGGACTTAACGGAGAGCAAATCCAGAGACTCTACAATGCGTATGTTGCTTTCAACAATGCGGTGGAGAACATCGACGAGGAGCTACGACAAGGAGCCCAATTGTTCTCGTACATGAAGCAGTACCTGAAGCTATGCACAAGGCAGCGAGACAAGGAGATGATGCTTCAGTTGATCGAAGAGCCGGTGACTCTCCAGCTCTTCCGAGACCTCTTTACCATCTTTTACGAGCCACTCGTACGAGTTTACAAGTCGGCCAACGTGTACAGCAGTGTTACCGACTTTGCCGTGTTTATTGATGACATGATAAAGGTAAGTGCAATCTTTCAGAAGTTCAACGAGGTATTAACATCAGTACAGGTCGTCGACAAATGCAGAGAGCAAGATGCCTCAGCTGATCCTAACCAAACGGTCCAGGCTTTCATTGATCTTTGTCAGCGACACGAACACAACTTCTACAAGTTTGTACATGAAGTTCATACACACGATAACGGCCTCTTTACTCAGCTCATGGGCTGGATCGAGGGCATTCTCGAGTTCCTGCGCAAGGGTCCCAAGAACGGAACTCTCAATGTCAACGCATTATTTGAAGGTGCCGTTAGTGCTGGTATCTTGAACAAAGATAAGACAATTTCAGAGATCAACTCACTTATTGCATGGCAAGAAGCACGAAAGAAGTGGCACAACGACAAGACAAGACAGAAGATGGCAGCAGAGGGCCATGCAGGAAGCGATATGATGCCAACAGCAATGGCCTTCAACTCGTCCGACTTTGGATTGGACAGTGAGGACCTTGAGGATATGGCATATGACGATGGATCCGAGGATGAGTTAGAAGCAGAGCAAGAGGATGAGATGGACCCCATCGAGGCTGAGAGGCGACGCAGGGCAAAGCGACAGGATCGCTTGCGACGAAGCGCTGGAGAGCCTGCCAAGCCTCCCGTGGAAGAGGTCCACAAGCTGACGGACAATTTCTTGGTTATGCTGCGCGAAGTTTTGTCGAATTAAGTTTAGCAAGATGATATCCTTGTTGGTGTTGTATATGGGTTTTTGGAGGAACGAGGAGTTGGCCGTGTGGGTTCTGGTATATAGGTACAGTGACACGATTAAAGTCGAGACTATAGGAAATGGTACACACTGTAGAATCGGTTAGGTATTCATGATCGCGGACCAACACTGTCTGATACTTCTGATATACTGAAAGCATTGGAGTATTGCACAAGTGATTTTGATTGATACACGTTATTGGCTGACGAAAACCGGACTTTGATGACCGGCCCGGAACGTTGATGGTGGACCCTCCCGTGAGCACATGCCGCTAATATCGGAGTTGGCGGGGGAGATGGGGAGATGGGGAGCCGATGGACTGGCAGGCAAAAAACATATCCGCTTCGGCACGTGATTAGCTTCATAGTCGTCATGGATTTGATATGAGGCGAGTTCTCCCGATCCATTGAGCTTTGATATGGTGTAAAGATCGAGAGAGAATGGCAGTTAATCTGGAGAGTCACGAGCGTAGCAATAAATTAACAACCAATTGACGTCTACGACCTTGCGCTTCGGTGTTAAAGGCCTCTATTACGCACCTGCAGTACGCCGTGTAGCGAGGTCATTGACTTCCGAGACCCTATATTTCCAGTGGCTTACAGCGGTCTTGAGCGTCAACGACCACGTCCAGTGGGCGGCGAATAATCGGCGCTGCTAATAAGCTAACGCTGATTGGCTGGATCAACCGAGGAGCCGAGAGAATCCGTACGGTAGAGCCTCGCGAAGTGTGAGAGACCCAAAAAAACATCAAGCGGAACTTGTCGATTGGCTGTAGTATCCAATTCAATCATCCTCTCTCCTCCAAAACCACATCAAACAAAAGTCCTGCTCCTCCGCCACCCGAGGATATCGTTAAAACACCCCCCTTCGATTCTCCCCGCGGATGCAGTTTGGTCTTGGTCATAGTGACTTTAGTTGATGATGGCTTCTTCTATGGCAATGAGAAGATTGGCCGTTGGCCCTGCCGTGAGTTGTCCCTGGGCTGATCAGCTGTGATGGCTTCATGGAGTGGGATCGCCCGCTGCGTGGTACCCTCGCGTGAAGTCTCGTCTGTCCTACAATGCAGTTTGCTAACAATTGAACAGTTCACAAGGGCTTCTAGATTCCCTTCTCGAGCTTTCTCTACAACCCGACCTGTCGGTACGCTCTTCTTTCCGATCCCTCCGCGCGACTTCGAGATGCTAACGTGGATTGTTCGCAGCCCGAGTTATCACTGGCAACGGTCCTCTGCGAGCTAAGGAGGCTTCTCCCTTTGTGAGCAACAAATACGCCGTCATCGTACGTCTACCCGACTATTCGCGAATTACAGATCTTGTCAATTGACACTTTTCAGGACCACGAGTACGATGCTCTCGTCGTTGGCGCTGGTGGTGCCGGTCTGCGAGCCGCCTTCGGTCTCGCTGAGGCTGGCTTCAACACCGCCTGTATCTCCAAGCTTTTCCCGACTCGATCTCACACCGTCGCTGCCCAGGGTGGTATCAACGCTGCTCTCGGTAACATGCACGAGGACGACTGGCGATGGCACATGTACGATACCGTCAAGGGTTCCGACTGGCTGGGTGACCAGGACGCTATTCACTACATGACCCGAGAGGCTCCCGCTTCCATTATCGAGCTCGAGAACTACGGCTGCCCCTTCTCGCGAACCGAGGATGGCAAGATGTGAGTCTGGACTTTGAAATCCGCTTCAACTGCGGTTATTGACCTTGACTAGTTACCAGCGAGCTTTCGGTGGTCAATCCAAGGAGTTCGGCAAGGGTGGCCAGGCCTACCGATGCTGCGCTGCCGCTGACCGAACCGGACACGCCCTTCTTCACACTCTCTACGGACAGTCTCTCCGCCACAAGACCAACTACTTCATCGAGTACTTCGCCCTCGACCTGATCATGCAGGATGGCGAGTGCCGCGGTGTCCTCGCCTACAACCAGGAGGACGGCACCCTGCACCGATTCCTTGCTAACCACACCGTCCTCGCTACTGGTGGTTACGGCCGAGCCTACTTCTCCTGCACATCTGCCCACACCTGTACCGGTGACGGTATGGCCATGGTTGCCCGTGCCGGCCTCCCCAACCAGGATCTCGAGTTCGTCCAGTTCCACCCTACCGGTATTTACGGAGCTGGTTGCCTGATTACTGAGGGTTCTCGTGGTGAGGGTGGTTACCTCCTCAACTCCGAGGGTGAGCGATTCATGGAGCGTTATGCCCCTACCGCTAAGGATCTTGCTTCTCGTGACGTCGTTTCTCGATCCATGACCATGGAGATCCGCGAGGGCCGTGGTGTCGGTGCTGAGAAGGATCACATCTACCTACAGCTCAGCCATCTGCCCGCTGAGATTCTTGCCGAGCGTCTGCCCGGTATCTCTGAGACCGCTGGTATCTTCGCTGGTGTTGATGTTCGCAAGCAGCCCATTCCCGTTCTCCCCACCGTCCACTACAACATGGGTGGTATTCCTACACGATACACTGGTGAGGTTCTTACAGTCGACGATAAGGGTGAGGACAAGGTTGTTCCTGGTTTGTACGCTTGTGGTGAGGCCGCTTGTGTGTCTGTCCACGGTGCTAATCGTCTGGGTGCCAACTCTCTGCTGGATCTTGTCGTCTTTGGCCGTGCCGTTTCGCACACCATCCGTGACAAGTTCAACCCCGGTGACGCTCTGAAGCCCACTGCCGCTGATGCTGCTTCCGATCACATCGAGGTCCTCGACAAGGTCCGAACCGCCGACGGCCCTAAGAGCACCGCCGAGATCCGACTTGCCATGCAGAAGGCCATGCAGACTGATGTCAGCGTGTTCCGAACCCAGGAGAGCTTGGACGAGGGTGTCGCCAAGATGAAGAAGATCGATGCCATGTACAGCGAGGTTGGCATGAAGGACCGCAGCATGATCTGGAACTCTGATCTCGTCGAGACTCTTGAGCTCCGAAACCTGCTCACTTGCGCGTAAGTTTCGATCCCACCTTGAAATATGGAGACAACACTGACACTATTGATAGTATCCAAACCGCTACCTCTGCCGCCAACCGACAGGAGTCTCGTGGTGCTCACGCCCGCGAGGATTTCCCCGACCGAGACGACGAGAAGTGGATGAAGCATACTCTGTCCTTCCAGAAGGAGCCCCACGGCGAGGTCGAGCTGTCTTACCGAAAGGTCATCGGCACCACCCTGGACGAGGCCGAGTGCAAGGCCGTGCCGCCCTTCAAGCGTGTGTACTAAGCGTTCGCGGACACGAGGACTTGGGAAGGAGTTTTTGTTAGCTTGTTGGGAAACTTGGCATGCATGGATGGTTCTACGCAGGGCAGCGTCTCCTTTGTAGCAAGATGAGACGAGATGAGATGTGCGATATATATCCTTTGGGAAGAAGAGATGGTGGCATATGTGCAGAAGCGAGAGGATGGGTCTCCGTGGGGGTCCTTACAAGAAAGGCTCCCAGGGGACGTGTATTTGTCGACTTTTTATAGTTCAAAAGAAGTTAAGAGACTTAAAAGAAGATTTTCTACGTGCTTTGGTTTTTAGGTACTCGTTCTTTACAGATGTGGTCGCATTGCTGAGTTGAACTTTTCATATCAAACACAGTTGTACAGAACGGTATCTCATCTCTACAGTGGGTAAGCGAAGTGTTCATGAATGCCTGTGCTTATCCTGTTACACTCTTGTTCTGCCATAGAGATACATTTCTTGTTCATGAACTGCTGCCTTGAAACAAAGAACCACGATGCATGGCCCGCATGTAAGATGTAGTGTTCAGGGCCCTGAGTGTCCAAGTGAATTAGATTCAAGACTTCCCTGCTCTTCTCTGCTTATAAGAAGAGCGCTTACGGCCAATTAATTCAATTCCCCATCAAAAAGATTCCCTCCGTCTTGACTACCGACTATCAACATCACCAGCTATACACCGCTCAGCATGTGCTTGAAAATCATCCGTGTAGCAACCTGCTGGCAATGCAAAACAACACTCGAATCGTTTGGGAAAATGCGGTACTGCGGTGATTCGGTAGACAATGGGAAATTCTGTGAAGGAATAGTGGCGCAGATCATGGGACCAGGCGACTTACTCTGTCGTTTGTGCTTGATCGCGAACAAGGGGGTTAACAAGTTGAATTTGAAGCAGGAGATGCACGAGGGTTAGATGTGGTATGTGGAAGAGAGGCTGGACGTTGGGTTTATTTAGCTGGGCCTGGAACTATTGGTGGGAAAGAATAATAAACTTTTGTTTGGTGTATGTCTACCATTGTTGCTGTGATGATATATTGAAAAGTGGAAGTGAAAGTGAAACGATTATCTACTTGCAGACTGTTCTTCGTCAAATAGTAACCTCTCCTCCTCATCTCCCGAGACATCGTTCTCACTCCTGCTATACCCCCCTGAGACGTTGACGTTACCTCCTGTGTTCTTCTTTCATAGTATGCAAAAACTACCAACATCAGATGAACAAAGCTACAATCATCGTCAGTTAGTACAAAGCAACTAACGACCGAGCTAGAGGACTTACACTTTTGCAATACCAAAACATCCCAAGGCTCTTCTTCCAAGGTGCGACTCGTCTTTACTCGGGGCCGAACCCGAGACGTTATGATCGGTAGGACCGAAATAACCGCCCAAGAGTGATGAGATAGTAAAGGCAATGGATAATGCCAGATCAAAGTACATGCGTGTGGAGGGACTGAAGTTACGATGTCGCTTGGTCCAAAGATATACAGAGTCCATGAAGCTCCATATCAGAGCAACAGTAGTCTAAGAAATATCTCTGTTAAAGAATGGAAGGCTTGGTGAGAATCATAGACTTACAACAGGTCCAAAGATTGCAACAGGGGCCGTGTCATCGGTAGACCCAGCGGCGAGGATACATATGATTATAAGAAGGAGAGTATCGATAGAAATGGAGAGAACACGGACATTTATCTTGAGAGTCCATAGAGGGTCGTTGATGGATGAATCAGTTTTATCTTGAACTGTCATCGGCTGTGGCTGATTTAGAGGTTCATCTTGGTGAGTAGGCGTCGAGTCTTTCGTGGACTCGACTTCATCTGTATACTGTGGTCCAGCCATTATACGTGCGGATAGCTAACCCCTAGCCAGAGTACAACCACAGAACAAAAATAGAGGAGAATGTCGCAGTATAAAAAATAAATGAATTTATACGTAAGAAAAGAACGGAGGAATAAAAAGGTTGCCAAGTGCTGACCGCTAACAATCCTCAAAACAAATCCTCCATCCTTCCTACGGATGGATATGACTTTATGAGAGCCAAGATCCCTGCTTTTGAGCTCCCGTGCTACACCGAATGAGGGGCCAATGGAGGCTCAGCTTCCGAGAGCTTCGTTTACGAAATAAGATTTATTAATTATAATTATTTGTTACTCAAGGTATTCTGTACACATATACGGATAACTTTAAAATTTGCTAGTAACGTTAGAGAGACCTTTTTATAGTAAGGGTTGGGGTGATATAAAATGGTTGATCCACCTATCAATTCTCCAATTTGTCTCCATCTACGTTAGATAATTCATCGTCTATCTACTTTTCCTCCTTATTCTGCTGCTCATTACATATTTCTTCATCTTCAACCTGTGTCGTAACAGCCTTCTCCCGTCGAACATGCCAGCCCCCTTTCCAGCCAACCCATCCCTTTTCTCTGGGTCCCCTCGCAAGAGAGATCAAGATTGACAACCCCACAAACGCGACTACATCAGAGTCATAGATTAGCATTCATGACTTATAAGTAATTCCTCCAAAGAATGAGATGGCTCAACTTACTGCTGCATCCGCCGCTTCTCTTCCAGCCTCCGCTGGCGTATAGCCTGTTTCCCACAGCTGTACCGGTCAACTGTCCAGCGAAAGCCAATGCCATGTATGCTGTGTTGACTCGATTGCGGGCTTTGGGGTTGATGCTGAAGATGGCTGAGCGGTTCGATACTTGGGCTGTCTGCATGCCTACATCCATACCTATCGCCTGGATCACAGGCCCAGCCACGGTGAAGTTTCCTGTGAATGTTCCTACAATTGCCCCGATTAATGCTATGATCTGTCCGCCTAACGTCGACAACAGAGGCACGTAACGATCGATCAACCTCCCTATCAAAGGAATGGCTAGGATAGTCGCCAGTGCAGTCAAGGAGAAAAGACCAATCTGTAGAGATGTATAATCAAACGGTGGAGAAGCAAGGAGGAAGGTCAATGTCGTCCAGAACGACGTAAACACGGCCGACAGAGTAAACGAAATAAGACACGCCTGTATGAGCACCGGCTCCGTAACCATCATACGAGGAATCGACGCGAGAGCATGCAAGTAGTTAAGCCCGTCCGGGTTCGTGGACGGATAGTCGGGCATGAAGCAGAAGAGCACAACGCCCATAAGATACTGCAGACCGCACGCCAGCCAGTAGATGTTGCGCCAGCTGGTGAAGTTTGCTACGACGCCCGAGAGCAGCCTGGCCATCAACAGGCCGAGCATCAGCCCTGACGTAACGATGGCCAGGAGGGACGCTTTTCGGTGAGCGGGTGCAAAGTCGCCCACGAGGGGAACCATGAGCTGCGGTGTCACGGTGGTAGCACCGCATACGAAAGACAAAGCCCGGAAGACGGTAAAGTCGTTTGTCACGCAGAGCCCTATCCACTGCATGTTGTGTCAGCTACTAAGACGACAGTGATGTACAGTAGAACAAAGCCTTACCATTGTTGCCGTGGCGAGAACAAGAGCAATGATAAATGGCCGTCTTTCGAGGATATCGCCAAGGGGCAGAATGAAGATGAGACCAGCTGCGTATCCCGACTGCAATAGTGTTGCAACCTGTGAGGATTCCTCGTAAGAGACGTTGAACGTGGCAGCTATCTTGTTGAGAATTGGCTGGTTGTAATAGAGGTTTGCAACAGTTGTACCCGAAGCCTACAATCGTCAGAAAGCATTCTTCTCAGCAAGAGCAGTTATCAAAATACCAAGGCGTAGAGAAAGCAATGTCTCATGGACAAAGCCGGTGGCGACTCATCGTTCCATCGACAATTCTTCGGTGTTAGTATCCTACGAAGCCAGCTTGATTTATACTTCGAAGACTGCAACACTACATTATTGGAGCTTGTCTCTTCGGTCGATTCAGTTTCACTCTCGACTTTTGTGTCTTCAGCGGAATCTTGGCTCGGAAATGTCTCCTTGATGCTATCATCAGGCACATTTGGCTCTCCGGCGAGGTTCGAGGACGTCATTGTGCTTAAGAGCCAATGCTGACGAGATTTGGAAATAAATGGCAGTGAAATGATGAGCGGAACATTGAATAACTTGATCAATATGAGAAATTTAACAACATCGTGATAAATGTAGATTCTCAGTATCCTTAATAGTTCCGAGGTGGATTTACATTACAGTCTAGCCTGCATCTCCCCCAATGGAGTTCCCGGAAATATCATTCCGGGGGTTAAGCACGTAATCGGGGATCAGACTATGATTGTGATATGCTGCTTTACTTGTCTGTCTATGATAAGTTAATGCTGTGTAGCTCGAGCTGCTGGTCGGACATAAATGATTGTAATATCCGATAGCTTCGGCTGCCGACTCAATGCTTACTTCTTCTGTAAGAAGATTGTTAGGTCGTTGGAGTTTAAGGAGTAATTTACGGAGTAACTTATAGCTAATTGCTTAGACTTTGATAATTGGGGTCCAGGGTCTCTCGTCTATCTAGTCTAGACTGGCGAACTGGATACCCTGGTCAAAAACTACCTAGACTTCCTTCATTTTAGTTAGGTCTCATGATTTTGACATAATCTCAACAAGGTCAGACAAGCAAATCTGTCACATGAGTCGCGACTCATGATATCTCCAACCTCAACCTCAAATATTGTTTATCCCTTGCATGTTATTACTTCCAGGCCAATTCGATAATGACTAAACGGCTCATATCCCGGAATTTAGTCTTTTTCATCAATGGCGTCTACCATGACATGACTGGCATATAAAGATTTTAACCATCTCTTTTGTTTGACGAAATACGGCATCCCTTTCTCATATCACCACCAACTCCTCATCCAGTCACATTCAACTTTTTAACAGAAAAAAGGTAGCACTCTCGCTTGCTTTACCTCTTCTTGCCCTTGCGCTTGTTGGCCTTGCCCTGCGAAGCACCAGAAGCCTTAGCCTTGCTGAGTGAATCGGTGCTCTTGTCCAGAAGCTCAAAGTCCTCGCCCGCCGAGTCTGTGCTGGGAGTGGGCTGAGGAACATCCGAGTCGTCCTCATCGCCGGAGACGTCGTACTCGAGCTCGGAGTTCTTCTTGGGGAGGAAGCGTCCGGCGGTGATGTTGAAGAGGAAGATTGGCGCGCGGAACACAGCAGTGTCCTTGATGGTGGGCTTGGCAAGCTCGTTAGGCTGTCGCATGTTAGTTTAGTGATTTCTCGCAGGAACTGGGTCAGCTTACGTCAAGGAGGAACTCGTGGACTTCTCCCCCGTCATCCTCTCCCTCAAGGTACACGTCGCCGAGGGAGTCGACAACGAGGATCTTGCCATTCTCAGCAACAACTCGCTTTCGAGCACCGGTAGGACCACCAGCAGGAGTAGGGGTAGCAGTTCCGGACGGAGCCTGAGGCTGGGCACGGCGCGTCTTCTTAACGGGCTTAGCACCATCTCGCTTGGAAAACTTCTCCTGCATACGGCGCTCTCGTCGGTTCTGGGGCACGGGGGGAGCTTCCTCCTCGTCGCTGGCGGGCGCGGGAGCGGGTTCGGCGACCGGAGCAGGAGCATCGACGCCGGGGATGTTGAGACCATTGCCCCAGGCTGTCTCCCTGGCAAACTTGATGTAGCGCTCAACAAACTCGGTCTGGCGCTTCCAGCTCATGTAGAGGGTGAGGTAGTGGAAGCCACCGCCGACAACGATAAACAGGCCGACAATGACCGTGCCCAGGCCGGGACGGTATCGGTTGTAGTAGTAATCGGTGCCCTTCCAGAGAGGGAAGCCATTGGAGAGGAAATGGTCGTATCGGTCGCGCTCGGGGCCACGAAGGATGTTGGCGATGAGGGAGAGACGGGCCTGGGCCTCGCCGGCCTTCTTGACAGCGGTCTTGATCTCGGCATTGGTAGGAGGCTTTGTGTTTGCGCCGTTCTTCTTGTCCTTCTCGGCCTGCGATCGCATTCCCTGCCTGACCTTGTCGGGGTGCAGGTTGCGGGTCTGCTTGCGGTACGCCTTTGTGATATCGTCCAGCGAAGCAGAGGAGGGCACGCCGAGGATGTCGTAGAAGTTGGCGGCCTGGTTGGTCTCGTACTTTGCGATTTCATCTCGAATGCGGAAGATTTCGCGATCTAAAAGATGGAGAAGAAAAGGTCAAGACATGGTTACTCAGATTGGGAGTAAAGCAGAGCCGTAAAAGTAAAACATACCTTCTTTGCTCCAGGCCGCGGCCAAGGGGCTGAAGAGGGCGAGCAGCCCGACAGACAAGTACTCGATCTTCATCTTCGACTCGTGGAACGGGTTGAAGAAGGAAGAGCAAGTAATGAGGATAATAGATGAAGAAAAGAAGGGGAGGAAAAGAGAGAGAGAGAGAGGAGAGGAAGAGGAAGAGAGGCCAGGGGGTTTCTAACGGTTCCTGGGGCTAGAGCTTTAGATCTCCAGCTCCATCCCTACCTCTACGGTACTTTTTTTTAGTGGAGGAGGGGACCTATTGCAGAAGGCCAGCTGTCCAATACTTTTCACGTTACTACTGCAGGTCACTCGATGGTTTTCTCTACCCCAATACAACGCAAAGTAAAGCGCCTCAAAATGGATTGTCCAAGCGGATCAATTATTCAATCTCAGTTTGCCAATTGAGTAGAGCAATTGATTGATTGTTATTGTTTGTGGTATTGGGGAATCACAGGAAAGACCCTTTGCGTTGCACTATTCAGGAACATCAGACAGGGGTTCAAGGGTTAACGTTATTTGTTAGTTGGACAAGTACCTATGAAAGGGTCAACTCTTCCAGATTCAACAAATTGCTGTTAAGATTCACCCAATGCTCCCAATCCTTATCAATTACCTTCTCCGTTATGCAAATCAACTTTAAACCTCACCTTCTCCTGCAAATGACGCTTGAAAAACTCCCGTTGACGAGCAAGACCGTATTCACCTCCACCACAGCAATGTTCACCCCCAGGAATAAACAGAAACTCATAGTTCTTTCTCTCCTTATTCAAAGCATTCACCAACTGAAACGTCGAGGAAGGGTCAACGTTATCATCAAGGTCTCCAACGATCAGCATCAGCGGTCCCTTAAGCTTCGCAGCATGTGTTATGTTGGACGCCTTCTCGTACGCTTCATCCACTGGATAGCCCATCCACAACTCGTTCCACCATAGCTTATCCATGCGATTGTCGTGGCAGCCTGAGTCTGCTACGGCAGCTTTGAAGAACTCGCTGTGGTGAAGCATGCCAGCCACGGCGTTCTGGCCGCCTGCTGATCCCCCCATGATTCCTACGCGGGAGAGGTCCAGCCAGGGTCGAGTAGATGCTGCGGTCTTCAGCCAAGCAATGTGGTCTGGGAGACCCGAGTCGTGCAGGTTCTTGTAGCAGACATCGTGGAAGTGTTTGCCACGCCAGTTTGTGCCCATTCCATCGACCTGGACTACAACGTAGCCTTCGTCTGCCCACTGCCGCTGACGTAAAAGAGCTGAGAAGGCTTTGGAGACAGAGAAGTTGTGCGGCCCAGCGTAAATACTGTCAAGAACGGGATACTCTTTGGTGTTGTCAAAATTGGCTGGCCGAATGATGATTCCGTATATTAGCGTCTCACCGTCACGACCAGGAGCGACGAATCTCTCCGGAGAAGACCACCCCTTATCTTCCAGCTCTTTCAGGTCCCCTTTCTCTAGTTCCATTATCTCTTCCCCAGACTCGCCATCACGAAGAACCGTTGTAGGAGGCGAGTCAACCCTCGACCAGGTGTCTTTCAAGTATCGCTTGTCTGAGGAAAAGGCCCAGGAATGAGTCCCATCTCCATCTGTAAGAATCTTGAAGTCCGAGCCATCAAAATTGACGCGGACAAGGTGTGCTTGATACGGATCTTCGCAATCCTTCAGTCCGTAACCTTGAAGCCAAATTTGGCGACGCTCTTCATCGACAGATTCTATAAAGTTAACCATCCACGATCCCTTTGTAATCTGGGTCTTTACCGTGCCAGTGACCAGGTCGATGAGATAAAGGTGGTTGTATTCGTCTCTCTCACTTAACCAGAGAAGCTCGTTCGTTTCTTTGAGGACTTTGTAGTACACCTTTGTATAGTCGACAAAAGTGGTGCTCTTCTCTTCAACGAGTGCTCTTACATGTCCGCTGGTGCTCATGCCGATCACTCTGACATGCTGATGGCCACGCTCGTTGAAGTACAAGAGATACTCCTGACTGTCCTTATTCCAACCTAGACTATTCAATCGGTAGGGATTCTCGAAAAGGGCGTTGTCCGTCATGATTTCGCTGTGGCTCTTAAGATCAAAGAGACGAGGCCTATCGATTCTAACACGATCACCTGGCTTGTGGTATGCCTTGGTATGTAGCTTCGGCTCAAGTTGGTCCTTGGGAGATGATTCGATAAGGTTGATGTTGTGGTCTTGCTCTGGACTGTACTGCCATGCAACCGCGTATTGGTTGTCTGGTGATTTGTACAGGTGGTTCTTATGAAAAGGATTCTCTTTGGTTCCATTCTCAGATACTTGAGCCACTTGGCCATCTTCATCCTTGTACCATAGGTTGAAGTCTTTGACGTAAAGAGTACCAGCTTCTGGCTCAGTAGACTTCTTAGTATCATCGAAATCTTCATCATCGCTCGGTGGAGATGCTTCAAGGATCGAATCACTGAGATACTCGATGATGGCGACATGGCTCCCCTCATCAGGTGCGGCATAAACTGCCCTGAACTTCTCATCCGAAGCATCTACCAGTCGCCAAACATGGCCCACGTACGTAAGTTGTCGCTTCGTCTCGCCATTGTGGATATTCCTGTAGAATACCGGCTTTGCGTTCCAGTCAATCCAAAACACTCTCAGTGTTTTTCCTGTGCGGTTCACGAAATCAACTGTGACTTGCGAGTGGTTATGCGAAGAAGGCACTTCTTTTTCCAACATATGGTCTGGCTCGGTCGAGAATATGCCATCCCACTCTTGTAGTTTGTTCTCGGGTCCGAATTGCCATTTGCGTTTGTCGAAGCGGAAGCGAATGCATGATTCCTCTGGTACTGGCTCAATCCAAGAAAGAGGTAGACAAAGTGCATCAACTTTCTCGTTTGTTTTGTCTTGTAGAGCCTCAGCAAGGTTTTTATGATCAAACGCCAACTCGCGAGTTTTTTGGAGAGCGTCGACATAGAAGAACTGGTGTTTATCTGCCTCGGGGCTTTGCTTATACCAGAATGAATTACCATTAGGTAGCCAGTGAGGCGAGATATTTGTAGATTCGATGCATCTCTCTGCTATTTTGTCCATCGTGTGGGAGTTGGCTTTGAGGAGACAAATACAATGAGACAGTGAATTCCATCATATATAAGCCGTACTGTTGCCTAACGAAATAGTGCTGGTGATCTTTCAGCTGAGGCACAAATGCATCCTGCATGCATAAGTCCAATACTCCTCGCTACTAGACTCGAAATTTATAGCTAATTTGAGAAATATCATCAGGTCATATTTATCCAAGGCAGTCTTTCCCTTGTTCCCAGGTCAAGATATGTAATAGATACTTGTGTTGTTCTTCTGGCGGAGGGCTAAGCCACCAAAATAGGTGTAAGTTGGGGTTGTTGTCATAGGCCCCCGGTTACACTTCTACCATCCTTTCTGTTTGAGGGCTGAATGAACCGCAGTGCAAAGCCCATTTCGAGGTGCGCCTTTGAAGTATGACATAAAAAAAGAGTGAATAATATTCTCTAGAAAAGGCAAAAAAATTAGACCTAGCAGCTACTGGTTTCGATCCAGTGACCTCCGGGTTATGAGCCCGGCTGAGGCAAGTTAGTACAAGTTTATTGTTGTACAGTTGATTGAGTAACTTACCGCGCTTCCACTGCGCCAAGCTGCTTTCTGTGGTGGCAAACTGGCTCTGGGTTACAGTATATAAAGGCTATCCCAGTTCTAACCTTTGGTTCTTGCTCTCGCGTTACGCTCCGTCATCAACTCTAGGCACGCATTCTGGCTTATCACTTCATTCATTCGAGAATAAGCGTAGAACTACTGCTTGATAAAAATATGGTATTTCTTTATCTTTTCGTTTCTTTTTCAAAAAGTTGAAGTATGTGTTAAATCTCTTTCAATATTTAACCATTGGTCAGTGTTCAACGGTCAAAAGGTTGTGAAGCGACTTGTAAAGTTTAAGATCAATATTGACTCAAGACCATTGGTGGAAAGGGAAACCTCTTACACACAGGCCAAATTAATGATGGACCACCTTCCTAAATGTATTATTACTAGTACGTTTTTATAGCTATTCAAAAGACTCTCGTTTACGGCAACTTCGTTGCGTTTGGTGAAGCTCTACAGGGTAACACATATGTTGGCTTTACACGTTCTTAACAACGGGTAAGCACGGAGATAAGGCGAATCCGTCAATGCATATGCTCCTTAAGGGTTGCAAGAGGGCCTCACTGAGATACGACTTCGAGGAGTGAACGAAAGGTGCTGATTCCCAAGTAAACTGGCATTGTTAATATTCTCGGACGAACTACGGAGGAACACGAGTGATTGTGGCTGGGTCCAGGCTGGAGAATTCGTAATCGACGAAGCTGCCTGCGTTGAAAGTCAAACCCCTATAGTTCCTGGGTGGGAAGGCAGAGAAGGTTTTTAATCATCAACTACCGACATTATTAACTGATAACGTTGGAATCGTTGCTTATGTGCGTCAATAGCGTTGGTCATTGTTCCACTATCCACAGGGGTCTTGGCACAGGGACCTGTCAAGGGTTGCTTACCAATATTAAACTTGCTCTCAGCAACGAAAGCAAATTACAATGACTCCTACGGCGTAAATTTCCACTCTTCTCTATAATTATCAGAAGCAACCAGATACTTACGAAGGCCTTGGTCCAGATAACCCGGTGTTTAGGCGTAAGATACTGAATTTCAGGGACTAAAGTCCGATGGCTTACGCTATATTTCCGACCGATACGGATAGACGGTAGGGATCTGCATGCAACCCTAGGTACCCTGGTGTTACACTTGGGCCTGAATCTGACAAAGTAAAATATATGGGGCCTTATCTTAGATCCCGAGTCATTAGCTCCACAACCTCCATAACGTTACAGTGTCGTAAACATAAGGTGTATTAAAAATTCGGAAACAACAGCTAAACTCCATTACCCACACGCTAACAGGTAAGCTCTGGAGAAGGTGACACAAAAGAATGGCTAGGAAGAGCTGGCTTTATTGCCTATTTTGGACAAGATGTGAGCAAGTTATTTTGGACCATATCCCTCCATCTCAATCCCTTCCATCTCCCCTAGCGTACGGCAGGCGGCTTTACGTCACTATGGATTAAAAAATGTGCATATACCTATGCCAGAGAAGATATATAAATACACCAATCCTCAATTGTTGGGGAATTGCCGTTACTCCGTGCTGCGTTCCTGCCTGTCCTGCGAGTCTAAAGCTTATCTTCACCGGTCCTTCCTCTTTTCACCTCCCCTTTTATCCTTCAGCCCATAGGACAACTAGCGATTATCATAATCCATATCAAAGGCATTGATTGCCTTTTTGCATACAGCACGAGCACGTCATATATTTTTTATCCTGATACATACAAGCACTCTGTTCTTGACATTCTGCCGTCGTCGTCGCCGTCAACATGTTGGGTAACACCGTAGACGGTGATGCGCTTCGTCGCACCCAATCATCAATGCGGCAACAACAGCAAATTCCTATCTCTCAGCAAACAGTAGAGGGCGGACAGCATGAACCCAAAAGCAGCAGCTCCTCAGATACAGATGTCATCCAAGAAGGAAAATGGGGCGAACGTGGACAGGAAGATGTCACCGCACAGGACGCCATGCAAGAATTCGAGTCTTTAAGACACAACTTAATGAGCCTCCACAAAACAAGAACAACAGAAACACACGCCAGCAGAGCCCACGCAAGCAGAAGGGCGTCCTCAGCAAAACACCATAACGATGCCGACGATGATGGGTCGAAAACCGATGTTGAAGCTGGCACCGAGGAGAGTGATGGGTTTGAGCTAGGGCGATTTATGCGAGAAGGCCATTTCGAAAAGCGCTCTGAGCGGGAGGGTTCCTTAAAGCGAGTTGGAGTTGTGTACGAGAACCTGACTGTCAAAGGCGTTGGAAGCACGACCTCTTTTGTTCGAACAGTTCCAGATGCCATTCTTGGTACCTTTGGTCCCGATCTCTATCATGTGCTCACTCGGTATTTTCCATCTCTCCGAATTGGAAAGCCCCCGACTCGAACCCTCATCAATGATTTTACCGGCTGCGTTCGAGATGGAGAGATGATGCTAGTCCTAGGACGACCAGGTTCTGGCTGCAGTACCTTTCTTAAGGCCATCAGCAACAACCGCGAGACATATGCTGCTGTTGAGGGCGATGTTTCTTACAGTGGTATCCCTGCTGCTGAGCAAAAGAAGCACTACCGAGGCGAGGTTAATTATAACGGAGAAGACGATATTCACTTCGCTACTCTGAGCGTGTGGAAGACCCTCGCTTTTGCCCTCACAAACAAGACCAAGATCAAGGAGAAGGAGGACATCCCTATTGTTGTGGATGCTCTTATGAAGATGTTCGGTATTAGCCACACCAGAGATACCGTCGTCGGTGATGATTTCACTCGAGGTGTTTCTGGTGGTGAACGAAAGCGAGTTTCGATCGCGGAGACACTGGCCTCCAAGTCTACTGTTATGGCGTGGGATAACTCCACTCGAGGTCTAGATGCATCGACTGCCCTCGACTATGCGCGATCACTCCGTATTATGACAGATATCAGTAACCGAACAACACTGGTTACCTTGTACCAGGCTGGTGAAGGTATCTATGAGTTGATGGACAAGGTTCTGGTCATCGACCAGGGCCGCCAGATCTTCTCTGGACCTGCCAACAAGGCCAAGCAATATTTTATCGACCTTGGATTCGAGTGTCCCGAACGACAGACGACAGCCGACTTTTTGACCGCTGTTACCGACCCGACTGAACGACGTTTCCGACCTGGATTTGAGCACCGTGCTCCCCGAACGGCCGAAGAGCTCGAGTCAGCGTTCCGAAACTCACCCAACTACCAGGAGCTACTGGCTGATGTTGCTGCTTACAAGGAGTCCCTCCAACAGTCAAACTACCAGGATGCTAAGAGATTCCAGGGTGCTGTCCAGGAGGCCAAGTCCAAGCACGTTTCCGACAAGTCTTCTTATACCATTTCGTTCCCTCGACAAGTCCTTGCGTGCACCAAGCGAGAAGCATGGCTCTTATTCGGCGATACCACAACCCTGTGGACCAAGCTCTTCATCATTGTGTCAAACGGTCTTATTGTGGGATCTCTCTTTTATGGACAATCTGAAGACACTGCGAGCGCTTTTAGCCGTGGCGGTACAATCTTCTTTTCTGTTCTCTTCCTGGGTTGGCTTCAGCTTTCTGAGCTTATGAAGGCTGTCTCTGGACGTGCCGTTGTTGCTCGTCACCATGACTATGCTTTTTACCGCCCCTCTGCCGTCTCTCTTGCCCGAGTTCTACTTGACTTTCCTGTCATTGGCATTCAAGTCCTCATCTTTGGTATCCTCATGTACTTCATGACCGGGCTTGACGTGGACGTGTCCAAGTTTTGGATCTACATGCTATTTGTGTATACCAACACCATTATGGTCACTGCCTTATACCGCATGTTCGCCAGCTTGTCGCCCGAAATTGATACCGCTGTGAGATTCTCTGGAATTTCATTGAATTTACTCGTCATCTACACCGGATACGTTATCCCGAAGACCCAGTTGCTGAAGGACTATATTTGGTTTGGTTGGCTGTACTGGGTTAACCCTATCAGTTATAGCTTTGAGGCTGTCTTGACCAACGAAATGTCAGACAGGATCCTGGAATGCGCTCCCTCTCAACTCGTTCCCCAGGGACCTGGAGTTCAGTCAGGGTACCAAGGTTGTGCGATTAGCGGAGCTGAAGTCAACGCGCAGTCAGTCTCTGGTAGCGATTATCTAAAAGCGACCTATAACTACAGCCGGTCGAACCTGTGGCGAAACTTCGGTGTTGTTGTTGCTTTTGCCGTTCTTTATATCCTCGTCACAGTATTGGCAACAGAGTTGGTCAGCTTTGCGGAAGGCGGAGGCGGTGCTGTGATCTTCAAGAAGAGCCGCAAGGCCAAGGAGCAAGCGCGGGAAGCTGAGGCACCTGTTGATGATGAGAAGGCCTTTGGCAACGGCGCCAATGCCTCATCCGGCGTCGTGGCTGACCCAAACCCAGGCAGCGATGACGAAGCCTTGGAGCAAATTACCGACAGCCAGTCAATCTTCACATGGCGCGACATCGAGTACACCGTGCCTTACCTTGGCGGCGAGAAGAAGCTCCTGAACAAGGTCAGCGGATATGCTAAGCCGGGTATCATGGTTGCTCTGATGGGAGCATCGGGCGCTGGAAAGACGACACTCCTGAACATTCTTTCGCAACGTACAAATGTTGGTGTTGTGACGGGTGAGATGTTTGTGGATGGACGACCTTTAAGTGCAGACTTCCAGAGGAATACTGGATTCTGCCTTCAAGGTGATCTTCATGATACAACCCAGACCGTACGAGAGGCCATTGAGTTTTCTGCTATCTTGCGACAGGATGCCTCTGTTCCTCGTGCCGAGAAGATTGCATATGTGGACAAGATCATTGACCTTCTTGAGCTCAATGACCTGCAGGACGCCGTCATTGTGTGTCTTGGTGTAGAGCAACGTAAGAGACTGACCATTGGCGTCGAGCTGGCAGCCAAGCCATCTCTGCTTCTCTTCCTCGATGAGCCTACCTCTGGTCTTGACTCTCAGTCTGCTTACTCTATTGTTCGTTTCCTCCGAAAGCTGAGCCGAGCTGGTCAGGCCATTATCTGCACCATTCACCAGCCTAGCTCCGTTTTAATCCAGCAGTTTGATATGGTCCTCGCTCTGAACCCTGGAGGTAACACGTTCTACTTTGGTCCTATGGGAGAAAATGGACAAGATGTTGTCAAATACTTCTCTGACCGCGGTGCTGTCTGCCCTGCCAACAAGAATATTGCCGAGTTCATCCTCGAGACCGCTGCTCGACCCCACAGACGACCTGATGGTACCAAGATTGATTGGAACCAAGAATGGGTCGAAAGTGAGGAAGCCCAGCAAGTCCTCGAGGAAATTGACGGTCTCAAGCGGGTTCGAAGCTCCGCAACGGAGGGAGTAGCTTCTGAAGATAAAGAGCACTCAGAGTTCGCTGCTTCCACCTGGCTTCAGACGGTTGAGTTGACCAAACGTATGTTTAGACAACACTGGCGCGACCCCTCCTACATCTATGGCAAGTTCTTTATCGCGGTCATCTTTGGCATATTCAATGGCTTTACCTTTTGGAATCTTGGCTACACGATGCAGGACATGCAAAACCGCATGTTCACCTGCTTCTTGATTGTGACAATTCCTCCTACCGTCGTCAATGGCGTTGTGCCCAAGTTCTTCACCAATATGGCCCTTTGGCAAGCCCGAGAGTACCCATCTCGTATCTACGGATGGGCCGCTTTCTGCACTGCCAATATCGTGTCTGATATTCCTGCTGCCGTGGTATCAGCCGTACTATACTTTATGTTGTGGTACTGGCCCACTGGTCTACCTACCGAGAGCTCTGTTTCTGGCTACTGCTTCTTGATGACTCTTCTCATGTACCTTTTCATGACAAGCTGGGGCCAATGGATTTGTGCATTTGCTCCCAGCTTTACCGTCATTTCTAATGTAAGTCTCATCGTGATCTACTCCTACCCATGCATGCAGAATGCTCACAAATATCAATTAGGTCCTGCCATTCTTCTTCGTCATGTTCGGCTTGTTCAACGGAGTGGTTCGCCCTTACGCCTCGCTCCCAGTCTTTTGGAGGTATTGGATGTATTATGCAAACCCCTCTACATACTGGATCGGAGGCATGCTTGCAGCAACTCTCGATGGTGCTCCGGTGGAGTGTTCGTCTGAGGAGACGGCCAAGTTTGATGCACCCCCAGGTCAAACATGTCAAGAGTATGCAGGAGCATTCGCGAAAACCGCCGGAGGTTATTTCCTGAACCCCGATGCTACAAGTGCTTGCGAGTTCTGTCCTATTTCTTCTGGTAACGATTACCTTGCGTCGCTCAACATCAAAGCGAGCGACAAGTGGAGAGGTAAGCTTGATACAACCGACCCCCTTTTTATTACAACACACTAACATCTACCATAGATTTTGGCATCTTCCTTGCTTTCTGTGTATCAAACTGGATGCTCGTATACTTCTTTATCTACACAGTCCGTGTTCGGGGCTGGAGCTTTGGCTTAGGCAAAGTGTTTGGCGGATTGGGCAAGTTGGTTGATCTGATTAAGAAGCCATTCCAGCGAAAGAAGGAATAAGTAACCGAGTACCTAAAGTTTTAACGATGTTGTAGTTTAGATCGGATAAAGAAAAACAAGCGATGTATTTAAATGGAGCAGATAGACAGACAATCTTTGTATGCTAATTCAATTTTGTCTATTACCACATTGTGACTTGGTTACTCGTTGTTTTTCCACAGTGTTAGAACATGGACATGCATGCACATGCAACAAACCCATTGAAGCTGGGCAATGAAAAATAAGAATAAACTTTATACCGTATTCATCACCATCTTTCTCCACTCATGTCTCTTTTTGCCCGTTTCCCCATCCATCATGGGCGAGGTAGGCAAACAAACACCTGTCTCCAAGCCGGGACATTCATTCAATGTATTCATCCATACGTTTGCTCTCTTCCATAGCCATGCGATCGCTATTTGAACGACAACGCCGATGCCTGTGGCCGCGAATGTACTGTGGTTTGGCACCTCAGCACCAAGCGGGCAGATATACTAGATATTCCGTCTCTGCGGCATGATTGACGATACTCATGCCCTCAATTGACTCTTACATGCGCTTGCTGTATCATATCCCCCATTCTTTTCTGGCACCTTTTATCGAAGGAATAGGTCCCCAACGCCGTTCCTCAATGTCCTTGATCTATCTACATGGTCAAGGCCAAGGAAGTCATCTTCCCCTTGTATGAAGGTTGATAGTACATCGTCTAGAATGTCGTTAGTTACCGTAAGCTATGTCTTGGGAAGACTACGAACCATCATTGAGATATTGCGGTTTCGAGTAGTTCGCTCGTCGCACAACAGCGATCTTGATTTTCTCGAAGCTCTTGCCCTTGATACCTGATCGCTTTTCCAATCGCTTCTTGGTGTCTGCAAAGGTCTCTCCCTGTCTATCTATTAGCGGTTTGCATGTGTCATGAAACAGCGGGACGACTTACCTCAACTACCAAAAACTTGAAAGGAACGCCATGAACACGGCTCACGTCGTTCTGGAAGTGGAAGGCATAGGTGAATTGACTCTCGTCGGCGTTGAGCTCCTCCTGAGGAACCCGTTCTGCGTAAATCGTGGCATACTCGTTCAGGTTAATAACTGGATGTTCACGAAGGGGCTCGCGATAGAATCTGTTGGAGCTTGTCTCGTAAATGCGAAGCCGTCCCCCTTCAGCCTCGCTTGGGATTTGAGCCTTCTTTATCAGCGCTTCCACCAAGTCCTCGATCGTTCCCGTCTTGGGGACGAGCAGATCATAGGTATCCTAATAAACAATCAGTCAGAGTCCACAGAAATTTCAAGTCAGCATACCTCTTTGGTGATTCCCTCACTCAGCAGAGTCACCTTAATACTCTTCTTGGTGTCGAGTTCCGTCAAACTCATCTCGAGAACCTCAAAGTAGAACGCATCATTCCTCTGGGTTGCATTGAGGGCAGTAGATCCCATAGGACTAAGGATCTGTCTAAGTGTAGGGTTCGCACCCCTCCTAACGGGCGTTTTGGGATTCTGCGTAGAGGCGTTTACTGTCCAGAACCGGATATGTGTGGGTTGTGCGTCCAAGTATGTTCCAACACGCTCTGACAGTGTATCGTACGTGATCTTGGAATTGAGTACCAGCTCGAAAGGAGGGTATTGCGTCTGGTCACATCGAGTAGGATGAGGATGGAACTTAACCGTCCGCCTGTGCTCAAGGAAGTCGTAGTATTCGCGTGCATCCTCAAAGTGGTCAGATATGTTGTTTCTAGGTTCATGTCAGTGATTGTTTAAATTAGATCGTTATGGTGACGTACGATTCTTGCGAGGCCTTGTCACCAGCGCGCTTCTCCATGCCAGCTTTGGTTCGTTGGAAGCAGATAATATCACCGTCCTGCAGCTCTGCAACTTTCAGCGACTGTTTGGGCTTGAGTGGTTCGATCATGGTGGGTTTAATCTCCTGTTGCAAGTTAGTTATCCAAAACCATATAATGGTATAGACTTTCTTACCTCCCAAAGTAACAGCTTCTCCTCTGCGGGCAACTTCTCACCCCAACCCATCTTCTTCAGGATCATAGGAAGCACATCCTCTACCTTCTTTTCCTTGGAGATGTAGACATGGCCGACGCCCCGCAGCGTTTGAGCGTCAATATCGAAGTGCTTCAAAAGGAGAAGAATGGTATCATTCTTTACGATCACGCCGTTGGGTTGGCTCTGGTAAGACGGCCAGATTGGTTCCCCGTCGGCATCAACTTCTTCAGCGACTTCAGCCCATACTCGTAGACTAGTATCTCGATGGGCAGCAGAACGAGAGTATGTCTCATCGACTGTAGGTGTTAGATCCATGATTGGCTGATCAGGACGGATCGTCTTGTTTTGCCGATTAACCATAAGCCAAAGTCGAACACGTCGGGGGTCCTCGCCCATGTCCGATGCAACCTGCGCAACAAATTCCTCCATGGTCATTGCGCGACGGACACGATAGAACTTGGGTGCAGCAGGATCGACCTCGGGATTTGCATCGAATTGGCACAAATCTGTCCCGCCAAATTGCTGGAATGAATAATCGGTTATCACCTTTGCCCACATGTAAAGATGGGCCTCTCGCTGCTCCTTCTTGCGAGCTTCTCGCTGAACGGTCTCTTCCTCAAATTTTTGTCCTATTCTGATTAGCTAGACGATTGATAGGAATACCACCATGAACTTACTGAGATGCAATGGGATATGTTCCTTAGTGACTGGGCAAAGGATGTCATCCAAACGCGATTGACGAATGTAAACCAGCATGTATGCGCTGTTTTGGCGCATGATGGGAGCCTTCTTTGGCACAGGCGCACGCGGGTAACCGTTGGCGGCATGGTATTCTCCGCCAAAGTTCTCCTCCATTACTTCGCGCAGTGTTGCCTTGGTGACCTTATCATCGTCGTACTTGTAGAACCAGCCGTCTTTTTCGGGCTTCAAGAAGGCGTAGTAATGTCCTGCGTTCAGATCACCGCTGTGGACCAGAACGCTGTGGAGCTGGTACGTCCAAGGAACAGACTTATCTGCGTCCTCGGCTAGGTATGGCGCAGCATCAAAAAACTCGGGGAACTCGTATCGGTCGTTGATCTTCATCATGGTGTCGCGTTGAATATCATACTCGAAGCGTTTCAGCTGTAAGTGCAGCACATCGGGAAAGCTGTTGAAAATGACACCTTTGTTCGCATCTTGAAGCTTGTGCTGGTCGCCGGCAAAGTATTGATTTTCTCCGTCCATCTTCTCTACCTGAACATAGTCTTCGAAACTCTCAAGCAGATTCTTGTTTCCGCTGACGTTCAGCTGGATGTCCCAGAAGTCCTCGATTCGGCTGGATTCGTAGTCGACATTAATACATGAGATGTATGTCTTGATCTTGCCACTGAACATCTCCGGTAGGACGCTCTGAGCAGGAGTTCCCTTCATCTTATCTTCCATTCTTTCCATGAGCTTACGCGAAAACTCTTGGACATCCTGTTGTTCAAAGATATGTCGTGTGTCCCAACCAAAAGACTTTGTGAGCTCCGTAGTCCCAACTGCCTGGTCTGAAGTCTGTAATTGATAAAACAGTCGTTGCAATGTGTATGCACTGTTGTGCATGCTAGGATCGGCCTCGGTGGGAATTTCGTAAATGGCCTATGTAAGTCAGCGAATAGTAGACAAGTACGTTGGACGAGGAGACCTGCCTTTCGGAACTTGTTTGTAAAGTATAGGGACTGCATGAGGGAGTTCAGATAGCAGGTGGCACCCTGGTTCTTGAGACCGACAAATCCCGTCTCCTTTTTGGAATCATAGTTTGCAAAGTTGTGCCACAAAACACCCGTCTCATCCTCAACAAGGCGAATATAAGCGGTAATATTTGCGGTATCATTTTCGCAGAGGGGTCGGCTGCTGCCTTCCCACGGGACGTTGAACATACGTCGGTGCTCAACAAACCGTGTGAAGCCCCAATCTCCCTCTTCTTTGGTGAAGCGATGATGAGCAGTGTGATGGACGTATAGGCTTGGGTCGTTCGGGTTCCATAGGACGAGCGCAAATTGAACACAGCAGCTCCAGTTATCAGGAACACTATCGGCTTCGAAGCCATGTTCAAGGTAGATGGAACACTGATCGATATTGTTACCATGTGGGAAGAGCAGAATTCTCCTGTAGCGAGGGCACGTCAGCAATCCGGTGCACGGCAATGCCGGGGTCAACTCATACGCACCATGGGAAACCACCAGCTTGGAAAATGGGACCGTGTTCCTTCTTATTCAAGCTGCGCCAGTTCTCAACAGGCCATGTGTAATTGTAGTCTCCGAGGATCCTTGGCTCATCGATGAGTGGGGGAAGACAAATCTCCTTCATGGCTTCGTCTTAAAGCATGACAGTTAGCTAAGATAGCTCCTGAATGTGCTATGCCCAATATTATGATTATAGCAAGAAGAAAGTTATGCGCCAACGTAGGGAGTCGGTGAATAGGAAAAAGAGTACGCACGGTCGGTAGCCATGGGCAAATCTTGCAGCTGGTCAACTTCGGTTGGTTCGAGGTTGTCGGGGTTGATAATGGCGACCTTCTCAGGCTCGTCGGCCACGTTGATATAGTCATCCGTGTCCATGACCATGTCGTTAGGCGAGTTAATATCGTGGGTCTGTCGGATATTGCGACTGTTAGCTGAGAGCCTCCCATGGTAGGGTAATATGTTATGAAGCGAGGTCATGATGTCGGCATTCGGATTGACTGGGATTAGTGCGGATGGTGAGGGGCAAGTGGTATGCTATTGGAGGTGATGCTAATTTCGAGGTGCTAGGTATAGAAGGTTGCGCAGTGCTTCTATGTTAAATGACGATACGGTAACGTCGATTTGAAGTTGTATGTTGGGTGAGGTTCAAGATAGACAAAGACAAAGGCAAGAGGTTAAAGATGACGCAGCTCAAGGTCGATGGGGCTGTACGAGCAGCTACCAACTCACGGCAGGCTGCATGGAACAAAACAATACGGGAAGGGGCAGCAGGCAGGCAGGCAAGCAGGAACGTACCATTTTGAGGAAGTTGCTACCGAGACGGTAGAATTGGAAACGGAAACGTCCTTATGTAGAAATAGGTAGGTAAGCGGACCTCGCGATACAAAGGCGCAAGTATGGCAGCAGCAGCAGAGCTATCAATGCAGTGCTTCAGCCAGAGCTCGACAGTGTCGAGTCGCGCAAGGATAGGTAGGGCAGGTAGGGAATAAGAGTCAAAGACAGCGACAGTGAGCAAAAATGATACTCCAAAAAGAATGTCCTAGAGCGCAACGCAGAATAAGTGCGACGCAGTGCAATGCAATAGGTGCAATGCAAATGCTATGCTATGACGATTGGGGAGGATGAGGAACTGCACTGTGCTGTAAAGAAAAAGCACAGAGCAGAGTGAGTACTCCGTAGAGCGGTCGGTTATGTCAGTAAAGTCGATGGACAATGACGAAACCCACAACTCAAGTCCTAAGCCCCTAGATTTTTATTTATTTTAAATCCCACGTCGGGTCGCTTCTAAATAAAGAGGATACGCTGTAGATGAGGTCGGTTCAGAGGGTAGAACTAGGAGAAAGAATTGTGAGGCGATTGAGTTGGGATCTCATGCCTTGCTTCAACAGGTAGGCAGAAAGAACCGGTAGTAATCAATCATCAAGCGGGAACAAGAGTTGTGCGAGAGGCGATAGCTAAATTACCTATGTTATTGAGGGACTTGGTTATTGGTGTTTAAAAGTCTGTAAAGTCAGTACCGCTTTAACACCCATTACGCGCCAAGCGTCATCAGGTCACCCCGCCAATGACGTTGTCAGTCTGTCAGTATCTCGTAGAGTTACCCTGTATTAGTAGCTCAACTCTCAAACTGCGCCAGTTTTCAACAGCCCATGTGGAAAAATCGTAGTCTCCAAGGATCCTTGGTTCGTCGATGAGTGGGGGAAGAGATCTGATAACCAAATTAAAACATAGGTACCTAGGTACTAACCTACCTTAGCATTTATACCATGAGAAGTAGTAACAAATTTGACAGGAGCCTTGAAAGCTAAGTAATCGCCACATCTGAGCGAGCAAATAAGTGCCACAAAATTACGAAGCTACCCCAATTTGGGGAAATAAAACACGGAACGTCCTTCTGCTACCACGATATCTCTGATCGATTGTAATAATTTTATATAAAATGACTTTTTTTGATGAAATGCAACTAAATATTGCTAAAGTATTATCTAAGAGCGTAGATTTATATATAACTTTATATAAAATTATTTCTCTTTATTAAAATGCAAATAAATATTACTAAAGTATCGTCTAAGAGTTTATAATTTTATATGATTCTGTACAAAATTATTCCACTGTAAAGATATTGTAGCATAAAAAGCATAATGTTTAGAACTTCCATGTCACACGTTGGAAGTATTGCTTTAGCGAAGAGTTTACTGCTTTATTACTCTACCGTTTTGCCTTTTTGCTACCTTATCTAGCCTCGTTCTATTTCTTAGTGTCCTCTCTGCCTCACTATACTACAGACAAGTCAATCCACTTTACTCGCGATTCAGCAGCGCACTATGCTAGGTCGATGACATTACTCTAGTTCTCACCTTTCCGTCGAAACCGATCTTCGCTGAGGATCTGCCGCAACGAGACAGGCCTAGTAACCTCGGTCAAGAGCCCCAGCTGGCGAATCGCATCACCATGGCATCGGATCGTATCTGGATCGATCGAAGAGGAGTGTACGACGACCTCGCCATGGAAGTGCTGGTGAGCGACCACATCCCAAGCTTGTGTAGCCGTAATCCCTAGAGCGAGCTCCGCCGTCCCCCGTATGGTGATGATGGCTGGCTGCCCACCTTGAGCCCTCTGGTAGCGAAAGAGCATTGCCACACCCCGTCTGCCGTTCCATAACTCCATCATGTCAAGTCTAGGCATCTGGAGCGCTGCGACAGCGGCATCCCGAAGCATGTTGTTGATTGTCAAGGGGTTCGCAAGGTTAGTGAGAACCCTCGAAGTCAGCGTTAGTGAAGTGAGCTTATCCCATGTCCATGAATCTTGACGCGCTGCGAAGAAGTGACTGGCGTCGGCCATGAAAGAGGCGGATAGCATCGTGAGGTACAGACTGGCGCGGGCAAGTGTCTGGCTCACGGCCGGGTCCGGCTCCCTGATAGTGACACACTCGAAAAAGCTTTCTGGGTAAGCCTCGTTGAAGTTCTCGAATATCGTGAGTTTGCACAATCCAGTCGAGGGAAAGGATTGGATTAGCGTCTGGTTGCCTGTTTCTGGGTGGTCAGCGGCTGCGTCAAGTGAATTGTCGGGGATCAAGTAAGCACTTGCATTTATCAGTCTGCGTCTCAATTCCACTCCACTCTCTCCAGGGTTCGTAACAAAGTTCCTTCATGTTTGGGAACCGCGTGAGCATATTGGCGAGCGCAACCGGCTTCCATCGTCGGCGGGTCTGCTGGCGAAGGAGCACGACTCCGACGACGGGTACCAAGGGGAGACTCCGCCACCACTGCATCTCAGGTTCCTCGTCGTCGAAAGGCCCCTCGGCCATGATCTCGTCAAATACAACTTCGGTGGCGTATTGACTAGGAGCAATGATCCGTTGTCCGGCAACCCAGCCATGAGCTGGGTCATTCGTCTGGGTGGTTCCTTGTTCGTGTCCATGGCGAGAGAGGCACTCGCCTAGGTTGGTGTCTGAGCAGAAGCTTAGGTACTTGAACCAGTGCTGGTTGTCACTGGGCGAGTAGACACCTATATCGAGGACCAAGTCACCGCGAGGCTCCCATGGACTCAGTGTCGTGAACAGGCTTTGAAACGCATCCGCGATGAGTTGGTTGTCGACATTGTTCAAGCCCCAAAGGTCCCGGTCAGTGCCCGCACATTTTCTACAATCGTACTGCTTCAGTTCCACCCGAAACCAGATATAACGAATCTGGTTTCTCCTTCGGAACAAAATAGCGTGCGAGTTGAGGTCGGCAAGGCGCGGTACCGTCAGGCTAATCTCAGCAAAGTTGAGCGGCTCAATAATTGATTGCCAAACTTTGGAAACGGTCACGAGCTGACTGCACCTCCCACCGAGACTTGGGAGAAGACCAATAATCTCGCTTTGAATACTGGGAGGTAGACAACCCCATGAAGTTCTGTTCCTAGCCATGTCTGATTAGGCTTGCGGTTGGTATAACTCGAAGTTTGGAACCTGTGTTTTGGGGGTGTAGAGACCATGGCCGAGAGCCAGCCATTGCTGGCTCCCTTCCCTTTTATGCTTGATCTCAGGGAAAGCCTGAATGGACATCATATGGACATTGAAGTTGTAACAAAGCTCATCTAACTTTCTTACCTATTCAATGGATGTGGGGCGTCGGAAGCTCTCCCTCCTGCAACCCACCATTTTAGGTCGGCCGGTATCGCCAAAAGATGTGGGGTAAACTCCAATTACGTCGGTTCGTTCCTGTCCTGGGCAGCATCGAGTCACTCGCCCAAAGCTTCCTTCCCACCGAGGCGGCACATGCAGACCTTTTCCACCTCGTCTTTTCTAAGTTCTCGCCCTTTCTGTTCTTTACAGTTTCATGAGAAAACAACTTAAGAGCCACGCGCGACTGGATTGAGTTGATACAGCAACTAGCACCGACTTGATATACCTTTGCATGCGCCTGTGACGATATGCCATCCATCGCTCTGCGACAGAGCAGGCGATGTAGACTGACAGACCCGCGCGCTTACTTGACGAATACTCCTCGTTGTTCATATACAAAATTGCAATTTCGCGCCGTGACTAACGCATCATGGCGTCCTGTTTCCATCCTCGATGAGTACGTCATTTCAAGAATTTTCGCTACCATCCATATCTGCAAAAGCTAACCCATGATATCTTCAGTTGGGTCGCAAAAGAAGCTCGGCCTATCAGTCTTCGTCAGCTTATGGTTTTTGGTCGATCCCTTACAGAATCACGTCTCATCAGCTCTGCCAACTATGTCCGGACCGAATTACCTACACGGTAAGCTTTGAACAAACCTTTGGGGCAAGATAAGAATCTGACATGTGCTTCTAGGATTGCGCATCGCATTCGAGATATGCAACGCCTACCATACGTCGTCACCACGAATCGACACATAAAAGAAGTCTATGACCTTTACTATCACGCTTTTGACACGTTTCGCAAATTAAAGGAAGTTAAAACTTTGGAGGACAACGACAGGCTGTGCGAACTTATAAGCTTTAACTTAAAGGGCCATTTGACCGTGATACCGAAACTCTCTATGGGTATTCTAGAATGTGGCGGGCTGATGAGTCCCATTGATTTGGACATTTTCATGAACACTATTCTCCGATCGGTAGGTGAACGGTATTCGAATATTTTCTGGTGTCCTTGCTAAGACTGAACAGCGGATCTCCAGACGAGTCATCGCTGAGCAGCATCTGTCCTTAACAGAAACATACAACTCGCCTAACTTCTCACCTGGTGCTACACTTTCAGAGTCGGACTTCATTGGCGAAGTCTTTATCAAATGCTATGCCAAAGACGTTGTTGAACGCTGTTCAAAGGCCATCACCGCTCTTGCTCGGACTACCAATGGTCCCGACGTCCAGATACCTGATATCAAAGTGGATGGCCATCTCGAAGCTTCTTTCCCCTATATCCTCAGCCATCTCGAGTACATTATCGGTGAACTCCTTCGAAACTCTGTCCAGGCTGTTATCGATCGACATCAGAGACTTCACCCGGATCCTTATAACGTGAAGCCCCCCCCTGTGGAGATCACCATCTGTGAAAACCAGCAACATGTAATCATTCGAATATGCGATCGTGGTGGCGGCATTCCTCGTGCTGAGTTGCCGCACCTATGGTCTTTCAGTAAGGGACCGCAGAGCCAGAGGCGTCTCGAGAACCTCGCCCAAGTGCCAAAGATGGCAGCAACAATGCAAGAACTTCATGTGGAGGAGGAGCTGGGACGCGCAGACCTGAAAGCACCACCATACCAGAGTTCCTTATCATCTCTGACAAGTCGGCCGCCCAATTTACGGCTCGGCATGGGCTTACCCCTGAGCCGCGTCTATGCCGAGTATTGGGCTGGGAGTCTCGACCTGCATAGTCTCGAAGGCTACGGAACGGATGTATTTCTGCAGATTTCGAGACTAGGGAACAAGAATGAGCAGCTGACTACACGAGCCAGCATGGATGCTTTATAGCATATGTGGTCAAGGTAATGTCCGAGTAGGAAAGGCTGAAGCGGTTACAAACTTTATCTTGAACCTCAAGATATCCTTCAGAGGACACGGTTTTATGTTTTGAATATGAATTGGGTCAGCTTGGCTTTCAGCATGGAGTTTGGGAACTGGGTTTCCGAGTCAACATTTGGTTAGACGATTGTGCAGTTTTGGGACGTTGTGAAATATTGGATAAGTGTCAAACCACATCACACGGCATTGAAAGACATTGAACCTCGAGCTGGTATCATAAAATATTGTGATTGAAATTACATCGGAACTAAAATGTGCCTAGCTGAGAGAAAGGGCTCTAGTAAAAGGTTGTAATAAAAAATGGGCAAGACTATCAAGGCTTTCTCCATACGTCTTGTTCGCTAGACAGGCCTCTCGTACTTTGTGGGTGTGAGCTGCCGACACAGCGATCAGGACAAACAAAATCATGGGGAGGGAATCATAACTCCTACACAATAAGCCGCAGCCATGATAACAAGTCCCAGAAAGGGTAAAACCCCCTCGACCTCCGCAGGGAAGAGAGAGCAGGTATATCCATGAACTCGTGGCCCCCCATCGTGTCGTCTTCTTGTGGTATTTCTCGGACCTTTCATCTTTTCGACTCCAAACCCCAAAATGGAGCTCCATGTAAAAGAAGCTTGAAGAAACGACTGTCCAACTGCAGCCATGCATACATATACGCACAACGGCCCGCTTGAAATCGTTTAACGGCGACCGTGACTGCGGACAGCGCTGCCCTGCATTTGCTCCAACTCCTGCTCGAGCTGCTTGATCTGAGCGTGGGTCTGCTCGAGATCCTTGTTGAGACGGTCGCGCTCGGAGATGAGCTTCTGCTCCCATTGTCGGAAACGCTGCTCCTCGATCTTGACCTGCTCGGTGAAGCGCTTTCGGAGGGCCTCCTCCTCCTCCTTGAACTTGGGGTTGTCGAGCTTTCGGGGACGGGCCTCGCCGAATTTGCGGGTCTCCATCTGCTGCGCACGGTAGGCCTCGTAGTGCAACTCCTCGGTGGTGTGGATGAGGTCGAGCATGTGTGTTCGGATCAGGATGGAGCGGAGCTTCTTGAAATCGCAGTGGTCCTCGTTCTCGACCTCAGCAACACCCCAAGAGTACTGGCGACCCTTAACAATGCGGCCATCACCAGTCTTGACATCCTTCTCGGAGCCAATCACAGCGAAGGGCATGGCGTTCATAAGGCTGCGGGCGTGCTGGGCAGCGGCCTCATCGTCCTCCTCGATCGGGGGCTGGTAAATCTTAATGTTCTGGGCCTCAATGACAGAGACAATCTGGATGAAATTAGTACTAGATCCGCCATCTCAATTTCATACTACTTACTCTCTGCTTGAACTTGGCCAAGTCGGCAGGGCTGAGGGTATCGGCCTTGGCGATAACGGGAATAAGGTTGACACGCGAGCAGAGGCGCTTCATAACCTCAATGTCAAGAGGCTTGAGGGTGTGGCCGGTAGGGCGGATGAAGTACAGGCAAGCATGGACACGGAGGTCGATCTTGTCCTGACGGCGGGGCTGCTGCTCCTGAAGCATGTAAGACTCGTGCTGGTCGTCGAGGAACTCGATAATGGGCATCCAAGAGTCGCGGTTGTTGACATAGTCGCCGAATCCGGGGGTATCGATAACGGTCAATCGGACTGAAAGGGGTATTAGCGAAGATTAAATAAAGTGCTTGATTGAGAGTAATACCCTTGAAGAACTTCTCCTCGAGCTCGGCCTTGGTGATCTCAATCTCGACGGTCTTGTCGACCTGCTTCTGGTGGCGGCGCTTGTGGTCGGCATAGTTCTTGATGGTGGTAGAGAAAAGAGTGTTGATGAATGTAGTCTTGCCCAGACCAGACTCACCAGCAACCTAGACATGATGCGGTCAGCAGACGTTCAGGAGAAGCCCATGAGATGTCTCTTTGCATTTGCGTGAACAAGAACATGAACGAATTGGCTGTAGGCGTACCATAATAGTGAAGCCGGCGCCACGCTTCGCGACAATCTTGTGTCGCTGGTTGGGCAGATTGGCAATACCAATCGGTGAAGCGTTCTCGGCAGCTGCAGAAGCCATCTTGAAGGTTGTTTACTCGGGGTTCAGGGTTCAAACGGGAAGAGTTAATGCGTATTAGAAGCGTAAAGCACGGCTGTAAAACAAAGACAAATCAAGTCAAGACAACAACCAGCTGCGATGTCGCGATGAAGGTCGAACGAGTGCAAAGGTTAAGTTAAGGTGGAGAGGGAGGTTTGGTCGGGGACAGCTCGTGCTTCACTTCAGGGGAACGAATTTCCTGCCCTTTCCCCCCTAAAGCAACTCCCTCCAAAAAGACACAGGGGATGCTTGCTTCTGATAGGTTGATAGGTGAGTGGACGGTGGCTAGTGAACACGGGGCAGCAAGGGAAAGTGCCAAACAAAACGGGTCTTGCTGTGCCAAGGGGTCGAATAAACAGCCACCGCCTCTCTACCGAGTAGTAATTAGCACTGGTCCCTTCAGAAGCTTTGGCCATGCAACAGCCCGCCAGTCCAGCCACAGGGAAATTTCCCTAGCGTGTCTAGCGAGCCGCATCGGATTAACTCTACTGCCGGACCGTCGCAAAATTTGGCTCTTATCGATAAGTCGCAACGATGATTTTTTGGCTGGCTTTGCGACTTGGTGTTTAGAAGCATCATGGCCATGACCTGCAAACAATAATGAAGACCGATTTCAAGGTGAGATTGACCCAGAACTGCAGACGTGATTGGTTAAGCTTATTGAAATATTGTTCTAGTTCTCGAACTTGCTGGGCACAGTATATTGCCAGGGAAATTTACTCTACAGCCCAGATGGCACCCATCTCTTTTCGCCTGTCGGCAACAGAGTCACTGTTTTCAACTTGGTAGAGTATGTCTTCCCACTCTACTCCAAACCGTTTGCATCCCGAGGACCTAAACTGACCCCTGGTAACAGAAACAAATCATACACCCTCCCCTTCGCTCATCGCAAAAACATTGCCCGTATCGGACTTACACCCCGCGGAAACCTCCTCCTCTCCATTGACGAAGATGGCCACGCGATCCTGACCAATGTCCCTCGGAGGATATCCATATATCACTTCTCCTTCCGATCTTCTGTCACGGCGCTCTCGTTCTCCCCATCAGGCCGACATTTCGCTGTAGGACTGGGCCGCAAGATCGAGGTCTGGCACGTTCCCTCTACCCCCGACGCTTCTGCCGAGGGCGAGCTCGAATTCGCTCCTTTTGTTCGATACCACACCCACACCGGCCACTTCGATACTGTTAGCCATATTGAGTGGTCGAGCGACTCCCGCTTCTTTCTCACAACCTCCAAAGATCTCACAGCGCGGATATGGAGTCTGAACCCCGAGGAGGGCTTCACCCCAACGGTGCTCTCAGGCCACAAGCAGGCCGTCATTGGTGCGTGGTTCTCAGAGAATCAGGAGACTATCTATACTGTTAGTAAGGATGGTGCAGTCTTTGATTGGCAATATGTCAAGCCCATCAACCGTATTGAGGAGAACGACAAGATGCAGGACGACGATGACGACTCGGATATGCGATGGCGCATTGTTCAAAGACATTACTTTATGCAAGCAGGTGCTCATGTGCGATGTGCTTCTTTCCACCCGGAGACGAATCTTCTCGTTGCTGGCTTCTCCAACGGACTGTTCGGCCTGTACGAGATGCCCGACTTCAACATGATCCACAAGCTGAGCATCTCTCAAAACGATATTGATTTTGTCACCATCAACAAGACCGGCGAGTGGTTGGCGTTTGGCGCGTCAAAGTTGGGCCAACTACTGGTGTGGGAGTGGCAGTCTGAGTCTTATATCCTTAAGCAACAAGGCCATTTCGATGCTATGAACTCGCTTGTCTACTCACCAGACGGCCAGCGTATCATCACCACTGCCGACGACGGCAAGATCAAGGTCTGGGATATCCAGTCTGGTTTCTGCATTGTTACCTTTACTGAGCACACCAGCGGCGTGACAGCCTGCGAGTTTGCCAAGAAGGGCAATGTCCTCTTCACATCGAGTCTGGACGGTTCCATTCGAGCTTGGGATCTTATCCGTTACCGAAACTTCCGAACTTTCACAGCACCAACAAGATTGTCGTTCGCCTGCATGGCTGTCGACCCTAGCGGTGAAGTCGTGGCTGCTGGCTCTCTCGATTCCTTCGATATTCACATCTGGTCCGTCCAAACAGGCCAACTTCTCGATCAGCTATCGGGCCATGAAGGTCCAGTGTCGTCTCTCGCATTTACACCTAATGGCAACTCTCTTATCAGTGGTTCTTGGGACCGCACTGCACGTATCTGGTCAATCTTCAGTCGAACACAGACTAGTGAGCCTCTGCAGCTTCAATCTGATGTCCTCGACATTGCTGTTCGACCAGACTCTCTCCAGCTAGCTATCTCGACACTAGATGGCCAGCTGACTTTCTGGTCCGTCACAGATGCTGAGCAGACCTCTGGAGTGGATGGCCGAAGAGATGTTTCTGGTGGACGAAAGCTCACGGATCGTCGAACAGCAGCAACCATGGCTGGCACAAAGAGCTTCAACACCATCCGATATAGCACCGACGGAAGCTGCCTTTTGGCTGGCGGAAACAGCAAGTATATCTGCCTGTACTCCGTGACCACCATGGTGCTGTTGAAGAAGTTCACTGTCAGTGTGAACCTTTCCCTCGCTGGCACACAAGAATTCCTCAACAGCAAGCTGCTTACTGAGGCCGGCCCAGCTGGGGAGCTCGATGATCAAGAAGCATCAGACCGTGAGGATCGCGTTGATAGCTCGCTGCCTGGATCAAGACGTGGTGATCCTTCAGCGAGAAAGAAGGCACCTGAAGTCCGTGTAACTGGAATTGGGTTTTCACCCGCCGGTACTGCCTTCTGTGCTGCCTCGACCGAAGGTCTTCTGATCTACAGCTTGGATCAAGATATTCAGTTCGATCCATTCGACTTGAACATGGAGATCACTCCCGCTTCGACCTTGGCTGTTCTCGAGACCGAGCGAGACTACCTCAAGGCACTGGTTATGGCTTTCCGCCTCAACGAAGTTGGTCTTATCAAGCGTGTCTTCCAAGCCATTCCCTCCCCCGAAATTCCCCTCGTCGTCGCCGACCTACCTACCGTTTACGTCTCTCGCCTCCTCCGCTTCGTCGCCGCTCAAACCGAAGAGTCGCCACACATTGAGTTCTGTCTTGTCTGGATCAAGGCCATTGTCGATAAGCATGGTACCTGGCTTTCTGCCAACCGAGCCAAGGCTGATATCGAGTTGAGAGTTGTTGCGCGAGCCGTGGCCAAGATGAGAGACGAGATCAGGAGACTTGCTGATGAGAATGTGTACATGGTTGATTACCTACTGGGCCAAGCTGAGGATAAAAATGAAAAGAAGGATGTGAAAACTTTGGATAGCGGAACAGATGTGGATGTAAAGCTTATGGCTGTTGACGGAGACGAGGAGTCTGAGGCGGGATCTGACGAATGGATTGGTTTAGAATAGACGGTAAATACGATGCTTAATACCCATACATATCATACGATCCTTTCCTTTGGGGTATTTTACATCTTTGCCTTGGGAATATCCTCCCAAGCCTCCTCAAATCCTGCAGATCTCACCCACATTGTGCCCCCCTGCTTATCAGCCTCCCCATTGACATCCAGCAGCACATACACTGCCTTCAGCCACTCATCGCCTTTGACCCTAACCCAGTCTTTATCCTCGTACGGTTTCGTGACTCTCTGAGCCAGCATTAGCGCCCTCGCCAGCTTAACAGTATGTCCATCGTCCACAATCTCATGGATCCTGGGGAACAAATCCTCCGGCTTGTCGACCAGCTTGTCTCCATTTTGGGGTTTGTATTCACGAAGCAAATCGCTTCGGAGAACTGGCGTACCACGGGCGATGTATTGCAGTAGATCTATGCGGATTTTGTACTCGAGAAAGCGTGCTTTGATGGAGGCTGGGATCCAGGATTGGCTGTTGAAGGTGATGAAGAAGGGTGTGGAGTTGATGTGATGCCTGATACTGTGAGCAAACGAGTTTGAGGTTACGATGTAGAATGGGGACTTACATGAGAATGAAATCGAAGCGAGGGGAATAGGGAGGGTGAAAAGCAGCGCCTGAAGCGACAAACGCAGAAGTATGCACCATCTCAGCTGTTCTCTCGTCCAACTCATCTTCACCAATTCTCACCCTCGCCGCCAGGCCAATCATCTCCTCCTTCGCCCTTACAAGGACACCATCGAAGACACGATTCGAATCCTCCCAGTGCGAGCTCTGTTTCAGTTTCTCATCCTTAGCCACCTCCTCGTAAAGTTCAATGATGGTCTTCATCTTCGGCGGCGCATCAGAAGCCTCTGCCTTTTTTGCAGCGAGGGTAAAGAACTCGTGGTAATCATCTCGATGAACAGCAGCTTGCGCAAGACCCGCCGCGATGATCATAGGCTGCGACCATTCCATACCGTAGAGGAGCTGGATAAGCGGATGGAGAACGCCTGCGAACAAGCGGCTCTGCATATCACGTCCCCTTGCATCGTCTTTGAAGAGATACTCCTTGAGAGTTTCCTGCCAGCCGATTCTCTCAATCTCGTCCTGGAAGAAGCGGAAGAATGTAGCGTAGTTACGGCCTTTGCCGAGGTATTCTGACCAATCTGAGCCGTGCTCTAGTTTGTCAATGACTTCGGATTTTGGTTTCATGGCTTTGAGTTGATATGACTTGTTGGCGTCATAGGCTTTGTCTAGAATGCTTGGTGTTGCGCCTGTGCCGTACAAAGTGAGGACTTGATGGACGAGCTGGGCAATATTAGTGAGATGCGAGTCTGGAGGCTGCAGATGAAATTTACATGGTCATGAAAGCCAGCCTCGTTGAAAAAGACATGATGATGCTGAAGAGTGTTAGTCTTTGGTGTGTACAATCATCCAGATAATGTAGTGTACCTCAAGATCCTTCTGAAGCAAATCCGTCACTTTTGAAGCTTCATTCTCACTAAGTTTCAAGCCCAACAGGCCCGAGTTTTGGGGCTCGACTTTAATCTTGAAGGGAGTTGCCATTGTAGAGTATCTTGTGATTCTTGTTGTGCGTCTCGCGAAGACTCCTAGGCCTGTCCTCGTCCACATGAGAAGGATAAAAGCAGGTATATATATGCGTGTATACAATGAAACAGGGAATGAATAGAAGTGACTCTATACTGCAGAAGAGGTCAACAGTATGTGTCCTTTTGTGACGATAGTGGCACGTAACATATGAGCTGACAAATTGAATTGTCTGTACCCAATTTGAGACTGATGTTCTGGGTATCGGTCTCGGATGTCGCACTTGGATTGAGCCGTAAAGTCTTTACCAAAGTCCGAAGTTAGTAATAGTTTGGAATCATTCTGCACAATCCTGACGTGGTCTTATTTTAGGCGTCTTCCGTTTATACAACCAACAGCTATCAGCCATACACAGAAGCTTGTAGGTGGGTGGTTTACCCCAGATTTCTAAGCATATTGACATCATTGTACTGTAGATCAGAAGACCCCACCTTTCTGGCAAGTAGAAAGAGAGCTCTTGATGCTGACACTTCACACGCAACCATCACATATTTATCAGATCAGAAGACACGATGTGGTTGGTGAATTCTTTCTTTCCTTTTTAGTTTGTTGTACTGCCTACGACCTAAGAGGTAATTATCCAGGTCACGGTCACAGTACCGGTATATCATAGCCTTTTGCTTTTCCCTTAACCCTGTACATCCTTTTTTCGTCGTTGTGCTCATGTCTTCCGTCTTTCTTCGTCTATAATTTATGCTAGACAAATATTAGAATCATCGTGGAAAAATAAAACCAAAGGTAAAAAGGGTTTAAGCCTTACCCTTCTTGAGAGCAGGGGCCTCATCATCATCAGAGTCATCCTCGTCCATCTCCTCGAACTCGAGGTCGCTGGGGATATCGTCGGCCTCTTGGGCGTTGGCTTTTTCAAAATATGTTAGAATTTGTTTCTTGCTTTTTCTTTCTTTGTTCTAAATTCAAATTATATCGTGCTCTGAGAGGTACATACTGAAGTACTTGATGGCGCCGGGCCACAGGTCCTCGGCGATGAAGACAGCGAGGTCGTCGGCGGTAGGGAAGATCTCATACTCGTACTCGTCGTCGTCATCGTCATCCATGTCATCATCGTCATCCTCCTCAGACTTGCCCTCCCTGCGAGCCTGCTTCTTCTCCTCCTCGAGCTTGCGGCCCTCCTCAGACTCCTCAGGGGTGACCTTGCGGCCACGGAAGCCGAAGAAGCAGAAGAAGCTGACGCCGCCCATGCCTGTCTCCTCCATGAGGCTGAGGAGCTTCTTGGAGGCCTCGGTCTCGCCGGGCTGCTGACCGGCCTTCTCCTCGTCGTAGACCTTCTTGGCGAGGCTGAGCATGCCGTTGGTCAGGTCCTTGCCCTTCTTCCACTTGATGTCGACGGGCTCGGAGACGAGGCCGGCCCAGCCGTCCTTGTGGAAGCGCCAGAAGAACTTCTTCTCGAGCACCTTGTCCTCGAACCATTCGTTCTCCTTGAACTCCCACTTGAGGGAGATGGAGCGGGGGTCGCCGTTGGGGAGCTCGAAGCGCTCAACAGTCAGGCCGGTGAGGGCGTTGAGGAGGAGCTCGGAGTCGCTGGGCTGGATGTACTCGTCAACCTCGGGAGGGGACTGCTCGAAGACGAGGGGCCAGAACTGGGGGATGTTGGCGATGACCTCCTGGCGCTTGACGTAGAGGTCCTTGGTGAGCTTATCCTGCTGACGGACTGTGCTACCGTTAGTGATTGTTCTGAGACCTAAAGCTCAAGTAAATAACTTACGGATCTCGAGCTCGATATCCTCAAAGTCATCCTCGATAGCCTGAAGCTTCTCGTAGGTAACGAGAGCCTCCTTGAGGTCGGCGTCTTGCATATCTCCGGCAGACATTTTGAATTTTAGTTTGAAAGAATCAGGATGCATTCAAATACTCAAAATTATCGAGGAAATAATGGAGGGGTATCTTGGAGGGGTATAAAAAAGGAACAAAAAGAGATGGAGGGGAGAGAGAGAGAATTTTCAGAGAGGGAAGAGAGAAGAGGATCGGTGAGGTAGTGCTTTATTTATCTATCTACTAAACTTAGTAAAAGTTAACCCGCACCCATAAAAAAACCATCTCAACCTGTTTCCATTAAGCTCCATGTGCATTGCATGTGTTGGCCGTGAAAGGCCCTCTCAGCGGTGAAAATCAACATTTTTTCCTTCAGTTTTTCTTTCACGTTCACTTTTTGGTGGGGTTAATCTGATGTCATTGGTTCGCCATCGAAGCCCCGCGGCGGAAGACCCCTGCTTTTTTCCTTCACGGTGATTTATTAGTTCAGGTCTTTTTTTGCCTCTGCAGGTCCCCTAAAAACACTGCAACAACGCGTAGCTTTAGTGGTCCAGGTGTCACTTGCCCCCACTGTAAATGGAAGCTTTGTGTTTCTTTACAGGGGGTAGTGGTCTCCACCAGTGCAGGTTTTCTTAGCGGGGTATCCTTGCGTTGAGGGACGTGTTTAATTGAATCGTTGAATGACGATCGACAAGGTATGGCGAAGCAAACGAGGAGGCTTTGGAACTAAACACCAGATATTTCATCACCGCAAACGAGCAACAAATTCTGTAAGCCACGTGAATGAGTCATATTTAGTTCTGCATTCACAATTGAAAGGTTCTTAAAACAACTTACCCCCTTTCAAGAAGACATTCCAAGTGTAGAGTAAATGATGCAGTGCTTGTATACTGTTTAAGAGCAGGACATTCTCCAGAGACTGTAGTGCAGGTTCTATCTTATCTTGGACCTTTTGCGCAAGAAAAGACTATCATAAAAGAGAGATACTGAGTGCTGTGGCATGGTGTTTTGGCGAACAAACGCCGTATGATAATGATACTACAAGATAACCTCTTTCTCGTTCGTTCTCGAACAACAATGGCAGTCACCACCAATGCCTGTATAGGTTGTTTGATAGAGATCGTTTGAAAAGGTCCCGTTTGGTCCCTATAGTAACATCTCATCAACTGACCAAGTTGACCCATTTCTTCTGACACCATCTTGCAAACTTCACCACCACAAGATATGTAACTCCTTCTAGCTCAACCATCTGGCGATACCCTCATACCCATACCAACCAGCCCAAAATATCATCCAAGATGCCTCCCCAGCCCACCAAATTCCCCAAACCAATCCCCCTCGAAGTAACCGTCTACGGCCCCCACAACGCCATCAAAGCCGCCAGCTTCGGCGCAAAGCGTCTCCTTCTCTGCCGCAAGGACTCTTCATCTGAGGGCGGCCTCACCCCCAAAGTCGAAGAACTCAAGTATCTCAAAGACCAGGTCCATATTCCCGTCAGCTGCGTCATTCGACCTCGCGGAGCTCCCAACCCTGACCTTCCTGGTGAATCACACGATTACATCTACAGCCAGAATGAACTCGCCCAGATGAGCCAGGATATTCGTGAGCTCAAGGAAGCTGGCGTCATGAATCCCATCCGTGGTGATTCTTTTGTCTTTGGATGCGTAAAACGTCACCTAGAAGGCTCGAATTCCGTTACCCATAACAAAATCGTCGTTGATCGAAACTACTGCCACTTTCTCATCCAGGAGGCCAAACCATTCGGATGTATCTTCAACCGAGCCTTTGACGAGTTTGCCGAGCGAGAAGACTGGGATAAAGTCATTCCCGAACTTGTCACTCTCGGCTTCAGCGGTTTCATGACAGCTGGAGGACCAGGAGACTTTGACGATCACATTGACCGTCTCGGTGCCATGTGCCACCACATCAGACACATCCAGCTCATTGTCGCGGGTGGAGTTTTCTGCCCCGAGATCAAGAAGCTTCGGCAGCGTGCGCACGACTACAACGCTCACTCGATCTAGATGAACGGCGAGTGTCTTCGGCCCAGTTCCCACGACGATCCTGAGACTGCCGATATGAACGGAGTCATGTCGTTGATAGATCAGCTGGGTCTTGAGACGACGGATTAGATGTCCCCTCACGACATTGGCAAGCAGGTCTTTTACTAACTTAAACTCATCAGTTGCTCACCAGAAAGCACTGGTGTGAGATATGAGGTGATGATTTGAGAACGAAGGCTGTTTTTAAGTTAAACGGCTACGAATGACTGTGGAGCGTCTGGAACGATTTCTCAATTTGCTATTAATACTGATCACGGAGGAAGCAGTCATGATATGGACTTAATACTGAACATGAAAGGGAACATGTACCAAGAAACGATCAAAAGCTTGCTCACATGACAAATGTTCATGAAAAAAATATGTAAAGACCCAAAAGGGCGTCTGTATTACTTAAAATTTGCTCTTTATTACACCAAGCAGCACTTGCTTCTCTTTATCTACAATTTATACATCGCTTATTCATCTCGTCGTAAGCCCACCACTACCACCCATTATGAATTTTTCTTCTTCTTTTTAGTAGCCGTTCTTCTGGGCCCGAGCAAGACCCAGGCAGTTGGAGATCTTGTAGAAGATATCGACGTTGTTGTATGTACCACCGAAAGTCTCCTGGCAGGGACCAAGAGCGTAGACGGGCACGTCAGTCAGCGAGTGAACACCCTGGGCGTTCTCAGTGCTGATAGTGCCGTTGACAACGAATCCCTTGGGGGCATCCTCAGGGTTGACGTAGTAGTCACCGTCCTTGAGCTCGACGGCGGCCTCGCGGGGACCGTTCTTGTGAACCTTGTAGTCCTCACGGTGGTCAGGGGCGGCAGCGACACCACCGGCAATGGCGTAACGAGGCTCCCAGTTGGTGGGGAAGTTGGCGCCGGTGCCGTAGTTGAGACCCTTGGCCTTCTTGGTGTACTGGGACTCGCCGGACTGGGCGTAGGTGCCGATGGCACGACGCTTGGCACGGTCGTCCTCCTGCTCGGCGAGGTACTCGGTGTCGGCAGAACCCCAGACACTATCGTTGTTAGTTACGTGATGCTGTACGTTTGGTATGCAGGAAACTTACTCAAAACCGTGTCCATGGTCAGCAGAGACGATGACAAGAGTCTCATCGAGAATATCGAGCTTCTTGAGCTTCTCGATGGTAGCACGGACAGTGTCGTCAAGCTCGAGAAGATCTCCCAGAGCACGGTCGTAGTCAAGGGCGTGCATCTGCTTGTCGATAGAGGCAGCCTCAGACATGAGGAAGAAACCCTTGTCCTTGCCACGGGTGCTGAGGACGTCAATGGCCTTGAGGGTCATGTCCTTAAGACCGGGGAGGTCCTTAGCATCACCCGTAGCACCGGTGGGGTCGTTGCCGAGGTCCTTGAGGTTGTCTGTGTAGATATTGCGGTCGAGCCAGACGGGCAGGTTGCTCTTGCAGAAGACACCGAGAGCACGCTTGCTCTTGTCGGCCTTGAGAAGAGAGGTCTTGTTGTGGGAGACAGTGTAGCCCTTCTTCTGGAACTCCTTGTAGTAGTCCTTGCCCTGGTAAGAGCCCTTGGGAAGGAAGTTCTCGGCACCACCGCCGAAGAAAACATCGGGGCCCTCGTGCTTGGTCCAGCTGTAGTTGCTGTTGCCGTTCAGAGCCTGGTCGATAAGAGGACCGTACAGGCCTCGAGCACGGGTGTGGCCAGTGAGAGCAATAGGAGTAGCATCGGCAAGGTAGGCGGTAGAAACAGCACCCCAAGCACCACCCTGAAAAAGTTAAAATGTGGAATGAGACTCAGCTGAGGCTGCAAACTTACCCAGATACGCTTGAAGATCTCAACAATGGTCTCAACCTTGGGGTCGTCAAAAGGATCAGGAGAAGAGTCGGCGTAAACACTGTCTGTTGTTAGCTCTTGACCTTGAGTCTCTGAACGCTTCTTCTCACCCCATGGCATTGACAGTGCTCTTGTGACCACTGTACAGAGCAGAGGCTGAGTTGGCAGAGTCGGTGATGTAGCTGTCGATCGAGTGGGTCATCTGGTGACCGAGGACGGGGAACTCGTCCAGCTTCATAAGAGTCTGGTACTTTCCGTTGATGCTCTTGTGCCCCAAGAGACGGGCAGCAGTGATCTGTCTCTCGTTAGCTTCTGAACGTCTCACTGGCTGCATACAAGCTTACCATATTAGTGGTCATGCCATCACCGATGAAGAAGATGACGTTCTTGGCCTTTCGCTTGGGCTGAAGCTCGCGAACGGTCCACTCGGCGGTGGTCTTCTCGCCGTTGTAGTAGTGCAGCGTAACGGTGTATGTGCCGGGCTCATTGAGGGAGATCTTGCGGTAAACCTTGGACGCAACGTTGACAATGCTAGGCTTGTCAGCGTCCTCGGCAAAGAGATCCTCGAACCACTTGAACTTCCAGGTCTCGACCTTGGGCTCCTTGATGTCAAAGGCCTTTGCGAAATCCTTGGCCTTCTCGCCCTTCTTGGCGATGGTCACCTTGAACTTCTGGTCGGGCTTGCCATCATGAGCAGCCTCGGAGCCGTTGACGGGAGCGTGGACCTCGACACGGAGGTCGAAGAGCTGGCCCGGGAGGAAGTCACTCTGGTCCGGGGGGAGAACACAACCGAGCGTGGGACATGTGCCCAGGCGCTGGTAGGTTTGCGCCGAAACGGCGGCGAGCGAGGCGGCGAGGGCGGCAATGGCGTTGAGCTTAACCATGGTGATGAAGCTGAGCCCAGTCTCAAAAGTAATTGAGAAACGTAAACTAGTGATTGGCGCAGAGACGGCGAGCTATGGCAGCTTAACAGGAGCTCGACAGCTTTAACCTTCTGCGAGGGTAACATCATTTATAACCATAATTGATATCGGTATGACGATCCCACGTGCCATTGCTACCGTCCGGAAGACAAATTCGTCTCCGAGAGGGCATCCCATGTCATGGATGATCAATTGGCCTTCCTCAGTGGGACAAGTTGACGAGACTTTATGATGAGCTGATCTTGGCCTAACGTCGCCGTTGCTCCTGACCAATTGAGTCTGGGAGATAGCCAGGGCCATGCCCAAGACTGGATTAGATCGCCGACAATGAGTGCAGGTAGTTCCAGTGTGTTGGGATGAAAAAGAAAATGCATCTGGAGTGTTGCATCGCGAGAGGAATTGGCGCCTCATGATGGCGGACGATAGCACGTGTGTATGCTGTGCCAGCCTCGTTCCTTGCAAAAGGACCCTGCAAGTAGCTTGGATGCTTGTCACCTCTCTCTGCAGCTTGCCGTGGGCCTGGCTCCAACAGCGGGGTGGTATCCTGATGTCGTTGGTGCCAGTCCAACAGATCAATCATGATTGATCCTCTGCCCCAGGTGCCATGATGAGCCTGTCAACTTGTTCAACTTGTGCTCCCCCCCCGAAGCATTACCGATCCCTGGAGAATCCTCCATCCAAAGTCGTTGACCGAGCATCAACGCCACCCGGCTCATGATATCCCAGCGTACCGAAGCCAACGGCAGCCTTGGCTTGTTCTTCTCGTCCAGTTGAAGTCAAGATCGGAGAACGCACTTGCAGAGAGATGCAAGGATGTCCGATGGTGGCTCTTCAAAAGAAGCTCAGATACCGCTCGTGGGCTGATTGAGTCGTACTATTGGTTGCTCAACCCCTGCTCCCGTAGTTCCACAGATCCTTAAACCCCGGATAGCAGAGCTTGGCCCTTGTTTTATTCCACTTTGTAAACAAGCTTGTTTCTTAGCATAATCCGATCGGACCTTGTCGGTTGAACAGTCAAGTCAATTGATGTTATGTCAAATTTCCGGTGACGACTTGCCGTAAGTGGCGTCTGCGATTTGAACCACAACGGACTCTTTTAACCCATGTGCTTTCTACATGTGCTGTAGGTTAATGCCGCGAGAGATTTGCTCAGCAATAGAGTTTCGGCTTTTACTCCAGCTTGAGCAATTGACTTGTTTTCATTTCCGTCTTTCTCGATGCTGTGGTTTCGTGTGGTCTGTTTGTGCTCTAGCAAAGCTATTTGTGGGTGTGATATCGAGCCGTTGACGTTTGGAACTATCCACTGAAATGACTCGAAAAATTAACGTTTATTGATGATGTCTATATGACCGAACTGCCGCCTCATTCCGTCGGCCGTAATCTATAACATACTCTCATCTGCTGTAGAGCGTTGTGATGATAGAAGCTGCAACGTGGGCAAGATCCGCACTGTTCGAAAATCACTCTCTTAGCGATTAACGCTAGAGCAACTCATCACAGATACTGCCAATGTCCGCAATGAGTCAGGATAATGTATGTAGCCGAACTCGACTGTTTCGTCCATATCCAGCCTTCGGCTACCTATGATCAACATGCTGTCAAAGGTGGGCCTAGCCAGATTGTCGGAATGGCTTCATCGTGACAGCCGTACCTAACATAAAGTCAACAGCAGGGTACATTAGTCCCATCACTTTTCTAGGCTCGATGCAACCCCATTGATAGGCAATGTACCATCGACAGCTGCAAGAGGTTCTGCAATGGCCTCGGGGTGGGGACTGACATCGACCGAATCAAATGCTTGCCAACTAGGCTCGTTGATCTTGGTCTGGCCAGCGATACTCTTGAAATGGTAACCCCGGGCTCGGGGTCTAACACCGGTACCAATAGGGATCTCTGGTTCGTAGATCGCCAGGAACTTCTTGTGAAGCTCTTCAAACTTCTCGGTGCTTTCACTCAGAGCTGTGCGAATTCCAGCAAAGAAAGCACTGAGGATTGCATGATTGTGTATTTGAAGGAGGTTCCAGCCCAGCATCTCCTTGGCGTTCAGTAGATGCTTGATGAATGCTCTGTGATGCTTGGTGCAGGCGTAGCATTGACAACCTTCCACTAGGGGCTGCAGGGATGCTATATGCTCCTCGGACCACATGTCGACACCCAGTGGCTGCACGTCGGAGGTCTCAGGGGGTGGGAAGTTAAATGATAGGGCAATGCCCGCATCAGATGCAGTGTTGGTGAATGGTACCGTGCATATATCGATACCAAGAGCGATCTGACGTAGGAGATCCTGGGGGCTCTTAGATGGCCCAAAAGATAACCGCGGCAGAGCTTCGAGGGAAGGATAGTTGACCAGTTCGGGAACTAGATTAACGTCATATACAGCAAGACCAGAGAGGGACTCTCGCACGTCTTCTGCGAGATATCGCAAGTAGTCCCACTGTATAGGGTACTCGACAGGGAGAACTGGAGCAAAGACAGAGACGCCCATCTCTTTTAGACGGCCCCGAGGGTCTAGAAGATGGAAGAACTCGTCCACCCATTCCTCAGTCCGCTCTACCATGCGAACCTGGCGCTTGGATGTGGGAGTAGTGCTGGTGTGGAATAGATCCGCTGGAGGGATGGCAATATCTGGTTGAGTGAGTTCAATGGTCTTTGCGAATTCAGGTACTGTAAGATTGCGGAAGCCAGTAGAGGTGAAGATGCTGACGTGATGAGCACCATTTCCAACGGGAGTTGTCACAGCTGGGAATCGCCTTGGGCCGAGGATTAGTGCTCGATCTGATGGGAAAGCTGTGAAGCTTTGGAGATTCCTCGGTGTTCCGGGGGGTAGCTGAAGAATAGGAGGCTGTGTCTTTTCAAGAACTATTCACAAAGTCAGATCTGCTCTCTAGATTAAAGTGACCATCCCGTACAGTCCTCAATTGCCATGTATGCTGCATCGAACTTCGTGTGTTTGGCGACATTGTCTGGTGTCAAGTGAGGAACTACTCCTCGAGAAGCAACGGCGATGAAGTTTGGCGTCTGCATCGTCCTTCGCCCACCAGCGAATACCAGACGACCGATTCTGGAAGCACCAGCATCGCCAACAGCGGGCTTTAGTAGCTCAAACATGGTGAGTGTCGATTCTTGCGATGTAGGTTGGGTCATCTTGACATAGTAGAGTTTAAGATGAAAATTAGGGAGCAGGCGATCAGTAAAAGACAAGAGGGAGCGCCGAATGCTTTCTAGTGCTAAAGAAAGTCGTAGAATTGAAAAATCAAAGACTTTGTAAAGACGCTGTCTATTCACGGTCGACTTGTATGCCTGTTCAAGCTGTTGGTGATGAAGCCCTTGGAGTATTTGCAGCAAGGATTAACTTGGTGGGAGGAGTGCGAGTGCGCACGGTACACACTGTATGTATCGATCCGAAGATAACCCGATGTAAGTGACCGTCGAGATTCGACAAAGCAATATGAGTCATACAGCTACGAAATAGTTCTTTATGGGGAATATGGAATGCTTTTCGGATTGTTTTTCTCAGTCGCTAACTTATATATCATCAAGTTGGGTGGCTGCTAAGTTCAGAAGCCATATGTAACTCTTGGAATGCTACCAGTGACAACTAGATCGTTGCTATAATAAAAGGTTGAGTTGAGGGTATCTGCTTGCTAAGCTACTAGGTAAATATAAAGCATTATGAGAAGAGTGTGTTTCCAATGCCCCTAAAGAGAAACGGTCGAGCCAATGGCAGAGATTCCGTCTCTAGTCCAAACGCTTCCGAATACAGGGACAATAATGGCAGAAATTGTGCTTTACTGTCATAAAACGCATACCGTGAAGACTCCTTCTATCCAAAATTCAATATCTCCGACTGTTCTACCTCATTGGTAGGATCTTAGTTGAAGCCAGGAAGAACGATCTTTTTCCCCAAACGGCTCTCTGGTTCCGACTGGGCCGGCTTTGGCTCGTCCTTCTTTATCTTCTCCTCTACAGGCTCACGATGGGCTTTGAAAGCAAGAAGAGTGAGAAGTACCAGGATAACCCCGCACGGAACGCATTTCACTAGTAAAGTCTTAGTACCAATTCGTATTCGACACATGAGAAGGTGGTTTCATACTACATGGATCCTTTTGGGCTTCAGTCACCGTCTCCTTAGAATAGAAAGCGTAATCTCCGGGCCCTTCAGTGAGCTCAGATGCTTTGCTTCGGGTAGTTTCTGAGATCATACGCTTGTTGAAAGCTTCTTGCTCGGCAATGAGGTCCGAGGTCTTTTGGTTTAAGGCTGCGATGTCGAGCTTTATCGAGTTCAGGTCTAGCTTTGCGGATTCCGTGTCTGTTAAATCTCCGCCCCATATTGCATCGGAATTTTGAAGCTTTCGAAATGCCTTTTGCTCGAAAGTAATAAGGTCGGAAGTCTTTCGGTTGAGGGTCGCGATGTCGAGCTTTATCATCTCGAGATCTAGCTTTGCCGCTTCCATATCTTGGAAACTTGCCTCAAATCTTGCGGCGAATTCGTGAATCTCGTCGATCTTCTCTCGTGCGGTGATTGCATTGAGACTTTTGGTCGGAGGAGGGCGGAAAGGGGTGGTGGGTATAACTGTTCGAACTTGATGCTGGATCGCGGAAGCTTGAGGTAGTCTCGGACGCTTCTGTGTGAGGCGTGTGGAGGTGAAGGATGGGGGAAAGAAAGGACCAGCATGTAGAGCTCTGATCTGTTTCATCACTGAAGAACTTTGAGCTAGAGATGGACGGATTGGGAGATGTGAGATAGGTCCCGACATCGAGGTGCGAGACAGCCTAGAAAACAGTGAAGCCATGTTGCGCGGTGGGCGTGTTAGTGAAAGTTGAAGTTGGAGCAAGCATCCCTAGTTTCGAGAAAAGAAGTCACTAGATTATTTAAGGAAGAGAAATACAAGGTTTAAATACTGAGGGCAAATACATAAATAGGTGAGTTGCTCGTTTCCATGTGGATGAGGTGTTAAACCTTGGTGCAGTTGAGTTTGTATCTTGCTTTAAGGCATGATATTAAATATCTCCAACCAATTTTATTGTGCCTGTGTCCCTAAGCCACGGAGACAACAAGCGATCAGAATAATTGGAAATTTGAGCATATCCTGCCAAGCGACGAAGCAAATTTGCTAAGATATGATGCTTCTATCGTGATATATACATCAAGTTGAGTAGCCATCTTGTGTTTGTTCTAAGAAAACACAAAGAATAATAGCACCAGAACGGAGTCATACGGATTGGGTCAAGAGAAATGAACCTGTATCTTTCTGCTTTTTTTTTACTTGACGGCTGAAAACCTAGAACAATGTTCATCATTCGACCAGCTGCATTTTACTCACACGTGTGACTTGTAGCTTCCGCCACAGCGAAAATTCGGGTGTAAGTCGAGATATGAGTGTAAATAATGGGAGTAGTCTGATGCAGTTTTAAGCAATGGAAGAAGAATAGTAGCATATCAGTAGTGTTGTTATTTAGAAGAGCATTGGGTGACATATAGTCCCCTGGTCGGTGGTGATGTATATTTCCGTGTACCTAGTCCCCACGATAGATCGATAAGAACATCATCACTCCGCTTACGACATAAGTAGTAATATGAGTCAAGATATGTATCGTACAATTGATACTGCGATAGGGCTATCATGTACCACCTAGGTGTTCTTGGTATTGTATCAAAGTCCTGAATTAATACGAGATATATCAAACCTTGATAGGGAATTGTCGTAGGTTTTACACGCCTGCTGTCGCCACGCCGTACCTGCTTCTTAGCGCAAAACAACAGTTCCACGGGAGCTATCTCCGGGCCGCAGGGCTGATGCTCAACCAATCAATCACTGAAACCCTCACCCACAGTGACAATCCCCAAGGTTACATCTGAGGTAACAACGTGTGATATTGGGGTAAACAACGAAACTGAATGGTCAACGCTATGTTTCTCACGATACATTTCCTGCTTCATCTCCATCTTGACCAATATCACCCAGTCTATCGATATCCCGCCATAGGATTCCAGCAGACTAAGTGCGACACAGGGGTCCATCTTGCGAAACACAAATACGATAAGGCGCTAGGCGCTCCACTTTACTCCTCCTCCACCGGCTCTTCCGGACAAGGCAAATTCGCCGAGCCAAAAGAACCTACGCAATCGACTTTACCTTTTCCCTCCCCCCTCTCTTTTACTTTCTTTCTTTATAAATAAGCTCGTCCCATTGATTGCAATGGTGAGCCATGAAGAGGAAGAATCACAACCTCTAATGGCCGGTCCAGATCCTATAGAAGTCGGCGTCGTGCCCGTCAGCGCCAGCGCCAGCGCAAGCGAGCTAGACGATAGAACCCGAGACAATGCGACACACAATGATTCGCCGCTCGAAACACAAAATCACCTCCAAGTCGACGACAGCGATCCTCCGACCCCGCGATTTATTCAAGATGAGAGTTCGTGGAAGCGCTGGAAATGGGTTCCGTATCCTGTTCGACGAAGTGCCAATTGGGTTGTAAAGTGGTCTCACGGTCCCAAAGACCCTCAACCGTATCGCATAAAACCATTCTTCCCAGCCGTACAAGAGTACCCTCTCTACACCATCGAGCGCTTTCTACCCAAGCTGAAACACCGCGTTTGGCTCGTCCTCTTCTATCTCTCCATCTGGATCGTTACTTTTGCCCTTGTTAAGCGCCGGGACACCATCGCCAGCGAGATCGAAGGATGGGGTACGCCGCAGACAATCGGGTGCGGAGTTACATATTTCGGCGCAGGGAATGTATGCGGTTTGGACGGCAGCGAGTGTCGTCCCTTTAACGGTAGTGGATTTCCATTCAGATGCAGGGCCAATTGCGAGAGCTACCATGTTTTGAATCCTAGAGCGGTTGGAGACAAGGAGGTTATCTATTCGCCCATGGTTATAGGCGGACCGGGGACGAATGGGTCCGATGAGCCTGTGTATCGTGGAGATTCTTTTGTCTGCGCAGCTGCTATCCATGCCGGCGTCATTTCTAACGTGGATGGCGGTTGCGGTGTTGTTGAGTTGATCGGTCGCGATCAGAATTATGCTTCGTCCAAACATCATGGCATTTCAAGCGTAGGATTCGACTCTTACTTTCCCTTGTCCTTCCGCTTTGCCCCAGACGTCACATGTTCATCGAGCGATTCACGGTGGGAGTTGTTGGCTGTTTCAACTGTCTTTACTGGAGTGTTGTCTCTCTTCACCAACTCTGCCGCGTTGTTCTTCTTCCCCGTCTTTACAGGCATCTTCTGGACTGTTGGCATGGCGCTTGATCCGCCTCCGCTCCATTCAGTTGCAGCGCTGTTCTCCAACTTGATCGGCAAGTTCCTACCCGCCATGTTCATTGCGTGGGTCATGTACGACAAGATGGGTGTCCGTCGCACCCTCGGTGGTCTCACAGCCCAGATCGAAAAGACGATTCTGTGGCTCGGTGGATGCTGGGTTGGAGGCTTGGAGAACTACACGCTCAGCTTCATCCCTATCCAGCGGCTTAACAAGCACGATCTAGATCAGCAACCAGGTGCTAGAGCTGCTCTTGCTATCATTGTCATCTTGCTCGCAGTGATTATCTCTTCGCAGGTGTGGTTCTTTAGGCAAGAAGGACGGCTGCTCAAATATCTAAAGCTCTATGCGCTCTTCATAGGAGCCATTCTCATCTCACTTACTATTCCAGGGCTCAGCTTGCGGATACATCACTACATAATTGCTCTTCTACTTCTTCCCGGAACGAGCATGCAGACACGGCCATCTTTGCTATACCAGGGAATTCTGATCGGTCTTTTCATCAGTGGCATTGCTCGATGGGGTTTTGACCCGGTGCTACAAACCTCTGAAGCCTTACAAGGCGACGCCCAAAAGGGCTCACGACTGCCCTCTATCCCCACGCCCGCCATCTACATCGGAAATGGCACAAACTCCTTGTCAAACATCACATTTACATGGAAGGAACCGCCGCTTCAGTTGTACGACGGCATAAGTATCCTAGTAAACGACGTGGAGCGTTTCCGCACATATTTCGGCGACGTAGACCAGGAGCGGGATTTTGTCTGGAGCAGAAACACCAGCCTGAACCTACCAGAGTATTTCCGTTTTGCGTACATGGATGGAAGTGAGAGCGGTGATTATACCAAGGCTGGTATATGGACGCCGGACGGCGAGTGGACCAAGATGAAGCCCGGTCCGTCGCGTGTCAAGGCCCGAAGCTTGGATAAGGATGATCTGGTACATCGTTGATGATTTGATGATTTTGGATACGGACTTTAGGGATCTATAGGTATACCGGCGCATTTTTGGTTTTTGAATAGATACAGTCGTTCTCGCAGTAAACAGTTGGTGCCTATGGCATTTTCACATTTTCGGCTTATATCTCCCTAACAGCCTCAGCCTGGTAAGGATGCAGCAAACGCCTTCTGAGTGATGGACAAAAGCCTTAGGGCTGAGTGTTGGCTGTGTTTCTCGGCGGTTCGATGTCAAGCTATGGCAACTACAAATGGGAACACGGCTACCCTCAGGTTGGGTGGGAGAGTACCACAGAAACAGATATTCAATGATTATCATGAAGACAGATCGGTCTTATAGCAGTTACTATTTATAAAAGGTTCTTGGAATGAAGCCTAGATGCAATAAGTCTTGATATCTCCTTCACTTTGAAAACTTGTTAACTGATAATGCAATATCTATGTCGGTTATGATAACCCTGTCTCTCTGGCATAACAAGAACTGATATTCTCTACTCCATTTGGAGTAGCTCGCAAAGGTATTATGATCCGGAGATAATGTTTGGGTGTAGAGGTGGCTGTTTAGAGGTGTCTTTGCCTTGGGCTGCTAGATCGTCCAAAGACATGGGGGCAATGCCTTCAGCTTCTGTATACCCCAAGACAATATATTTATAGTAGAACTACTCTCCTGTCTTGGGCTTCTTGTATTTCTAACAAGTCTGCTCAGACAAAAAGCAAGCCCATGTGCACATGAGGGGGGGGCTTCCTAGCCTTTCGGCGACTGCTGGCTCGGATCCTTGAGCCCAAAACGCCCGAATCTCGCTTGCCCGAGTTTATCTCCCATGGGCTTAGAAGAGTGAGAAATATTATGACGGTTCTTGGGTACCAGAAACCAATCACCCTCAGGCGACGGGCCAACCTGAGTTTCGTGCACCGATCCATTCCTTAACCCCCTAGAATGGTATACATCTGTCCAAGGGCATCGATCAAATAGTGGTAGAATGTATTGTTCTGTTGGACTTCAGCCGTTGCTTCTGCCTCCTGAAGCTGCCCATATATGATGCTGGTAATACAGAGCGGATTGTGCGAACTCAGGAATGGTCTATATACCAGACACTGGCTTGTTCGCTTCTTATTGTCAAATCTTGCAGCTTAGACCAAGTACGAACGTCCTGTTCTATACTGGTATGCATAAGCGTTGTAAAGGACAGGCCCCCGTGGGATTTCGGGTGACCGATGGGAATATATAATGAACTAATTGCGCGGTGTCAAGTTAAATGAGTTCATGCTGTCAGGTATGCCCGTTAAGTCATACGAGAATGTAGGAATATATACCACCCCGGGTGTAGATGTGGAGGGTATTGAGCTTGTTGTATAGCGCGGGGCATTGTCAAAGACCAAAATTAGAACGTGAAACTATATATAGTGTGCTGAATTCGATATATACTATATGGAGGTCATGGTCGAAAGGGCAGTTATAGAAGCCGGGGAGGAATGGAGAAGAGGTGAAGTAGTAAGGGGGAGGATGAATTTATATACTAAAAGTTACACTTTTATTTTGCTATGACGTAACATAACTACTCATATTATATTGCTATTTTGCTTACTCAATAAGAATGTTTGCCTTTATTGCCTTGTTTTTTATCGGCTTTGCTATGCATGTTTGTGTTTGTGGTTACTTCAGATGTCGTTGTTAAAGGTGGGGGAAGCTGCAGGCAAATGTGGAGAGATCTACAACAAGTGATATACTCAACCAAGACAAGACTTTAACACAAACACCACCACTTAACTTTCAACTCAACTCAACTCGACCCAAATCAACTAAACTCACCACAACTTCAACCCTCAGAAACACAAAATGCCTCCTCGAATCCCCACAGAAGAAGACTTCTCCTCCATCTCATCCACCCTCCCCCACACTCTTCACTTCCCCTCACCCCCCGAGTCTACCACCACATTCCTCGTTCTCTTCCACGGCCTGGGCGACCAAGACGCCCCCTTCGCCTCCTTCGCCAAGAACCTCAACCTGCCCGGCGTCATGGCCATCTCCGTGCGTGGCACGTCTGTGCTCCCCGCTGCGATTATGGGTGATGATACGCCTGGCTACTACTGGGGCGATGACCTCACTATTGATCCCAACACGGGGGACATCGCTACTGATTCGGGCTTTGAGAAGGCTCGCGCGGCTGTGATGGACAAGTTGATCCGTGGTGTGCTTGTTGAGAAGTGTGGATGGGAGACGAGCGATGTTATCTTCTTTGGCTTCGGACAGGGTGGTTCGCTTGCTCTTGGTCTGGCATCGTCTCTTGACAAAGAATCTCGCGTCACGGATGTCACAGACGGTGACAAGCCGGAAGCCAATCGCTTCAAGGGCGCAGTCTCTCTCGGTGGTCCGCTGCCGCAATCTATGGTATCTACCGTGACAAACCGCAGCAAGAGCCGCACAAGCGTGCTGATCTGCCAACTATACGACGACGACGTCGATGCCGTGAAGAGTGAGTTTGAGGACGTAAAGGTCGTTCAGTGGCAGAGGCGCGAGGTGGGCATGCCGATCAGCAGAGACGAGGTTTTGCCCTTGATGCAGTTCTTTGCGGATAAGCTTAAAAGTGAGCTGTAGTTATACATATCACAAGACATGCATAGAAGAGCGGTTGTTCATAAGGGGTATCATATTGCTATTCATATCCAACATTGTAGCTCAGGCAACTCCTGCTCTCTCGTCTCGACAGCCCGTCTGAAGCATCTCAGCTAGGATATCCCACTTTGCAGATTGCACGTCGCTTGTAGCTCTGGCCACACTGCGCAGCCCACCGCACGCAAATCGCAGGTGTCTCTCAAAATCGACCTTGATCTCCTTCAGCACTACCATGAATGGCTTTCCCATCTTCAGAGTCTTCAATCTTTCTCTTTCCTCATCCTCCTCATCGCTGCTGTCGACGACATACTTGGACTTCAACCCAGGTGTTCCGGGTGTAGGCGAGAGATTTCTTGTTGAAAGACGTGAGAACTGCTGCATCCGCTCAGCCTCCTTTATCGCGTTGGCAGTTTGCGCTTGCTCGAGCCTGATAGCCAGGTCGAGCATATCAAGGAAGCATTCTCTTATTGGCGTTAATCTACTTCCAAGACACGCCTCGTCGACAACCTGCTTTAGGAACGCAGCGTGAACAGAAATCATAGCATCAACATCGTGGGCATCTTGCATATCCTGTCTCATCTTAGCACAGTTGGGTGCCAGGACGAGCGTTGCAAGATAAGTCTGGAGGGTAGTGCAGAACCAGAGAAGGTTGTTCCGTAGAGAGTAATAAAGCGCCCGCTCATCCCAGTTCTCGTTGTCGGCCCAGTAACCCTCAAGAATCTTGCGTTTGTGTAGAATGTGCATGGCGCGCTTCAGTTGTAAGAGCAGCACGAAAATAGCGTCATACTGAGTACAGCTCTCTTCGGAAAGAATCATGCGGATCGGCCAGGCCACCCGATAGTTAACCCTCGTACTCGACAGAGCAGCCTTGACGGAATCACGAGCTGCGAGGACTGGTATTCGTAGCCCAGTCGTGTTAATATATATAGATATTCGTGTCATATCGACAAGAGTCGTGAATGCTTCCTGCGCCACGCTGGTGAGGGTATATCGATTGTGCCAGTTGGGGTCCAATGTATCCAGCTTTTCAAAGAGGCTGCTAGTCCAGGTCTCTGTTGCGGCGCCATCAGACATGAAATATAAACGCTCCATGGCCTCAAGGGCAGACCAGAGCCCGCACTCTTCGAATAGCGTATTTCTCAACGTGGTCGACGTTGTATTATACTTGGTCTGTAACCACCCATCAAACGCAGTGTCGAAGAGTTCCGAAAAGGGCGCAAGCTCAAGTCCTCTAGGACAGAGCGTTTCGTACTTGAGAGGAGGCTCCTGGATTGCCCACTCTGAGCCTGAAGAGATCCAACGGCCCAGCCGCTTTAAAACGACAATATTCTTGCCCGCATTGAAGATCTTTGCAGCCGCCGGTTGGAGGAAGTTAGGAGCATGTAGCTTACCATCAGCTGTTCGGCGGAGCCTAAACTGTTCGCGCCAGATCTTGCTAAGAGACACCTGACTTGGTGCTTCAGATACAAAGAATATCTTGTCGCCAGGGATTAGTTTACCTTCCTCCATCCACAGGCGGATAGGACGGAGGTAGACATTGAAACACTCGACAAAAATACGTGCTAGAAACTCATATATATCCAGTTTCCCGGATAATTGCGCCATGCTAGCATCGTCGAAGAGTAGCTCTAGATAACGAAATGTACCTTGATTAGGCACATTTTGTATCTGGGCAATGATGTTCGAGAGTGAGTAGAGCGGCTCAAGTGAAGTAGCCAGCTCACCTTTAACGGATAGCAAGCTGACAACCACATTGTTCACCGGCGCAACAAGTCGCGACTCTATCGCCGTTGACTTCCGATCAAAATCATCGAGTCGCTTAGCTACGGTATCCTGGAGAACTTGAAGATGCGATGCTCGCTGCGGCTTGTCAACGAACTTGCGCAAGATGGCCAACTGGCGACCTGCTTCGGAAAAGTAGCCCAGAAGAGCCTTGTGGGTATCCCATTTCAGATGGGCTATCTGAAACGCTGGATCGACTTCGCCATTGGGTCCGAATAGAGTTGTTTCTAGACCTTGTAGCATGAATAGGACTTCCCGCACAATGTGAAACTCCGTCACTGGTACTTTGCGCGCGTGGCCTGATGAGTCGGTGGGCTTTTGCGTCCGCCATTCTTGCGCTTCTCGAATCTCGTTGAGCTGGGTGATGTCCTCGGGGTGTATAATGAGGTCTTCGGCTGTTCGTCCAAGCGCTGGTACCTCGGATGGATCAGTGCTGGCCTCGGAATCACTTTTGGAGTCATCTCCATAGAGCTCTTCATCTGAACTGTCGGTGTATTTTATCGTCTTCCATAGAGCAGCATCGTCCTCCCATCCATCTTCTTTCGCGATATCTTCCCAGCGCAGCTCAAGTTCCGAGTCGGCGGGCCCTGTCTTGAGCGCATCTAGATCGCTTAGTCTCGCGTAGTAGGTCGGCTGGTCTGAGAGTTCTAATATCAAGTAGAGGGCCTCGGGATGGAATTTATCAGGTATTTGTAGGAGCTGCTCCCGACGCTTGGAGAGGGCATCGGCGAGGGCTTCTCGGCCATTAACGCGGAAGCGCTCTTCTAATCCGTCCAGTTGGTGCTCGACTTCGAATTGATTGGTTCGTAGATACGGGTGCGATTTCAGTCTCTGTAAGGCAGCATCGCGCTGGGTCTTGAATCGACGGTTCGTCTGTGAGATCATGAGTAGGAAGTTCTAGAGCTGCAGATAACAGACGTCATACCTCAGCTGATGAACCAGTAACAGCCTCAACGAGCTCTCCAGTAAGAGCACCCAGCCTTGCAGCAAATGCCATTATAGTTTCTCATGGCTTGCGCGATATCATATCGAATGGTGGCTATATCATGACTTTGACTGTTTAAGTGATGAATTGGCGGGGGTTTCAGTGGTTGATGGCGCGTCTGCCGCGTCCAAGGGTCCAAGCTCCGCTACAGCGATAGCTCTTATCGGACATGATTGGCTCATCCATCGTGACATCAGCTTCAATTATTTGAAACCCCTTTCATCATCCTTTGGACTTTATTATTAATTCTTCCAATTCAGAGACTATTTGGTACGGGGCGATACAATCTTTATTCTTATCTCCCCTATAATCGCTATCTCTTCTCTCATGGATAATTGAGCCCCATCCTCACTCTTTTTGGCTTCATGACAACCCTTGTATTATCTTGCGATCCTCCTCAACGAGCATGACGGTTGCGCGGCCAGTTCGGGCCTTGATCGCCGGCGGATGCATCATCTGGTGTTTCTTCCTATGGCAAATATTTGCTCCGTCATGGTCTCTTAAGGGACCTGGCGATCGCTACTCCAATTTTGAACGGGATCCCATGCTAGATCGTGAGTCGCAAGTGCTATAGCAGCTATCCGCAGAATTGCTAATTAGTAGCATATAGCTACCGATGAACCGGATGGAACATTACATCGTACGAGTCCGAGATATGCCCACGATGCGAAAAAGACGGAGCGCATCGACGCTACGCTGCTGGCCCTTGTGAGGAACGAGGAGGTGGATGCTATGGTTATGTCGATGCGCGACCTCGAGAGGACGTGGAACTCCAAGTTTAATTATCCTTGGACATTCTTCAATGACAAGCCCTTCACTGAGGAGTTCAAGAGGAAGACAAGAGCTGCGACAAAGGCGAAGTGCAATTATGAACTCATCCCCTCGGAGCATTGGGATATGCCCTCATGGATAGACCAAGAGCTATTTGAAGAATCCGCCAAGATCCTCGAAAAGAACGGCGTCCAATACGCAAGCAAGATCTCGTACCACCAGATGTGTCGATGGAACAGCGGTCTCTTCTACAAGCACCCGGCCCTCAAAGACATCCGCTATTACTGGCGAGTCGAGCCTAATGTACACTTCTTCTGCGATGTCGACTACGATGTGTTTCGCTACATGCACGACAACAACAAGACGTATGGCTTCACGATCAACCTCTACGACGACCCCAAGACGCTTCCTTCGCTATGGCCCGAGACCGTCAAGTTCCTCGCCGAGCATCCAACCTACATCCACGATAACAGTGCTGTTGCTTGGGTCACCGATGATGTACGTCGACCGACGACGAATAGAAAAGCTCAGGGGTACTCAACTTGCCATTTCTGGAGTAATTTCGAGATTGGGGATATGACGTTTTGGAGAAGCAAGACTTACGAAGACTACTTCAACCACCTCGATCGTGCTGGCGGGTTCTTTTATGAACGATGGGGTGATGCCCCTGTTCATAGTATTGCTCTTGGTCTTTTTGAGGACCAGAGTAAGATTCATTGGTTCGTAATCCATCACTCTCATGATTTATAGCAGACTAACATATCACTACAGGTTCCGCGATATTGGATATCAGCACATCCCCTTCTTCAACTGCCCCAACTCGCCAAAATGCAAAGGCTGTGTTACCGGCCGCCTCACAGACGGCGAAGCTTGGTTACACCGAGAAGATTGTCGACCCAACTGGTTCAAGTACGTCGGCATGGGGTGAAGAAGCATATCATTTACAACATACGGTTGTGTGAAGCAGAATACCTTTGACGCATAGAAAGAAAGGGGCACGAAATTTGTGGATTTATAACAATTTTGAATCACGAATTTGGCGCTGGTGGAAAGCAATTGTTCAAAACAGGTTGCATGGAGTACTTTGATAGACAAGAAGTTGTCTATATGAACTAGAAAACGCTTGATGATGATGTAGCATTTCATGTTGAGAATAGACAGACATTTTTAATCCTAGCTTCGCCCTCTTAAATAATGGGTATAAATGGTAGTTACAACGCTCCATAGACAGTCACCACACCTGATGTTCCTCCTACGCAGAACTGATCTCCCCAACCGCCCTCTCTCCACGCCATACAACTCACAACGTTACTCCTCGCCTTCTCCTTTCCATCCCGACCCACGGCTTTCTTCTTGGCTTCAAAGCCTTGTGGCCCCCAAGGAACTGTCACTTTAGCCGCCAACTTGCCTGTTAACAAATCCCAGGCCCATATCTTCCCCTGGCCGGTTGACGCCGTCTCGCCAGTCATGGCATCGCCAACTATAACGTACTTTTCTTTACCGCCCAGCAGGGCCTGTAGCTTGATGTCGTCGTTTTTCCATGCTGGGTCGGCGTATGCTCGTAGACAGGAGCCATTGTCGCGGTCCATGAGACGGAGCTTGTTATCTAAACTTCCGACTAACACGGCGCGTCCATCACGCGTGAGACTGAGGCTGGTGACGGGTGAGCCGATAACATCGGTGGTGACTTTTCCCATACGAATGTCGTAGCTGCGGACGCGGCCGTCGACACTTCCTGCGAGGACTTCAGGTCCACGGACAGCGAGACACGTCACCGCATCACTTGCGTCGTCAAGAACCTGTATAGGCTTGAAGCTGCTGCTCTTGGTATCCCACAGCCTGACAGTGGTATCAAAGCCACCACTTACAATGATCGAGTCACCCTCACCTGCGAAACTCACGCAGTTGATACGAGCAGAATGCCCATGGGCGTTGCCCCCAAACCGCTTGGTAGTGACAGCGGTGCTAACATCCCATAGAAACACACTGCGATCGCCACCAGCCGAGACAAAACGCTCGTTATCGGCAGCGACCGAAAGGCTCAGGACCTCGTAGCCGTGGGCAGCATAGGTCTGGATGAGACGACCTTGGGGGACGCTATGACGATCCTCGCCCGGAACAGAGGTGCTGGGGAATGGGTTGTAGAGGCGGATTGAACGGTCCGAAGAGCCGGTAAGAATGTAAGTACCTGGAGAGGCGGAGTATGCAAGGGCATGGACGGGGCCTTTGTATTAGTTAGTTGTATTACGTTACTGTAGTGTTGATGCTGGTGCTGGATGCTGGGTGCTGGGTGCTGGGTGTTGTCATCGGGGTGGTCAGTCAGCGCGGCATATGCCCTGACTTGGTAGGTCATATCATGACATGATATCTTCCGATGGGGGCGGTATACGGAGTACGTACGCCACGCCTGAAGCTGAAGCTGGGACGGGACGCGGAATGAAGATGAGATGAGGGTGAAAGTGTGAATGAGAGTAAGAGTGAGAGTAACTGAACTTACCATTTGCGCCCAAAAGATGAGCACAAGGTTTATCGGGGAACCCCATTTTGGGAACTCTTCATGTCCATCCTTTTCAAAGCACGAGCATGGAGGGCTTTAGTATCAAGAATTGGTTAATTCGTGTTTTATGTGAGGTAAAGTGAGATGAAGCTCTGACGTTTCCGCGGCAGAGCTTTGTCACTCCCCAGGACATTACCTAATCGGGCTAGTTACATATTCTCTCACACATACCCACTAAATACACTCCCCCTCCTCTTCATCCTTCAACCTTCAACCGGTACGAAAAAAAGAAAAGAAAAAGAAAGAGTCACTTGCTGCAGTGTAACAATAGGTCGCAGATGCAGAACCATGATGTACATGAGAGAGCCTGTAAGGTTAATTAAAATTAGAAGCCACACCAGGTGCCGAAAAATAAAGAAAATAACCGACATATATCGGATCTTGCTTGTATAATTGACAGAATAGTCAGGATATGACAACAAGGGTTCGTCGGCTGGGTACGGAGTAGTTGGTCACTCCTTCAACATGATATGATATGACATTCAACAAACTCCAGTTAATCCAGTCTAAGTGGTGAACATGTTGCAACCGTGCAGCTATAATCAAGAGAAACAACACAATCAAAATGATATCAACTCGCAACTCCCAGGCAGTCTTCCCAAGCACAAGAATGGCCATAAACACAAAATCCTTCAAAAAGCAGGATTCGTTTCCCGTCATCCAATAACAGCAAGCACAATTCTTCTCTTTACCTATATATCCATCTTGCCAAGCCGTCATCACCAGCTACGCCGCACAGCATCAAGTTAGGGTTCCAGAACCGAACTCACCTCCCCAGTCTCCGGTCATGCTTGTAAGATTCGATCCTTCCGAAAAAGCAAGGCAGCCGTTGCGAGATACGACAGCAGGCAAACGACCATGTGGCTGTGCCATTGGACGCTTGCTTGGCACGTATGCTTCACCGCCGCAGACGGACAGTTAACTGTCAGCGGCTGGTATTGGGTAGGAGCAGGACTTTCGTGTATGCGGGGGATGCAGGGACCTTTGGCTGCAGGATTACAAGAGCGGCAAATAGACATTAGCTTATCTGCAACATGGAAGAAGAACAACGTGTCATGGGACCACCGTTTGCGCCACAGCCTAGACATGGTATTCATCCAAGAGGCGACTCGACGGAGACTCTTGCTCATCCTTGGTAGGTTCGGAAATAGAAGGTACACCACAGTGTCTCAGCCTGTAACTTCCCAGAGTCTATTCGGCATGGTCACTTCATACGGACAGGCACTTTGAACATTATGTCATGTCTTCAAGCTCAACAAAGCGTTGAGCGTCATTTGTATGTATTCCAACTGACCCGGTCTAGCCCAGATGCCTCATAATACTGGTCATCTTTGTGACTAACTCCAGAACACTAACTAAGCCTCGTCAAAGGTGGAACATTGACTCCTGGGCAACACGCGAGAACTCCTCCATATATGTGTAAGTTCAGACATATCATACAAAAATGGAACATGCAATCACTGCATGCCCAGCGGTCCAGAAAAACAACAAGAAACAGGCCTGTCAATCGACAGCCTACCATCATTATATATGAAGGCCGTGAATAACTCCGCATACGCCGATTCATGCCAAAAGCCCAATCAATGCCAACAGCGCCGGGAAATGCAGCCAAATGCAAGTCGTGTAAAAAACAACATAAATCCTGGTCATATCGCCAGTACTGTGCAACGCAGTGTAAATGCAATGCAATTCGTCCGCTCGCGTATCGCTCAAACAAGCGGAGCGTAAATAATATCCATGTCTCTGGGATAGAGCTTCTCCATCGGGTTGCTGATTTGCCAGCGAAGGATCTTCTCATCATCGCTTATCTCAGAGCTGTAGAAGATGCGGTATTCTTCAACTGGGCTGGCTGATTGCCTGCCTCGGTCTCGAATACGGCACAGCATTCCCAGGCGCCCATCTATCGCCTTCTGTACACTACGCACGTTATCCCAGATCGCAAGCATAGCCTGGATAACACCCTGGAGTATGTGCACGCTTTCGATAACGTCGCCAACATGCGATAGACGACCGCTCGAGGTATAAACGTCGACCGCTTCGGCCATTACCATGGTTAGGACAGGTGCCGGGGCGCTCAGAACAGTCTGGCCCCCACGATGAAGTCGCACAAGTGCCTTGGCCATTTCCAACACCTGTATGGCATGCTCGTAGCATGTATGTATCTGGTGACCCGCAGACTGAGACGAAGGTCGTCCTGCCGCGGGAGTATGCCGGCTGAGCTTGATCATGGCATGGTTATACAAAAGGTGCATAGTCAAGAAAGGCCCAAGCTCTCCTGCCAACGCTGCAGACTCGAGGTTCGAAGCTGTGAAGGCCAGACGAGAAGGCAAGGCATAGCGCCAGTCCTGGATACGCTTCAGTGTTCTCTGGGGTGATTCCACGTCTGCCCCCATCATGTTCGCACGTCTAGCCGTTCTGTAGATACGGCACACATCGTTAGACCAGATATGTACCATCTCAACCAAGTAGGCTGAGATCCCGAACTCACGGTCATGTGCGTTTGTGACGCCAGAAATGTAGGGATTAAAGATTGGAGCGTGTCCGTCCACCTGGCGCTCAAAACCATGGGACTCTGCAGGTAGACGGGTGTAGATGTCCTCTGCGTTTATCATGGCAAAGCGGTCAGGGAAGCGGCCGTCAAGTCGTTCCAGCATGTAAAGAGACCAGAAAGTCCTTCTCCGGGCCTCACAATATCCTGCCTTGTTCATTCCGAATGGGTAGGTAGCGAGGCCAGCCTCCCTTGACTCTTCAATCTCGACGTTGAGCTGGAGGCAAGACGCCGCCGCAATAGCTGATGACATCATTTCGCTGGCCTCAGATGAGCGCGAGACGGAGATGTAGTAGAGTGCGAGCAGGATCCTTGTCTGGACCAGCTGGATGCAGCTGACTGTCGTAGACTTCTGAGCATAGTGTGCGACAGATGCATATTCGAATGCAATGGCTTTTGGCCCTCCCGATAGGGCAACGCCAACAGCAAGGATGCTGTATAGAATCATCAAGTCCTCGGGCGACTTGCGGTGCCCAGGGTTCACAACCCATGTCTTGAAAACATTCTCGGGGATGAAGCGCACAATCATAGTGCTATCAAGGTGAACAAAGAAGTGAGAGATCACCGTGCGGATAGACTGGGGATCAGACAGTGACGGGTCGGTTCTCCAGGCCTGGTTAAGCACATCTTCGGAGATTCGAGGAAGCTCGATTGTTGGAGGCTGAATAGGCAACTGAGGTCTTGGTGATTCAACAGGGGGCATTGCATGCACTGGCTCTCCCATGTTAACATAGTTGTCATAACCCACTCGAAGCCTCTTGTGGGAACCTGTGTCCGGCGACGCTGCTTGTAGGGTGGTCCGCGGCGACACTGGCGAACTGTTCTCGCTCTCAGTGGGTCTTGATGGTCCGCCTACAGTCCGGATGTCGTCGAGCTCAGCCGGGGGTGTTGAGGGTGATGTATTGTGTCCTCCACGGGGTCTAGGGAAATGGTAAGTAAGTTGAACTTGTCAAATAAATCCTCTCAAGCAGCACTTACGCGTTCTTGAATTTGCATATTCTCCCAAACTTCTCGCACTGAACGCAGCGGGGATAATCAGGATCGCATTTAATCTTCTTCTCGCGGCACGTTATGCAGGCGATGGCAAGTCTTTTTCTAGGCTTGCCGGCTTTGGTAACACCCCAGTGAGCGTTTACTGCCTCTCCATCAATCACTGTCTTGCAGTGGCTGCCGTCATCGTAGAAATAACACATTCCCTCTCCAGGCACCTCGGTGGCCCTCACAAACCGGGGCAGGAAATGAGTGCCAGTCCAAATCTTAGGACCGAGTCCGTCCTTTGAAGGGACACCATCAGTTGCGGTAGTGCTTGGTGTTGGTGGCGGAATTGTAGCTGTCTGGGGAGACCTTTGGTCGTTGTAAGCGGGAACTACACGATCCTTGGGGCTTGGAAAGTGAAGTCGAAACTGATCCTGGGGTGGTCGAAAAGATCCATCTCGAGATTCTAATGAGTACTCAGGCCGATTCTCCTGGTACGTTGGCCATCTGCCAGCCTGTCCTTCAGCGACTGACTCCTGTCGGGAGCGCTCCCCATCACGAAACCTAGGTGACGCTGAACCAGAGTAAGATCGTGTGGGACCATGAATTGGCTGCCGGTCTGCATCGAACTTGTTGTCGTAAGTACTCCGAGGTTGAGATATGGAAGGTGACAAGTTCGGTGGAAAGTAAGATGTCGAGTGGTGTCTGTCATCAGATCGTGCATGCTTGCGATCTGCAGGTGCAGGTGCAGAGTAAGAGTTGTTGTGGTTATGTTCTGAAAGAGGTGAGTGTGCTGGCCGACCAGTTGCTGGGGGTCCAAAGATGCTGCTTAAAGAAGGAAGCTGTTGTCGTGGAGCGGATTGAGTGGCCGACTCAGTTCTAGTCTGATCTCCGTTCATCTTCTGGTCCGCAGTCATGTTTGTTGTCAAAGACTTATTATCATAGTCCTTCATGGATGGCGAAGTAGGCGTAGGCGAGATCCAAGGCCGATCCGCAGATGATGAGTTAGTAGAGTAAGATGATGCGCTGGGGCTCGATAGTTCTGGAGGGGTGTTTGGGAAAGCCAAACGAAGATGAGAATCGATGCTGGGTAAGACACTCATTGGGAGAACTGCTCGATCTGAATCGAGGAGCAGCAAAAGAGCATAATAAAGGTGGTGAGAGTTTGAGGTCGGTTATGGCAGACCAGCACCGAACGGTTGGTGGGGGACGTCAGCAATTATCTATCCCTCTCGGATCGGATACAATTATTACACCAGCGGCGCGGCTCTTTTTTTGGGCCAGCGTTGCTAAGACGGGCCACCGTAAAAGACGCAGTGGTACCCTAATACGGATAGTTCAAGACCAGGAACAGGCTGGTCTAGGAAGGGAAAGGAGGGGATGTACCAATCCTAACACGACCCAAGCTGTCGGGAAGTTTTGGGCGTGGTTAAAGGCTTGAAGAATAGGTACCACAATCGTCGGCCGAATCACTAAGCGAGTCGGAGTCCAATCCACGAAGGGGCGGAAGAAGAGTGTTTAGTTGAAAGAAGCGCAGTCGTGCGGAGGAGAATCCGAGTTTCAACAAAATGGCATGGTCGTGAGTAACTGGCATAGGTACAAGAGTTATCAACAACAAGTACTGGCTTGATTGACGATGATATTCGGCAGACACTTCATTAACAACCGAAACGCCTCCGCATGGGAGAGGCGTGGGCGCGGAGACTCCTGCCGGGTGTGTGGCCTTGGCTTCTGAAGTTTGTGACAAGACGGACCAAAGAATAGCCAACGGAGGCGCACACCCCCGTTCCAGAGCCAACCCCAGCGAATGTAAATCCTGGTCCTGGTCCTGGTCCCAGATTCCGAGTCTCCCAATCCCGCAACGCAAAATGCGAGTGCCCCGGCACCTCTTCCTAGGGGTGTGCCGTCACCCACACGTGCTGTGCGGTGAATGCAATCTGTGTGTGGCTTTATTTGCATGGAATAAGATGCCTGTGCTGGATGACTTGCGGATACTAGTGCGGATGTCCAGCGATCCCAGGCCGCTGGCCATCGACGCCAACGGTGTTGCGGGTACAACAACCTGCCTGGACTGGCAAGCTTAGAAACCAACTCGACCAACAGCTCACTGACTCCTCAGTACTCTCTATAGCTAACGCCGGTGCTTGACGATGATCCTGTATGCAGGCTCTAGACACGCGCAGGGATTCAGATATGCATGGATTGCCGGGCACCGGGGGACGGGGCCGTGTGGGCTGTGGGCGCGGCACTCCGATATCTGGGGGTGTGTGGCTGATGATCGATAGATGACTGACGGCTGATGAGTCCCCACAGCCCAAGGATGCCAGACGCCGTCGTTACGGCAGACGGCCGTCCGGCTGTGGATGACTGTGGATGAGCTCCAGGAAGTCGCGCGCGACGGCACAAGGCAGGACAATTAGGCAATCTCCATAAACGGGGTGTGTCCATGACAAGAGTCAGGTAGCCAGCCAAGGGATGACGCTTTGCGTCAGCGAGACCCCTAGATCAGGCCTAGAGACGAGAGTCGTCAACCTCAGTGTAACCAGGCGAGTGAGCACAATATCATCAGTGAAAAGGCGCCACAGTAGAATGAACAAATACCAAATGCTCGGATAAATAATGCCTCGACACCTTCCTCCCTTGGCAGCCGACATAGAGTTTAATCTCAGCTCTTCCAGAAAGATATCCTGGTGCAGGCGGCCGCCGCCGCTAGTAGCCGCGCTTAAACGCTTGAAACACTTTCTTCAAGTAGGCAAAGTCTGTATTGAGCTTTTTTTTTTTTTTTTTTCTTCATCCTTGAAATCGCACGATGCAACCCGCATTCAAGGGTCGTTAGCCTGAGTACTCCGACACCTGCACTCGGGTGGCGTATGTGCAAAGGCTTTAATTTTTCGGTGGCTGTGGCGTCGGCAGAAGTGCTGAAGCATGTCACACAAAAACACTTGGCTCCTGTAAGCTAATTCCTCGCCTATACCATGCATGTACCGGCAGGCAACGCAACGGGTAAGTAGGCAGAGTATGGTTGGCAACCCGTGTCAGCACCATCTGCTGCAGACTCCTCGACGAGGAATTAAAAATAAAACAGAAAGGTGGTCAAAACAGCCAATACTGTGTTTACAGAGCCCCATAAACTTGGTCATCAACTTCTCAGCATATTGATACATGCTAATGTGGACCTTATGGAGAGACCTGTGCCGCCATGGTCAAGCTGATAAAGCTTGGGTTCCTCAAGGTCGTTATCGTGTATCTGAACTGGTGGTAACGCCCAAGCAGGAGGTAGAAAGACCCTCAGAATGCGATTCTAGTGATCATCGTATATTGTATGGATTGTAGCACAGCCAAGTCTGCTGCTAATTGCGATACGTGAAGGAGCGTTAGTATACGTTGTAGTTCAAGAATTGAAGTCACACACCGTCAGTGTAATAAGTTCTTCATCTGATCGTATACTGAGGAAAGTGAGGCACCATTAACAAGCAAGCCAGTGTCCAATAATCAAATCCTTCAATATGCATCGTTCTGCAATCCAAGGTCCGTCAGAAACATTCGAACCGCCTTGGGTAAATATTGCGAATGGCTAGTGAAAGGCGGCCCGCAAGTCAGAGGATTGGGGAGTAAAAGGCTTGGCTGTTCATATTCCACCGGTATACCCAATTAAGGGATCAGCCTGAGATAATGCCAGTAAGATGAATAGCCAAGACATGCCAAGCGCATGTAACACGGGGGAAAGGCTTCATGAGTTCCCAGGATGCCGAATTTGGCAGGCTGCATAGCACTACCTGGTTGAAAAACGGTGAGATGGATTTAGAGTAATCAAGGCGTTGGTTCGACGACACGAGCGTTCCTATCTGTCCATGCTGAGACCGTTGGTAGTGGATATGTAAAGTAGCTGCGCGCGAGTACAGTATCCCACCGCCGTGACAGAATACCAGAGAAATGAGTAAGTCAATGATGATGTTTATCGAATTGATCAGTGTTATCCATCCACCCCTCAGCCACGGTTGTTATTCTCGGAAGGCTATATCAAAGGCTCATGTCGATCTCCAGGGCGGGACGACAATAAACTTTGAACCAGATTTGCAGAGCCTCTGTGCCACTGCGGTACCGTGGTTCTATCGAGGAATGACCTCCTGGGGAGATTTGCTTTTCGCTCAGTGCCGACCATGACCCTAGATTGCGCTCCCCAGATCCATGGATATGACGTCTTGGCTGCGTGCGGCACATGGTTCCTAAAGGGGCGTGGCATGTCACGGCAGTCGTACGATCTGAAGACGCTAAGCTTGACCGGCGCCACATCGTTTCGCCGTCATTCCAGAGAATAGTGGGGTGAGTTCGGGTATTGGTAGGCGTCCTATCATATAGCGTCAGAGTAAGTGTGTTGTGCTGACGTTCTGGTCGTTTCCAGTGCCTAATTCCCAGCAGTGTCTTGGTATTGCCGTTAGCCTTGCCGTGGCTGCGAGGACTAAGTTAGGGGAGGGGGCCAAATCGAGAGCCATGTTCGGCGAAAGGTAAGAGATAGGGGAAGACGGGATAAGATAAGTCAGCAATACCAAGAGAAGAGGACCCGAGAGAATGGGTTACTCCACTCCGGTCGCAACCTCTGACGGAAATAGAGGTTGTACCGTTGTATCGTAGGACATAATGGGGCGACGTCCGCAAAAGTCCGCGTATATCAATCAATCATCTTCTATCTGTCTGTCTTGAGAATTGACAATGTTTTAGCCATGATGATGATGATGATGATGGTATCCGTAAGAATCGTTGTTTCATGTACTGGGTCAAGCGTACGCCACCAGCAATAGATTCAATGAAGATTCTGGTGCAAGGTACGTTTACGGACAAGGTATCGAGGAAGGCGTGACCGTTTAGGTAATTGCCGATTGCCAACTGCCCCTCTGGGGAAGGTAGAGCACAAGCAGATATCCCGAGTCGCGCGCACTTACCTACCTACCTTCTAGCGACAAATAGTTTCAGCTGTAAGCACCTGCCAAACGCGCGGATAGCACGTGCTATGAAGCGATCTCGTGTAGGAAAGTGCTTTGCAAACTCTGAATCTCCCCCAGACAAGCTCCTACAAACGGCCGAAATTGAACGGCTTCATGTAAGTATAGTCATCGCCAGAATCCGACAAGGTCCGAGCCAACAAACAGTAATCATGCTGTGCCTGTACCAAAGTGGACTCGACAAGGCAGCACATGCAATGTGCATCACCAGAAACACGGCTCAGCTATCTAAGCGACACATAGATATCGTCAGAAGCTCGTTGGACACGGTACGCACCACTGCGTACTTCGGGTGAGTCGTTGCTAGTTGCCGCGTAGGTATGGAGCAGTTCATCTCATACTGTTCTGCCCCTGGAAGACAGCTAAGATGAACCGGAATCTACAGGCAAAAGGTTACACCGTAAGCCGCTTGTCACGTATGCTGAGGCACAGAAGATAACCCCCTGACACACGCGAGTGTCGGCCGCTGGAGGTGGCTCGGTGAGCATAGACCATAGGGCACTGCAGTACCTGTGGACAGAGCCTCGGTAATCTGTCTGTGTCATTGACGGGTGTGCAGTAGCAACTACCCTGTCAACTCGAATTTTCCGATCACTCATCAAAAAATCATATCCCTTGCTTCTGCAAAGGCTTCTACCCCGGATCCACTATCGTGTTGCGGATCTCACATGGTGCTGGCAGGGTATCTCTTCCTGACTTCCATATTCAGCTTCATCTCCGGGGCCAATCTGCAAAGGTCGCTAGCTCGGGTCATCTCTTTCAGTTCTCTCGTCCACGCTCGGCCGAGTCCCCAGATGACACCCCGACACCTTGCTCTCATTATGATGACCTCGCATCGGCCGCTCAGGGCTACCAGGTTGACAGCCAACCTGGATTGCTGGTTTCAGCTCGAGTTGGCACATGCTGTGGAAGAAAGATCAACAGTATTCAGTACATTCCCATGAGGATCAATGGTTGGGCAGTTGGCCCTCAACAACGCTACACCCACAAAACACTGAGTCTTGGTTCTTCAAGGTGCTGGCGATGTGCTGTTCAAGGGCGGATGAGGGGTTTAGGATCAACCGCTCCTTGAACAAACTGCGGCGTCACGCATTACTTGGATT